TAACATTGCTATGTAGACATTAACTGCAGACTGGCAAGCGTATTCATGCAAACGCATACATATAACATACAACATACAACATATATAACACAGTTGAATAAAACTATAGCATTCATAGTGAGGGTCACGGTCACCTTCTCCTCACCAGAAGTTCGGTTTACCGACCGGCGTTTGCTATTCCAACCCTTTACTTCTCTTTCTTTTTCACCACTTCTGAGCAGGAGCAAATATAAGCGCACGTGTGTTGAATTAAACCTGACGGTTCCAAGTATAAAACTAAATTAAGAGTTTGAGTTTATTACATTGTTCCCTTTCCTGAAATCGCTCCGCGATCCACGACAGCCACCTTATACTGCTGGATAATATAAATCAAGATGAAGAATTATTCCTTGGCGTCTGGGAAACTTTCTGTATGCTCTGCGGTACTCTATAACTACTTTTTAGCGACTCTGTGATTGCCTTGTTAAGCCGTTACCTTCCCGGGGGAGTTTTGGTGTGATTGAACCCCACACCGACAGAAACACCGACTCTGCTACTACTACAATTACAATTACTATTACTATTACTATTACTATTACTATTACTGTCGCTGTTGCCAAATGCGGGAGAAAGAAGAGATGCGTCTACATTAGAGTTAGTGGAGTTAGAGCTCTACTACTCCATTTATATATTATATCTAATTCAAACGGAGAAGTAAAGAGAGTTCTTGGATTCTCAGGCAGGTCACGTACTCTCTTACTTTATTCTCACTTCCAGCTTGGTGTAATAGTCTTCTTGTTTTACCCAACCACGGCGTATGTACATACACTGGGGATCAAATTAAAAATATATGTACCGTTAGTATGTATACCGGATGTTGATACCAGATGCGTGATGTGATTTCTCATTGAGGAAGCATGCATCGACGGCAAGTCCTGGCTAAATTACCCGTGCCAGGTGACGTCGCTTCTCATTTAATTTCCTACCGCCTGCAAGCTTTATTTTTAAAAGTGTTTTTATTAAATTTAAATTTTTAGGTCGTAAGTGTAACAATGACCTGTTTGGGAATTTATTTATACATTTTATTTCATACGGTGAATATTGAAATTAAATATACTTTTATGTATACAATAAATTTTTTTTTTTTTAAATAGTATGGATCAATTTATCAAATGTTACCGAGAGAAAGTAGATTTTGTTCAGTTTTATACTGGTAATAATAAACAAAATGTGTAAATAAAAATAAATTCATTTGTTAACCAAAAGTTGACAGAATAATAAATATTTTATTTGAATAAAAAGCAGGACTATGAAATTCAATTAAATTGATAAATAATAAAAATAAAACTTTACATTTGAATTGATCTTCAGCTGGAGAATTTTCAAAATTTCTCTATCGGAATTGTAAATATTTGAATAAATCAATCAAAGCTAAAAAGTCAAACAAAGTTCTAAAATATTGGAAGTCAAAAGTTTCCACTTTTTAATAATAATAAAATGCCAGCAATATAAATCTTAGACAAATTTGAATATCAAAATTTCATTTTCGCTTTAAAACTACTTTAAGTAAATTATCTTTTTGAGTTATGTTCACAATATTGTAGTACGGCAACAATATTTCAAAATGTTCGCATAAATAACTTTATTAAAAAAAAGAAAAGCGTTTAAGCAGCGCCTTAATTGAATGTAATCTTGAAACGTAAACAATACGGCGTTGTATTGGTTGAAAAGAGAGTAACTTTTAACTTAATTTGCATCCCGGAAAAACAAATTTCCAATTTGTTAGCAAGTGTTATTTATATGATAAGGATAAATTAATCGTGGGTGCATGAGTTGGATGGTAATTTGAATATTCATGTCCCTCAGGTGATGGAAACGTTGTACATATATATAGCTCGGTAGCTTGGCATCAACCCATCTATTGCACATTCGCTCGTACTCGGCAACAAGTACCACTACAACACCGTGTTATACGTTACATACATATATGTATGTCAATATATATAAGCTCCTCGGACTTTCGATTCCCAAACATGCAAGCATTTTTATTTTTAAATATTTTTCCAACCCACTCAGCGCACTACGCTGGAAATACACCCAGGACATAAAAAATTCATACTTGCGTCTACGTCACTGTTATTTTGAAAGATAAACTTAAATGAAAATTATAATTTAATTATTACTCCTTTGCTTAATTTATTATTCATCATCTGCTGGGAAAACTATATTCATTACTATTGCATCGACGGTTAATGCATATCCACCGAGTAGTCACGAATAACGCGCTTAAATTTACTTGAGCGTCAGAAAATCCTAGATCCCACAATCTACATCGAGGATTACCGAGTTAAAGCCAGTAGGTTGCTCCTAAAGCAACAAATAAAACTAAGAAAAAAAAAGTAATAAACAAAAGAAAAGAAACTATTTTACTTGTTTTTGCTCAATGCATCAATAAAAGCTTGCAAGTTCTTCTCCAGCTCATAAATATTTCTTCATGTCACTTATCCTCTTACTCTCAAGCGAAACTATCTCATGAATTTTTAAAAACCATTACTGTGTACTGTTCATTCAAAGACACCTGAAAACCTTCCACTGTAATTAATGGATAATACAATAATCCTTTTTACTGCGTCATTATTGAATTAACTCTCTTATAAAGCTTTTTACTTATTAACCCTCGTCCACTTTCATTTAGTTCATTTATTAAAACTATAGAAAGATAACTTTACCCAGCATATAACTTGAAAAAAAAAATTCTCACAATAAAAATTACTAAAATAATTATCAAAAATATATTTTAATAATTTTTTTATTTTTTATTCTATCACGGAAAAAAGAATAAACTCGAAAAATTAAATTATAAATAGTAATAAGTGTCCCGTCGTATTCAAAACTAGAAAAATTACAATTCGAAATAACATTTTTCTAAATTCAAACTTTGAATGTTAATTTTCCGAGCTTTCAATGTAATATTTATATTTTACAATGTAATTCTTACAAAATCTGTAATAATTACAATCTGAAACTATAATTTTTCCAGTTTTCATCATGGAGCACCACGTTACGTTATATAATGTAATTTTTCTATTTTTCTTTTTTCCGTATACTGCACGGAAAAAAGTAAACTGTAATAAATAACAGTCGATTTATAATAAGTAATGATCAACTGCTAAAAATTATCATTTCAAACAGTAAAATCACGATTTTACTATTCACTTTATAATATTTACCATTTAAACGTTACAATTTACTCTTTACATGGAAGAAAATACTGTTTTAAACAGTAATATTAGCTATGTAAATGTCTAAAATGTTAAAGTATAGTAATTAAGAATTCAGACTTTGATATTTATCATTTCGTACCTAAAAAATGATCTTATGATATGTAAAAAGTATAAAATAAAGTTAGTAAATTTTTACTACAAGCAACGTCAATATTTACAAAGTAAAATGGTAAATTTTAAACGCAACAATACTAAAGTTAGCCGACGTTTTTAAATTTTTTTTTTTTTTTGATTTATTAAATTATAACTAAAAAATATTGTTCAAAAATTTCACTTATAGTTTTTCAATATTTTTACCTATGAAATTTTTTTTTTTTGATTATTTTGTAATAATTTATTTAAATAAAAAGAAATTCTAAAAATTTTTAAATGTCAGCTAACTTAATTTTCATCAATTTTTACTGTTTGAAACTGTAATTTTTTAAGATGAAAGAGTCGTTATTTACTATAGTGACAGCTACTAATCACTTATTTTGGATATTTAATTATAAATTGTGGCTTTTAATTAAGAATTTTGACTTTGATATTTATCATTTCGTACCTAAAAAATGATCTTATGATATGTAAAAAGTATAAAATAAAGTTAGTAAATTTTTACTACAAGCAACGTCAATATTTACAAAGTAAAATGGTAAATTTTAAACGCAACAATACTAAAGTTAGCCGACGTTTTTAATTTTTTTTTTTTTATTTATTAAATTATAACTAAAAAATATTGTTCAAAAATTTCACTTATAGTTTTTCAATATTTTTACCTATGAAATTTTTTTTTTTATTATTTTGTAATAATTTATTAAATAAAAAGAAATTCTAAAAATTTTTAAATGTCAGCTAACTTAATTTTCATCAATTTTTACTGTTTGAAACTGTAATTTTTTAAGATGAAAGAGTCGTTATTTACTATAGTGACAGCTACTAATCACTTATTTTGGATATTTAATTATAAATTGTGGCTTTTATACTTTCTACATTAAGTTCTGTAATATTTATATTTTTGCCGACCCGATGTCCGCTTTACTGTTTGAAACTATAAAAATTAACCGGAATCCGAGTGAATATTACAGTTTACTTTTTTTCCGTGTGATGTTTATAAATTTATTTAATTAACAATAAATTTTCCAGCTTAGAATGCCTCTGGCGCAAAACTTATAATTATCTGAGAACTTTCTCTCTTATTGGATGTTTTTATCGAGTTCTAGGAATGCAGGATAATTTACAGGTAAACTAACAGAGGTTGAACATAATAAAAGTAAATTTAATGTCCATCCGAAGTAAATAAAGAAAGCACTTAAAAAATACTCATTAAAGATATTGACCGTGAAAAAAGAATGAAAAATCCTGGAAGAGTAATTAACTTTATTTTCTTTTGGTTATTTGTTGCAGGTCAGTGTAAAATGGAGTCCAGTGAGTGGATCTCCTCTTGTACGACGTAGTATAACCAGAGCAAACAACGTGATACCAGATCGTCGAGCACAAGTATCAGTAATAGCAGTAATAGCTGCAACCAGGTGGTGTACCTACTAGAAGACGTTGCCAGTTGACACACATCGAGGCTCGTTAGTGGCTGAGTGACGATGCCTTGGCTACTTCCGGACGAGACTTGACCATCCTCTGTCGACAGATAATAAACACACACACACACACCCACGCCGCTTACAATCATAGATATATATATATATTTGGTGGATATTGAGGATATAAGAGAGTGTCCCCCGTACTCTCTCCGGATTGTAGACCATGTCTGGGCCGACGTCAGGCTCGGTTTCGAGCACGGTTGCGGGCCAAATAACAAGCACCCTTCTGCCAACAGTTACCAAGATTGACGCAAGGGATGACTCAAGCTCCCTATCTGTTGCGATTGCCTTCTTGATAGTTTGCGTCCTCGCTCCGGTGACCATCACAAGCAACACCATGATCCTAGCAGCCTTCTACAGATATAAGAGACTCAGGACCGCTTCGAACTGCCTCCTGGCTTCTCTCGCGGTCAGTGACTTCGGGGTGAGTATCTTCCCTTAGTTTCTCCCTCGGGAAATCGATCTTCCCTAACGGTACGACGAGATACAACCCCGGGGAATAAGTAATTTATTATTAAAGACCGAGATAAATTTAACGGTGTGTTTTTAGGAATGCAGAAGGAGAATTGCACATCTTACAGCGTAGCTATTTCGCCGTTAAATTTTTTTTATTCTTCAAGCTAGGCGTTAAATTTTTATTAATACAAAAAATATGTTAAAAAGTGTTTCTTCTACAATCTCACATATTTTTTATTTTTTAATAGAATACGAAGAAAGAAAATAGAAATTTTTACTATTTTTGCTGAGGGGAAATTCTTATGCTGACAGCAAATGTCACTGTAACCACCTGAAAAAAATTTATGTTAATTTAGTAAAAATTTATTATATCCACTCAAGGATTTTTTGACTCAATAATTTATTGAAATTAACAATTTAATGTATTAATGATTTAAAAAAGAATATTAATATCTATTTCCATCATTATAAGCAAACAAACAAATCCTAAACCAATAAGGAATCAAGTTCTATTTTTTTGGATTGATATCGAGAATTTCGATAAATTAATTTCATACGGAAAAAAGAAAAAGAGAAAAATTACATTATAAATAGTAATAATCGTCGCTTCATATAAAAACTAGAAAAATTGCAGTTTGAAATAACATTTTTATAAATTCAAACTTTGAATGCTAATTTTCAGAGCTTTTAGGGCCAGTTTTTCAACCCCGGGTTTAAGTATTTTATCATTGTGAATATATCTATGTATTATAGATATATAGGTATATTCACAATGATAAAATACTTAAATCCGGGGTTGAAAAACTGGCCCTTAATGTAATTCTTACCAAATCTGTAATAATTACAATCTGAAACTGTAATTTTTCCAGTTTTTTTTTTTTTTTATATGAAACGCTACATTACATTATATAATGTAATTTTTCTCTTTTTCATTTTCCCGAGCATTATAGTCATCAATTTTACATTATACCCCTATAACCAAAGTTGGAGTGCAGAAGTTGCTGCCCAATAATTGGAATCTACAAAATAAAATGCACTCATATAAAATTCTCTCTGTGTAAGGGATAATATGCTTTAAATCTCTCGATAAATTTATTTCTAATGATTATTACGTACCAATTTTATGTTTTCGCATCCTCTACAAGGTTTTGAGGCCCAAGAGTTGATTCATAAATTATTTCTATGTTGACATGGTAATTTATGATTTTAATTACATGTAAATTATTTCATGTAGCATAGGAATTCTTCCTGCAATATCTTACCCATTTTTTCATGAAAAAAATACATTTATTAACATAAAAAAAATTATCATATAAACATGAAATTTTTCTCCAAGAAAAAATGACAAAAATTTCCATTTTTTTGCCCATGAATAAGCGTATGGAGCGTATAATTTTCGATTTTCAAGCCAACATTATTTAATATAATATCATTGAATATATTCAACAGGTTGGGGTCTTCATTCCCTTCGGTGTATACATGGAACAATCAGGACCACCGGAAACAGGAGTTTCGAGTATTTGCATCCTTCCGTACTGCATTGTAATCGCTCTGTGCAGTGTCAGTGTACTCGTCACCGTGGCAATAGCTGTCGATCGGCTGACATCACTTGCTCAACCACTTCGTTACAAAAATATCATCACTCATAGCAGCGTTGAGAAGTACATTGCCGTGTTCTGGATCTACGCTATCGCGGTTGGACTTTCGCCGCTTATATATGCACACATCACGGGATTCCCGCCAACCAATGGGTAGGTATAATAATATACTCTGCAAACTGCTGGGCTGAAAGAAAAAATTGAGATTTTAAAATGGTTTTATTTTATGTAGGTTCAATATTATCTGTGATGTATGGCTCGACAATTTGAATAGATTAACGATGAATAACCTTCATTGAAGCTATTATTTATACGGGACATGATTAAGTGCACGAGTCTAGAATGTCCGGCTGTGCATGAATCTACACTATTTTGTGCTCGGTATATTGGGAATAATTTCAATGAAATTTATTGATCCGAAGTTTATAGACGTTATCGAATTATTAATCGTAATTAATGTCGGCTATAGATCTACTTTTTTGAATTATCTTCTTGAATCGTGTCTCTAATGTGTAAGAAAGAAAACCGGAAACCTCCCACTCAGAATATTCATTTTATTTTTATTTATTTACTAGGATTACAAAATACATACATTTAAAAAAAAAAAAAAAAAACCAAAAAAAAAAAATCAAGGTTAACTTGAATCAATTAAAATTTACTTAAATTATGAAAAATTTCTTCTTAGAATTTTTTTACTCAAATAAAAACGATCAAGTTTTATAAAAATTTTTTTTCAATTAAATAAACATTTTTTTTGTGTAGATATACATTTATAGAGATGATAGTATCATCTGTGCATAAAATCTGGTTAATATAATTTTTTATAATGAGGTATTGCTTAGTATTAGTCACATTTCATCCAGAGAAAAAAAAAATACAGACGATTTTCATGCTAATAATAAGTGTAAAAATATAATACTGTCTACACTAGAGATAAAATTATTTGACAACTATCAGCTACATAGATCCAGTTTATAAATTTTTTTTTCATCATTATTTTTTCAGCAAAATGTAGAGATTTAAAATTGTCTGGTAGAATGTTAAAATTATGTAGTTGTAAAAATAATTTTTTTTAATATCGAGTTTATTGAGGAATAATAATAGTAACAAAATATCTGGGTTAGAATGAATACTTTTAGAATAGTTATAAAAATATTTTATATAAATTTATGAAATTTTTAGGTAATTTTCAACAGGCGGTATTTCAACGGCGATGGTTGTAGAATAATGCAGATAAAGGTTCTAAAACTCGAGATTTTAGTTTAAAGGCTTGGAATGCAAAAAATTTTATCGTCGACCGTTACTGAGTAGTCATAAAAAAAAGCGGTGAAAGAAAATTCTTATAAATTGGTGAATTATTTTAAAAAGATCCCCGGAATTGAATATAATTTTTTTAAAATTTTCTCTATTAAAAATAAATTAAGTGGAAATTACTTTAAGACAAGTGGAAATTAAGCAATTTTTTATTTTGAATATTGTGAAAAGTGTCAAGTTATGAAGAATAATTACTTTCGGAAATTAGATATTAAAATTTAGTATAAAATCTTGTATTTTATGATAAAATTATAACACTCAATAATTTATGCAAGCTAAAAAATTGATTTTACAAACAAGAACTATAAAATGTCATTGAAAAAAAATTTTAATGGATAAAAAGTGCAAATGAAAGTAAAAAATGGATCTAAGAGTGATTAATTGTGACAACATAGCTTGACCGAAAATTTAACCGCCATAAATTGCCAAGTCATTCAACCGTTCTAACTTTAATAGAAGATTCGGTGGCCGTGGTCGTGGTCTAACTCTACGATACTTTACGCTTAGTATAGCCCTGTTTTACGCTCTCAAGGCAATCCATTCATTAATCGTTCCTCTCAGACAAAGCCAAGCCTCTCCATCAATCTCTCAAAGTTATGTGACTCCGACAATATTTTATTATTCTTCTTCTATAAAATATAAGAAAATCTTACATTTTCTTTATAGACTTTGTCTACTTACCTTCGTTTTCTATTTCTATGAGCTCCATATAATATTGTCCCTCTCTGATATTGGAATCTCGTAAATTCGTTACAGCGGAAGATTGTTTCATCCAGTATCCTCGGACAATGAAAGAAACGTCGCAAATTTTTTATTCTTTCAATAGTCTCTTTGTGACGACTGAAAATAATAAAAACCCGAGCGAAATATAACTGAAATCATTTTTGTGCAAGAAAACCGACGGGTGTCAAAAAAAAAATAGACAAAACTTTTTTATAAAGCATCGCCGAAAAAAAAAAATAATATTCGTTATTCGTTATTCGTTTACACATTTTTTTTTTTTCTGTTGGCTCTTCTTTATATATACTCAAGTCCAATTACATTTTGCGTTCTATTTTTATGCCACGTCGTACTAATGATGATAATATTCGATTTACTCTACATAAATATGACCTCGTTACTTCTATTCGGCTCTCTTTAGCTTTTTTCTCCTTTAGCATCTCCACCTCCAACTACTTCTCTCTCTTATTTTTATTTGTAATTTTTTCTTTATTAAACCAAGCACATAAAAAAGTATAACTAAACCATTTGAATTGATCAATAGAACCAAAAATACAATAATAATAATAATAATAATAATAATAATAAAAATTATATTGTGTGACAGCTCTGCAGGTTGTTGAATTTTAATGAAAAATTTATAAAAAACTAAACTTTATTCTTCTTTTGTTACAGTGGAAGCTGTCGTTTCGGAGCGGCAATTCAGCCACCGGTTCGTGTATTTCTAGTGGTTGCAGTTTGGGCTCCAAGTGCTTTCGTTTTGCTCGGCTGTTATATATATGTTTACCTCGTTGCACGTGCACACGCTCGGGCAATCTACACTGTTGAGCTGTCATTCAGACATCAAACGCAGACACTGGCACTACCGCGTTATGGCCAAACTTTAGCGGCAACTGTTGGAGCTTTTCTCGTTCTCTGGCTGCCTTTTCAGGTAATAACACTATCCGTTACCGAATCCGTTAGCATTGTGTTTTATCGAAGCTTTCAATTATTTTTATTCCGGTGAAAAAAAGCTTCAAGCTTCTTTCTTTTTATTTTTCTTTTTTAAAACTAAAATTCAATACTGAAACTGAAGCTGCGGCTGAATTGAATTGAATGGAAAATTAATTGTCAGTGACAGATAAATGTCTGACCGCACGACGGGTGATCTACTTGCTTAGTATCCAGCAAGAAGTAACACCGTGTACAAGTAACAAGTTATGGTGAATACATTAGCATATTTACCATACGTAGTCCCGACATGCCAGTACGTAAATTCGATCTATTCCTGCTATAGGAATATATTCTAAAACTGAAACTTTGCTACTGGGTGTATATAGTAAGCCTGAGAGAGAGAGATAATGCTGGTTGATTTCTATACTCACGGTAACGCTGGTGAAATATATGTATGCACTTATATATAGCGAAGAGTATGAACAGAATTACAAAGCGACAAGCCAGCAGTAACCAACTTTTCTAACGTTGACATCATCTCAAGGGAAAGTTTCTATAGATTTTTCATCGCTTGGCTGTAAAAAGAAAATGGCTGAAATTTTTTTCAACTTTCAGTAGTCTCGGATCGGCCATCAAACTTTAGTGCATTAAATTAATTATTTGTCACTGAATTTTTCATTTTTTTTCAGAAAGAAATTTTTCTTCCCACACGGAAAAAAGTAAACTGATAAATTAAATAAAACTATAAATAAATATAATAAATAAAACTATTTTAATTAAAAAAAAAAAAAAAAAATTATATTTATTTTGATCAAGAATAATAATCGATTTAGAATAAATAACAATCAACTGGGAAAAAATTATGACACTGAAGTTGACAGATATTATCAATTTTTTTAGAATTTTTTAACAATTAAATAATTATAAAAAAAAATTAATTAAAAAGTTTCTCATATGTAAAAATTAATAAAAATTACACATGAAAATTTTTAGAAGCATTTTTTTATTGTAATTAATTTGTTAAAAAATTTTAAAAAATTGACAGCTGACAGCTAACTTCAGTATTATAAAAAATTGCCATTTTAAACGAAAATGTTAAAGTATAATAATTAAGAATTTTGACTTTGATATTTATCATATCGTACCTACAAAATGATCGCATGTTATGTAAAAAATATAAACTAAATTTCTACACAAGCAACGTCAATATTTACAAAGTAAAATAGTTAATTTTAAACGCAACGCTAAAAATCAAACTATAATTATTGATTTGCTTGGACTGGCAAAATATATATTTTAAGAGTAGAATTTTTACTGTTTCAAATGTTAAATTCTCCGAGTGTGAGACCTTCTTTTCCTCATAGTATTGACTGTATATTGAAACGGCAATTTTTAATGTTTGAAACTGTAATTTTTTAAGATGAGAGAGTCGTTATTTACCATAGTGACAGCTACTAATCACAATTTCGATATTAAATTATAAATTGTGACTTTTACACTTTCTACATTAAGTTTTGTAATATTTACATTTGTGCCACCCCGATGTCCGCTGTACTGTTTGAAACTATAAAAATTAACCGGATCGAATCCGGGTGAATTTTACTGTTTACTTTTTTCCGTGAATTGCTACTGCCTGAAGATATTGAAGAATATATAGACAGATAACTTGATATAAAAAAATAAAAAATAAAAAGCGAATTCGACGATTGCCGGTGATTTAAATTCTCAGCTGAGTTGACCTGGTTTCAGTACTTGAACAAAGTTAAATTCTTTAGTTGAAAGAATGAAAGGCATATTGAGGCCAGCTGGTGCATTATTTCTCTCGCTTCTGACTGTCCCTTCTTTATATTGTTTACTTATCCATAGATGGATCACGAGCTTTATCCGACGTTTATTCACATCTCTGTAATGCAATAACATCTGTCAAAGGACATTATGACTTTGATTTAATTTATATTAAAAGCTGCAATCATATAATTAGCTCTTAAGTAATTAACGAAATAGAATTAAAAAATTCATATTTAATTACAATAAAAAAAGCTTAATACAAAATAAAACAATAAAATAAATGATATTTTTTCAGGCATGCATGCTGCTCGACGTATTCTGCGGTACTAGTATCCTGTCAGAGTGGACAATAGTTTGGCTGGGTCTACCAATTCTCGCTCACAGCGGCGTAAATCCCTGGATCTATGCGTTTCATCACGGCGAAATGCGCGGAGCAGCTGGTAAAATAGCGGAGGATGTTGTAACGCGCTTTGGCATTCATCCAAGCCGTTATGGATGTTCCCCGATAGCTCGTGGTGGCTCAAATTTAGAGCTCGGTGCGGTAAACAAGAATCACGAGGAACGTCGACCGCCTGTTGAAGATTGCTTTGCCGCAAAACATCAGAATAATTTTTACCCCGTAAGAGAGCGACGATCTGAAACGACCAGTAATAACATTGAGATTTCTCCGGAGGGCAATGAATCCGGGAAGCGATTCTCCCAGTACGAGTCTGCAGTCGATGTAATCGAGGAGGACGTTCGCGACCTTGCTAAAATGCTCGGAGCAGAATATGCCGTCAATAGATGCCACTTGATAGATACAAATCACAATGTAGACAAAATAAAAAACCTTAAATATCTTCTGGATCCAACCTTCAACAAAATACGTCACTTACGTAAATTGAATCACAAAAGTATGGTCTGCTGTGGTAAACACGAAGGAGAAAATCAGGGTAAGAATTTAAATCAATTTAGATTCATTTCGTATCAGAACTTAAAAAGTGATATAAATAGTCGACGAACGCTCAAACTGAACGCTTTGTCGGATCCGACGTTAAATGTAGACACTCCGTACAGTGGGAGTGTCGATTTGGGTGAAGGACTTCACAAAGACACATTACTACGCTTTAATCAACGAAGAGACTCCGGTTTGGCCTCTATGTCCGATCCTAACATCAAAGCGATTCATCTTGTCAAGGCGCACAGTCATCGAGCAGTGGTTCCCGAGTGCCACCGGTTTTCTGTACAGAGCCTAGATCACCCCCGGTGTCTTATTCAATCCCGTAAGCCTGATAGAAAAACCTCTCGGGACTTAAATTCGGTGAAGACGAGGAGCGAGATTGCTGCCAGATGGAGGCAGGCAGCATCTAAACAGCTTACTGTCACTGCTAATAAACTCTCGAGCTTCTTTCACCCGGAGCACCATCGGTTGAGTAATTTTAGCGATCACCAGCTCACGATCCCATCACCCTCCTCCCATTTGCAGCTGCCCCAAAGATGCTTCGACTGTCTAAGACACTCCGAGTCTGTCGGCTGCGGTATCGAAGGATCCAAACTTTTAGAGCCTAAAAGACTTAACAGCACTCTGACTGTTCCTATAATTCACTCGGAGCCGCCCAGTCCGCAAGTTGACTTTCCACCTTTAGCGGCGCTGAGAGAAGAAGAGTCGCTGGATGACCTGGAGGCGATCAGATCTCCTCAGACGAGGCGTAACAGCTCCAAAAGCTCGGTAAGACACTCAGATCCCTTTCCTTATGTTTTGCTGAACATCGAAGACTTTGACAAGGAATTAAGCCCCGAGGCTTCCAGTCACAACGTCAGGTCGATTGATCCAGATGAATTGATTGCTGCTTTATCGAAAGCTCCTCCAGAGACTCGGCTGTCTAGTAGCAATCTTTTTCCAGAGCACGACTCGACGAGGTTTAGCTCCCGAAGACCCTCTGATTTGAGGTGGTCAGAGGCTTCCAGAAGTCAAGAGATACTCTCGAATATTAACGAACATCAAAAGTCACCGTCCTCCTACTCGGTAAATAATTGTCAGACTTGCAACAGCGGGAGCGACCTTAATGACGTAACTTGTTTGGATTCATTTATGTGTCCTGACGCACTTAGTTCCTCGTTACGTGAGTCCTTTTTTGAAGCACCGTCAAATCCAGACTCAGACGTCTTCACCTCGCTAGAGGACACCGAAATTAAGGAGTCTGTGCCGGATCCACGCAGGTGGATTCTCCCACCTGTTCATTCTTCCGTCACTTCTGTTAATAATAAAATTATAAATAATAATAATAATAATAATAATAATAATAATAATAATATTAATTGTCGGGAAAATGGTATTAAACGGCCGGAAAATGAGTCGCGTCAAAGCAAGTCGTCGGATTCAGTAATGTTGAGGTGCCGGCACGCCTTTCTGTGGCTGCAGATGACGGGTCACAGAGGGAAAATTAGTCTCAATTCCAGCAAAGATGTGATAATGAATGGCTCGAAGAAGAAAATTAGATTAGCGCCGTTGGCTCCTTCTACGTCTATTGACATTTGTTCACCCTCTGTAGAGATTAAGGGCTCATCTGGTATTGGAGTTAGAGTGTAAGCCTGCCGAGAAAGAACAATTATTTAATCTTTGATGTCTTTTTCAATTGTACAAAGAAGTAATATTAATATTGTCGAGTACTTACTGTTGAGAGACGAAGATACAACTATCAAAGTGTAAAATCAAAAAATATATGTTCGGTGATAAGAAATTATTGTGTCGATATATGTAGTTTAAATGAAAATTGTCCTAATATAATATTAGAGGCTACTTGTCATAAGATATGTATATTAATTTATGAATAATTTTTTAACAATGTTGGAATGGGTTAAAATCGTGTCAATTATGACCGATTACTGTGATAGAAGTTGAATGAAATGATTGCTGTACCTGTATAAAAAATATAAATAAATGATATATGTTAATATGTATATTTATTGTAAGATATAATTATTAATTGATAATTTTTTCATGAATTATTAATTTATTGTGCCAATTTGAGCGAATTCAATTACCAAAGCTTTAATTGCGACAGTTTAAACATTGTGTTTGTAATTAAAAATTTCAAATTAAAGAAGAAAGAAATAATTAAGGACCAAAATAAATAAAATCGAATAGTCGTAGCTCAAAAGTAAATTTAAAATAAAAGAGTTACACTTAAAACTCTATAATGTTTTTTTTTACTCACTGATTATAATTATATTGCAAACAATAAGCTTGTACATGGCGAAGAAATTTAAATGTAACACAGTTTAAATGTATCTTGAACAATTAAACGCTGTTTGTAATATAAAATTTTAGTATTATGTATGACAACTATTGATTATGAAGATAAGTTTCAAAACTATGTCAAAGGCCAATTAAAAAACGTAACAGAGCTACTTTTTATACGCATAAGTAAAGCGCATGTATGTACTTTCTCATTAAACAGTTACCTGTTAAAACTCACACGTACCTCTATAGAATTTTTAGTATCAGAAATACTGAAAATTCTATACCAACTGCGTCCGATACTCACAATAAAGTTAATAGGAAGGATAACGAAACAATACCAAAGAGATCCCTAATTTAATTACAGATACATTCATATCCATATATATTTTTATGAAAAAGCTTATATTTCCTCTGTGGAAAATATTCATCAACTTCTCTGATGTATAAAATTTCAATTTATTATTACGTAAAATCAAAAGTCAATAAAGAGAAATATAAAAACAACTTTTGTTTTATTAATTAATTAATTACCACCATTTTTTGTTATAAAATTGTTTTATTATTTCTTCAATGCAATACTTACTTTTTAAAAATTTATTTTATACATTTTTAACATTAAAATTAAATAATACTAAAGTTAGCCGACGTTTTTAATTTTTTTTAATAATTAAATTAGAACAAAAAAATATTACACTTATAGTTTTTAAAGTTTTTTACAAATGAAATTTTTTTTTTTATTTTTTTGTAATCATTTTTTTAATGAAAAAAAATTTTAAATGTCAGCTAATTTAATTTTCATTAAAATTAATTAAAATTCAAGTAAAATTTTTTTTATCAAATTAATAATATTAATAAGTATCAATTTCAAGTATTTTTATTTCAAAAATGTAAAAGAAGAAATAAACTTTTATTCCTAAAAGCTTCACGCGATTGTTTAGATTGTTTCAAGGTTGATTGGTGCTTCCACCTATTGAGGAAATTTTAGTTAAAAAAAATTTATTCTCTTACCAACAAGAGCAACAGTAAAAATTTCTACATTATCAATCCGTAGTACAGTGACCCCTAGTTTCGAATAATATGATGAAATTTTTTTTCCACATTACTTATACTGGTTACTGCAGCAAGTCCTGACTCAGGTTCACATGCTAAGTCAACAGCCGTTAGTATTGTGCAATTCATTTCAACCCATGATTAATACTAATAAGTTTAATAATCGGTGTGTAATTTAATTGCAGAGAAATAACAATCAGTATTGCAAGGTTCCATATTTAGTTGAATAATAGTTAAAAAAAAAAAAATGGAGCCCGTAACAGTAGGAATTGAAACGTTAGAGGTTAATGGAGACAATACACAAGAGGATGTTGTTACCCCTTGGACTGTTGAAAGTACTAATGAGACAGGAATAGATTATGATAAATTAATAAGTGAGTATAATTTTCAATAATTTAAAATTTACATTTTAACTAATAAGTTTCATCAATAAATTTTTTTTGTTACTTTTAGAGCGGTTTGGCAGTTCGAAAGTAGACCAGGAACTACTGGACCGATTTGAAAAAATAACCGGCAAACCATGTCACCATTTCTTGCGTCGTGGTATATTTTTTTCACACCGTGATATGCATACAGTATTGAATTTATACGAGCAGGGCAAGCCGTTTTACTTGTATACAGGACGAGGGCCTAGTTCAGATGCAATGCACGTTGGACACATGATCCCATTTGTCTTTTGTAAATGGCTCCAAGAGGTGTTCGATGTTCCGCTGGTAATACAACTAACTGACGATGAAAAAGCGATCTGGAAAAATTTAAAAGTAGAAGACGCGATAAAACTAGCGTATGAAAATGCCAAGGACATAATAGCCTTTGGCTTTGACGTCAAAAACACATTCATATTTTCCAATCTAGAGCATATCGGTACTAACCCAGCATTTTATCAAAATATGATAAGAATACAAAAGTCTGTGACATACAATCAAATCAAAGGGATATTTGGATTCGGTGACAGTGATCCAGTTGCTAAAATAGCCTTTCCACCAACTCAAGCAGCTCCAGCAATCTCCAGCACGTTTCCTTTTATTTTTAAAAATGAAAAGTTGCCTTGCTTAATTCCTTGTGGCATTGATCAGGATCCGTACTTCAGGATGACAAGAGATGTTGCTCCCAAAATGGGCTTCCCCAAGCCAGCATTGATGCACTCTTCATTTTTCCCAGCATTGCAAGGATCCCAGACGAAGATGTCTGCCAGTGATGTAAATTCAGCAATATTTTTGACGGATACTCCTAAGCAAATTAAGAGTAAAATAAACAAACACGCGTTTTCTGGAGGACAAGCAACTGTTGAAGAGCACAGAAAACTCGGCGGTAATTGTGATATTGACATTTCTTACCAATGGCTAAGATTTTTCCTCGAGGATAATGATAAACTGAATGAACTCAAAACGGTAAGCTATTTTAATTATTAATCTGATTACTATTACTGATAAGTATTTAAGCTGCATTCGAAAATGTTATATCTCCAGATACATAATTAAGAAACGACCTTGTATCTTGTAAACTATTGACATTTTTAAAGATATAAGTTCATCCCGATGTTACACTCATCAAGACCTTTCCTTTGAGTACCCACATCAATTTTTCATATATTTTATATATTTATATATATTATGTATATATGCATATATGAAAAATATATCAAAAATGCTTGTAGGTACTCAAATGAAAGCTCTTGATGAGTATAACATCGAGATGAGCTTATATCTTTAAAAATGTCAATATTTAAAAAAGTACAGTGCAATTTAACAAAAGTTATTGTTTAATTTTATTTATTTATAGTTCACAAGTCACGGCAGTCACATAGTGACTGCTAGGTTCCTGGTGAAAATTAATATTGAAAGTTAATTTTTTTAATGCTGAACTTTTTTTGTAGAATTATACCAGTGGAGCTTTACTAACTGGAGAGTTGAAACAAGAATTGATAAAGATACTCCAAGAGGTTGTCAGCTCACATCAAGAGAGGAGAAAAAATATTACTGACGATCTAGTGAAAGAATTTATGAAGCCGAGAGATCTAGGTTTCTCTTCGAAAAAATGTGTTTAGTTGTGATTAAATTTAATTTTATTTAGCGGGAAGCTTTTTCGCACGAACTGATTAATATTCTTTTTCATACTTAATATTTATAAAATTAATATTTATTTAAAAGGCATTTTGATAGTCAAAATTTTTTTTCAGTTGCAATAGAACATTTATAATACAGTGTATAAAATACTATTTTTCTTGATAAATTTTTTTGTACTGTAAATATCACGCATTACCTACAATGCTTTGTACATGAAATAAACCAATATAGTTCCAGATAAATAAACACGCTTTACAACTTAATTAAAAGAATTTTTAATTTACTTATATTAGATAGTGATCACATAGCTTCAGAAAAGTCGATTCGAAATAAATATACTAATAAAATTTCTTTATTTTTAAATTATTTACTGCTTAATCCTGAGATAAATCTAACCACGTGGTAAGCCTTAAAAATCTTCTGTCAAGAGAATTTTTTGTTTACAGTCATGCGTGAGTATTTACTTGTTTTTCCGTCATAGCGCAGCTTTTCAGCTCGGCCTCATTCATGTAACGTGAACATAAATCGTCACTTTGGTGACATGTATTGCAAAGCTGACTCGATGAATGATGAATGATCGACTTCGGTAATGACTAAAACTAAAAAAAATTGTTACGTATTAACTTAATTTTCATTATTATTATTAGGGAGCTTACATTAAATTCGTCTATTTAAAAATTAATTAGTTTGTAGAGTTACTAAAATTCAAACATTTTTATTTTTTTCTTCGTTCATACAATTTAATGATCTCATGTTCATAATCTATCATGTTTATAATTAACTTTTAATTTTTTATGAGCATCACTCATCGATAAAAATATATTTTTATTACAAGTTAAAATAGAATACAAACTTTATTTAAAAACAAACGCTGGATGAGTAAAAATAATCAGCTGGATTTGAAGACACGTAATATTCTTCGACCTTTGGATCTATAACAAAAATTATGAGATTATGATGAAATCGAGTACTAAAAAATTTTAATAATAACAACTTACCTTATAAAAAAATCATCAAGTACTATTATAATTTTTTATAATGATAGTGCTTTAAATCTCGTCAACGAACCACGTTGATCATCCTGAGACTTTGGATCTTTCGTTTCTCTGACATTAAATTTCAAAAACATAACAATATATCCCGTCAATTCATGCGAATTAAAATGTGCTGCTAAATCATAAATAGTTTGGGCATTTTCAACTGTTAAAAAATCTTCACTTAGACTTTTTTCGCACATACGTTTGAGTGCTTTCAGCTCATACTTATCAGCCTCTCCGAATAGAGGTACAATATGATCATCTAGATACGTCACTTGATCTAAATAAATAAACTCTAATAATTTTTCAAATACTTTAGGATCCATATCAAAAACAATTGAACTATCTTTTTTTTTAGTTTCATCAGAAACCAGCACGTTCAATAACTTGGGACAGCGAATGTTGAGAACATCTTGATGCACTCGAATTGTTTTTCCCTTTACTTGTACAACAATATCACCATCAACCTCTTTGGTTTTGTATAATTCTTTGAAATTATCTGGAAGATCAGCCTTGGGGTAAAGCTCAATTATTTCATCAGCGGGCAATGGAGTAATATCATCAAGAAAAAGTGTAAGCTGAAGGCGGATGGTCAAAGTGTCGTTTACCAAAAACGTTTCTTTTTCACTAGCTGAATTCCTCTTTAGAAAATGTATTATTTCATGAATATGGTGACCTTTAAAATACTCAGGACGTCGTCCAACAAATATCTCCTTTTTCTTATTATCAACAACATAAATTGAATAATATCCTCTGGTAGCAACTTTTTTTGACACCGAATTAAACTGTACAGCTACCCATGTTTCGCTGTACAACGAATGATCAAATGATAATCTCAGAAACCACTTATCATAATCAATTCCAGCTCCTGAAGAAAACGTAAAGAACTCAGTCGTAGTTCTTCTGCGTCTGGGATCAATAAACAAATATGAGCTTACATTAAAAACTTTATACTCATGCCAGCTGGTATGTATCTTCCCGTCTTTTCTTCTTTGCAGAGACATTTTTCAAATACTATTCAAGTACAACTTTTTCACTAATTAAACTTCTTTTAAAACCATTTATTTCCGTAAATTAATAAACTTAGGTCTAGTTTTCTTTGAATTGAAATTATTTACTATTCAATAATAAAATTTTCGACTGACAAAATACTATTTTGTGATAAGCGTAAGTTTAACTCTTGGAAACTCTGGGTAACTTCTGCCTGGTTCTGTCGGAACTATTTTCTCGTTTATATTCCAGCGTAAATTCTTCCTCGTTTTTGTGTCACACCCAACAGCGCAACTCTTAGAGGTTTCTTCTTACCTATCTGTAAATATCCCATGCCATGAACTGCTACATGCTCCAACATCTAAAGGTATAACGATATACTTTTTACACTGCATTATTGTGATATAATTAACTGTTTATTATCTTTAAATGATACCCTGAAAATCATTCATCATCTTCAATCCTAGATTCTGATTAAAAAGTTGATTTAATAGTTTACTTCATCACACGGAAATCTGAAGATATCTGACAGTTTTTATAAATTTTATAATTAAATCAATTTATTATAAAAAAAAAAATATTTTTTCAAATTTATTATAATTTCTAGATATGAATTTTTTTTACATAATTTTTTATAACAAGGAAGTTGTTTTAAAAAATGATACTGAATATTTAATAGACATTTAACAATTTTTTATACTGTTAAAATAATTTGATTATAAAGAAAAAAATTTTACATGTAGAAATTTTTAAAAATTATATATATGAATTCTAAAAAATATTTTTTTATAATAATTTATTTTTTATAAAAATTCCAATAATTGTCAGCTGTCTACTTATTTCAATTACAATCAAGTTAGCTGTCACCTGACAATTTTTTAATTTTATTTAACAAAAAGATTTTTTCCAAAAAATTATTTTTAAACAATTATATTTTTTTTTTAATTTCTAAATGTCAATTTTTTTTTTCTCATTTTTTTTGCCATAATTCATTCATTATAAAATTTTTAAAATTATTAAATATGTGCGAAATTAATTTTAAATAATTTTTATTTAATAATTATTCATAAAATTTTATAGAAAATACTTACTATTAATTTCTAATTCATTTAAGTTATACATATCAGTCATGAACAGGTGGTTGCTGTGAACAACCATGAGCTTCTAATAATTTGTAATTGGCAATAACCATTACCATCAACAACTTTCTATCCGAAAGATTTCACCGCAAAATTGACACTATGCTGCCATCTACCGGAACTGTTGATAATTTTTTACGTTAATTTTCTCGTTAATTCATTTTCTATGTTCGTTTAAGCGCTCGAATGTGTGAGCAGTAAAGAAATCTTAAAACCGCCATTGGTCAAAAGTGACGACATTTGTTGAAGTTATTTATAGACCGGCGCAAGCGCAGTTTAATTTCTTTTAGTGTGCGTGTCCGCCATTCATACAAGTCGATTTTCCTGTTTCTTTCTGTGTGTGTGTGTACAAGCAGAGGAGCTAAACCGAAGCAGCTAGTATAACCCAGCTAGAAAGAGAAAACATAAAGAGACATGGTGACGGTGATATTCGCGTGGCTTGGTAATAAAAACATGAGACTTGTGGATTAATTAATACTATTTATTGTAATTATTAATCAGTTTTACAAAAAAAATATATTATTATTGTAGTATATAGGACACATTTAATTGTACGTAAATTATAAAAGTAAGATGATAACCGGTGATGTTAGTTCGACGTAAGTTTTTGTAATTTTTCTGGCAAATTCATGGCTAAGCACATTAATTTATCTTTGGGTTTAAAAAATTCAGCCGCATGCTAATTTATTTTAGAATTCGCTTCAACGCTTCCATCGTGATTTATTAATTTTTTTTTTTTTAATCTCGTGATTAGTGCGTGTACTAATTCTTATTGATATTATTTAATCATCATCTTTCTTTTTATTTTTTTTAGACGCAGATGAGTGGGTATGACATAATAAACAATTAATAGCAAATTAATACCGGTTGATGTAAGTCATTCACCCATCTCAAGGTTTCCATCATACATTTTTGCTTCCATTCTACAGTAAATTTCCAAACTAAATTTATCGTTTTGAGAATAGGTCATGTGAAAATGCCTCCTAATAAAATGTCTTACGCTTTGGGTATATACATATACTTATATGTATATACACAACATATACATAATATATATATATGGATTTATCGCAAGTTATTATTTATGTGATTAAAAAACGAAAATTATGCCTCGATTTATGATAAACAGATAACAGTATTGAGTATTTGAAATAATTGCATAATAATTAATTAAAAATAGTCTTAGTCGATACGTGAAAGCGCGTACAAGTGAGTGTGTGATATTGTTTCTTAATAAAAATCAATTTGATATGTTACAGGTATTTAATGGACTTTGTCATTAAGAGTAAAATGCTTAATAAATAATACGTTGTAAAAGGCTATAATTGTAAGGAGAGAGAAAAAAGGAGACAAAATATTAAAGCAAACTTGATTGAAGCACCAGAGAGATAAATTAAAGAGATAAATTGATAAGGAAATAAGTAGAGCGCAATAACATAAACTATGGGGGCATTTTTGGATACACCAAACACTGAGAAGTACAACGAACATGGTTCGGGTAATGATTTGCAATACGGAGTGGCAAGTATGCAAGGATGGCGTATGGAGATGGAAGACGCACATTGTGCGATTACAGGCTTGGAGGGTGGCCTGTCTGATTGGAGTTACTTTGCGGTATTTGACGGGCATGCTGGGGCGCTAGTTTCCGCGCATAGCGCGGAACATTTGCTGGACTCGATTGTTGAGACGGAGGAGTTTAAATCCGAGGATGTGATAAAGGGTATACATTCAGGTTTCCTGCGACTTGACCACAAAATGCGTGATCTGCTGGAGACGAGTAAAGACAAGTCTGGGTCAACAGCTGTTTGTGCATTCATATCACCGAAACACATTTATATCGCTAATTGCGGTGACTCCAGGGCGGTACTGTGCAGCGCAGGAAGTCCTGTTTTTTCGACACGGGACCACAAACCCGTGTTGCCAGCTGAAAAAGAACGCATCCAAGCAGCAGGTGGTAGCGTTATGGTAGAACGTGTTAATGGATCATTGGCTGTATCACGTGCTCTCGGTGATTACGAGTACAAAAACGTCGAAGGACGTGGACCATGTGAGCAATTAGTCTCACCAGAACCAGAGATTTTCGTCCGAGATCGGGACATGGAGCACGACGAGTTTTTAGTACTCGCCTGTGACGGCATTTGGGACGTTATGACCAATCAAGATCTTTGTGATTTTATTTACTCCAGATTATTGCTGACTGACGACTTAGAGGCTGTTACTAACCAAGTTATTGATACTTGTCTTCACAAGGTAATTTTTTTTTATCTTATTTATTCAAAGTAAAGTTAAAGTTGTTTCTTTAATCTAATAACATACCGCTAAAATTTAATAATCGATAATGTTTGATGTTTTCAACCACAGGGTAGCCGAGACAATATGAGCATAGTATTGGTAACATTTCCTGCGGCTCCCAAGCCAAGTATCGAAGCACAAAAGAAGGAAGCCGAGTTAGAAATGACCATCGAAAGGAGAATTAAAGGTTCACTGAATTTTTCATACTCACACTCAATATTTTCTCTATGCTGTTGCTTTAATCCGCGTAAACGTGCTCGTGTTCGCGTGCGAAAAAATAATAAATGACAATTGTACGTCGCCCAGTGCAATAAACACGAAAAAAACAGCTCTGTAGAACTTACAGAAACTAACATATAAAGTATAGAAATAAATACGTACTTTTTACAGAAATATTTAGGTTTATAATTATAAATCAATTTTTGTAAATTCAACAGATCTGTTTTTTTTCGTTAAATGTAAATATATATAAAAAAAAGTTATATAGATACATTTATAGAGGGAAAAGCCGCGCGACGTGTATGAATGAAAGTGATTTTCAGGGACAATGAAATAGTTGTCAAAAAATCTAAATTGATAAAGCGAAAACGTATTTATTGAAGCAAATTATCATATTGTGAAGGCTCTATTTCAATCAAACAATTTCAATCATATATTTATAGTGACTAAAAAATACAACAATACGATTTCAAATCTCTAGTTGTTAAAACACCTTGCGCGATGTGAGGCGTGTCATATGTATCTGTAAATATTGACACTATTAGTTACGTAAAAAAAAAAAAAAAAAAATTCTGATTGGGACCAGTTTTTCGTCAATCAAAATATCTCATTAATCACTACAGTGATTCACTGAGATTTTTATTAAGTGATTAATTAATAGTTATATTTAATAACTCATAACGAACGATTTAATGCCCTCCTGACAAGTGATAAGTTAATACTTAAATCAAACACCAATAAAATACGATCGTCTCTAATATCGATTATATATGTTCTAAGAGTCTTTAGGAATCGTTTTATTTTTTTTCCCTCGTTGCTGTGATCTAAGTAATTAGATAACCACGTTACTGCCTTTCAAAATAAAACACCAACAATTATATATCGATATACAAATATACCCTATTAATTACATAAGAGATTTAACTTGTAAGATATATTCCCTGACACATTTGTCAAATGCATAACCAATTAATCGTATGACTAATTATTTACTAGAAAATATTTAGTTAATTGATCATGAGGCTCAAAATCATCTCTTTTCAATGTACTTAACATTTTTTTATTCTCTTAATTATACAGTCTATTTATTCTTAGGAGAATTAAAAAAAAAAAATTAGTTTGAAAGCAATAACTGCTATTTATATTTCCATTAGAAATTTTTAAAGGATTGAAATAATGATACTAATCAAAACTAGTCAATTCAGTGTGATTTTATAATTAAAAAAAAAAATAATTATATTAAGTATACAAAAATAGTAGTACAGGTGTTTAAAAATAAACAATGTGCCAAAGACGAAGGTGAAAAATAAAAGAAATGTTTTAAAGTAATTTTATGAATTAAAAATAAAATAAATATCGCGTAATATTAGCAAACAAAGAGTTGTTTTATACAACATTTTATTGATTTAATAATCAAAAAAAAATTTATATAAAGAAAACACGCACGTTGATAAATTAAATTGAACACTTTATTATTATATAAGTTAGAGTACAAATAAATAAAAAAATAAAGTTAATAGAATTTTATTATTACAAGTATTATATTTTAGTCTATGACTAGATCATAGTCATAAAGTAGTTTGTAGCATTAATCAGTCATTATATTGTTTAGAGAAAATATATTTATTATTGACGTGAACAAACAAAAGTTTAAATATAAATACATTAAATAATATATTAAAGATATAAGATATCAATACAAAATATACATTAATATTATTTTAAAAATCCACCCTTGGAGTTGTCACGATACTTCGTAACAGCTTTTATTAAATATAAATTATTAGTAAAGTAAATGTAAAAAATTATTATAAATATTATGTATTTTGTGTTGGAAATTAGTTTAGAAGGCGCCACAGGTAGGTGCAAACTTATTTACAACACATTAGTTTCTTTTTTTTTTCTTGTTTGATCAGTTATAAATTCCAGTGTATATTTATCTTAGTTAAATTTAAACGGCAATGCATTTCTTATGGAGAGTCATTGCTATTGCCGTAATCAGAACAAATCAATTTATACAAAAGCGAATTCTAAATCATAAATCCATATATATTTATGTAAAATTAATTTAAAAAGCGAACAGTAAATGCAATTCCAGAGGTGGATTAAATCTAAATATTTAAACCCAAATACAAATTTTAAAAATAATAAATCATCCCACTATCATTTATATCCATAAGAAATGTACCGTAACTCAGATATATTATATATCACTGTAGTTGCATGTTATTTAAAATTTTAATAGTAGTATTCGTTTACTTAAGATTAATATGCAACTAAAAGAAAAGAAAAATTAAAAAAAAAAAGCGTGAATTCGATATCTTTATTTTTATACTTTGATAATTTATTTACTTAATTAATTAATTATCTTATGGATACACTTGCACTTTTATCAATTTATTTATTCACACATAATTAACTCCCCTTTTATTTACTTAAAAATTTATATATTTAATTAGCTGCGTTTAGAGCAATAGATTTAAACTTTAAGAAATTTTAAATGACCTTGAAAAAATATTTGTTATAATTTTGGCTCTTTTTTCTTTTTTTTTTTTCAACAGAAATCGTTGCACAGCAAGAGGGCAAAGACGGCTTCGATTATCTGGAACTGCTACGGATTCTTGTTGATCAAGAACTACCGAATCTACCCCCTGGAGGCGGTCTGTCAGCAAAGTGAGTTACTTTTTATACAACACAAACACACACGAGCAAATCAATTGTTTTCGAGTCAACGAAAATATTGGTACTGATCTTGATCCTCTTTAACATCTACCAAATAATCTTTTCTTCTTGAGATTACATAAATAGTACTAAAAATTAAATTATATACAATGATACTACCGCTTATAGAGTACCGAGGAAGTCTATATAATATCAATTTGGCTTAATTCCAAATTATTCCGCAATCACGTAATTAGGATAGCCAAGTCATGTAGCCTTGTTTTCACGCTTCAAGTAAAAAGCCTCGAGATTCTTGTAAACTTGTCTTTTTTTAACACGCTCATGCTTTTATAGCTAAACTTGATCTTATCGTCATATAGATACTTCAAATAACGTGATTCATTTGCGTCAACTACCTCTAATTACTCACCGTCATTAAATGTAATTTATCATTTGTTTATTTTTATTTATTTATTTTTTTTTTTTTTTTTCAACAGGCAACCACTTATTGAACAAGTGTTTCGGGAAGTGTGCCCTGGCAGAGCGAAGAGCGTAAGTCTTAAATATGAATATCCTTCAATTTAATTTAAATAAAAATATTAAATCTGTCTTAACATCCTCATAAAATTACCAACGATGTAATGGATTATGTAAAATTGTTATAATTTTAATAATTCCTACCTTCACTTATTAGTGCTAATTTTTATTACAATTGAGTATTGAAAAGTGCAACAAGACCGTTGCTGTTTAAATTTTTCAATTAATTTGCTTTTTTTTTCTTTGATACTTCTCCATTTTTATTTAAATTTTTTTTTTTTTGAGAGCCTTGATTTGTAGACATCGTGTAATGCTTTTATAAAATTGATTTTCTATTTCAATATCATTATTAAACAATCAAAAAATTTATTATTTTATCCTGTAATAATTAGTAACGTTGAATTAAGTTCTGCAATTCATCAAAAAATTTGCTTACTTATATTTAAACGGATAAAAATAATTATTATTATTTTTGTTTATTTAATAACAACTATATGATTTATTCAAAAAAATGTCTATATAATGCTACTACTGCTTTATTTTTTATCCAATGTGTTCTGAGCTTATACTTAATGTGGTGCGTTGTATTTTTAATTTTTATAATTTAATATTAACATCGCTACGTAATACAATGATTGTTGCTTTCGTTAAAAAAAATACTTAAAAACAATGAATTAAGATAATTAAATCCGCGTTTTTTATTAGTTATTATTACTATTATTATTACGTTAAATAACTGGTTGGATTAAAAAAAATAAAATCGTGTATACAAATAATAAATAATGAATTTATATTACTATTGAACAGGGAATATTTAACGAAAATTTATAAGTACATCAAAACGATAGATGAAATAAAAAATAAATCATTGTACAGAGTTTTTACTCTGTGATTTTGTTATTTCTATATTTTTTACTTCTTGTATTTGAATATTTGATAATTATTATTATTATTATAAACATAATTTAAAGATACGTAACTATTGATTAAACACCAAGTAGAATTTATCAAGTGCGTATGCTCGTACATATCGAAAAATCATTGTAACAAACTAAACTTTGTATGAAAAAATTTAAGAAAAAAAGTTAACGATGTAGAGGATATTTAATTGTACGATTAATTTGTAGAAAAAGAAAAAAATTGTTGGATAATTGTAGATTTTTATTTAAGTAAATCAATATATAAATTTATCTCTATCTTTCTCTGTTCGTTGACTAAAAAAACTATGTAATAATAACATTTATATATAGAAATTATATATTTTTGTAGTATTAGTGGACATGCACATAAAAAGTATGCTCATGCATTTATATTGGCTCTTCTCCCTCTTATTAACTGCAAATAATTATAACAATAAAAATAATAATAATAATAATAATAATAATAATAAATGCATGCAAATTATCACGGCAATTGGGGAGTAATTAAGCCACACAAACTAATCTTAACGTAGATAATTTGTATACATACAAATATTTATATATACATCAGCATTGTCCACATTTGTTTATAAATATCTTTGAAGACATACAATAATTTAAATCACTATAATTATTTAATTATAGAGAAAGAGACAGAGAGAATGAAATTAAAATATGATGGAATATGCCTGTAGAATTGTAGCACTGACGAGGGCCTTAATTTTCAATTAATAACTGGATTAATATCCTCTCCAACTCCATCCATTATTCAATTAATCAATCATTAATAATTAACATGTAAAAATAATCTTTAACATTGGCATAATAATTATAATAATATATATCTTTTTAATAATAATAATAATTCTAAAAAGTAGATATCAATTTTCTGGTGTTGTGTATATCTTGTTATTAAAAATAAAAAAATAAAAAAAAAAATTATATATGATGTTTAGAAAATAACCAGATTAAGAGGTCCATGTAGTTTGAGCTGAATAACAAAATGCCAACTAATATAAGTATGTGGAGGAGTTTATTATAATTTACTGATACATTTTTTTTTCGTGATTAATGTTCAAATATACTGTACAACTGAATAATTATTTGACTAAAGTTATTTTTTACTCGGATATCCTATTTTAAACAACGATTTATGAAAGAATAAATTTATCGCCGCATTGTTTGCAATACGGGTATAAATTTAACGGGAATTGCTAAATATATTAATGTTACTTTTTGGATCTGATTCATCTGCCAATTAAATATGCAAATCAAGTGTTTGTATAAGTTTCATATTAACCTTGAGCCTCTTTTATTAATATATAATAAATATTTTTACTGTCATTTTTATAAATAAATCTACAGTCTTTGATATTCAAATTTAAACGCTTGAGTTGATAAATCTTGTCTTTTATACACAATCTCCAATAACTGAGTGTTAAATAATGCTTATTGACATTTAATTTATAAAAATGACATTTGTTTGATTAATTTTAATACATCTTTCATTTTCTATTTTATAATCTGTCTAATTTTATATTTAGCACTTATTCTTAATGCTTCTTTGTTTCCCAAATCTTAATCCTAATCATTTCCTATTCCCAGATTGTCAAAACGCAGAGTTTCAATCCGTTGGAAGTTAACAAAGCGAACCTTTGATTATACAAAGTTGTCACCGAACAAATTTACTGTTCTGTCATCGATAATCTAAAAATACAAGAAGAAACATTAAAAAAAAATTTTTTTTTTTTTTAAATTTCAGTCTGTAATTTTTTTGATAATTCTTGTACCTGAAATTACATGCGTTTTGTCTATCTTACTTATAATAATTGTTTTTTTTTTCATAAAAAAAAATTTTTTTTTATTTAAAATTAAACTTTCAATAATTGTAGAATGAGCCTTGAATTCCATCGTTAATTTTTTTTCAAATAAAAAAATTTTTTTTATTTAAAATTAAAACTTTCAATAATTGTAAGAAAAAAAAATTAAAAAACTAGAAAAACACATCAGCAGTAACTGAAAAAAAAAAAAAAAAAAAAAAAAAAAAAATTTCAAAGTGCCAAAGTGACATTGATGTTGAGCGTAAATCTAAAAAAAATGATTAATTATTAAATTAATACTAATATATTAAAGAGATGCAAATTAATATTGCCAAGAGATAAAATTGCTAATTTAATTACTTGTAATAATTAAATTAAATGGTGCGAGATGATATAGACGGTTGAAAGTACATATAATAACTGCTCAGTGTGAATCTTGTTTTAATAATCCATAAAAAGTACCATGCATGTTTTATTTAAGTTGATAAATCCTTTGACTGTAAAGAAATTAGCACAAAAATCTTACTGAAGGCAGGAAGATAATTGAATAATTACTTACCTAATTGAACCCGCTTCAGTGCTCCAAATAAACCGTCATGTTAATAAAATAGCGCATCGTGTTATATGATTACAGACGTCAGAATCCAGTTAGTCGTATGAGTTTTTATACATAAAACTGCAGTAAATGTCTGACTGCAAACTAACAGGTTAATATGTGGACAAATTACTATAAAGTTACAAGAATACAACACACCGACGTCTACGCAATGGAGCATTTGACATAATACAAACAAATTTAAATAAATGAATGATAATATTAAATCTTAATTTTAATTAATAATAATAATAATAGTAATAACGATGATGGATGATTGTACAAAATAGTTATAAGTCATGGGTACTTTTCGTCTTATGCTAAAAAAAATTACAACATCCAGTGTGCGATATGTATACTTATGAAACGAGTTTCAACGCTCCTCTGACCATAACTTTTTTTTTTTGTACAAAGCATTTTCATTGTATTCTGCGGTTTAATTTATATAATTACACTCTGACAGATACACAAACATATAAAAATATTTAAGATTTAAAAAAAAAAGTATGTTAAGGTCAATAAGTAAAGTTTAATAAAATATTAATTCTCGATGTAACTTTAAATAAATAGATACGACCCATTTGAGTAGATAACAAAATATATTGTATTTCATAGTTAACGGCTGTTTGTTTTTAGGATCAAAGCCTTTCCTATTTTTTAAATTTAAAACTATTGTATAATTAAATCTTTTAACAAATCATATTATCAGTTATTTATTTTTTTATCATACTATTATTATACCGTAATAAAATACTATACTCTAATAATATTAATAATTATGATGATGATGATTTGATGATTAATGAATATTAATTAATCTTTGATAATTAGGGTAAGTAATTTTGACTCGATGGATTTTTTTCCTTATGATTACTGTACGTAGTTATTATAATGACCCACTGCACAAATGATGAATGATGTATTTAAATGTTGCCAAGTAATTTCACAAACCTATAATAAAGTTAATTGTAATTAAATGTTATTGATGGATTAAATTATTCTAATAATATACTACTACTATTATTATTATTATTATTATATTTTAAGGTAACTTTGATAGATTAGTAACCAAGTTATTTTTTTATTAATAAGACATTTTATTTTTAATTTTATTATTAAAAATTATTTCAATACGCTTAAATTAAAACAAGAGATCTACAGATGATTCTACAAGAACACAGCGAGAATCGATACCATTATAATCACCGCTAATATGATTGCGACAATTCTTTTAAATTGTACTTAGTTTAATTTTTTTTTGTGCTGATTATATGGGCTGTACTGTAATTTTTTTTTTAATTTTTTCATTTATAAAATTGTTATATATATATTTATATATTGATTAAAACTTACAATTAAACCTTAATAGATTATTATTTTATTATTATTCAATCAACTATTTAATTTAACTATTATTATTTATTTATATCGAAAGACAATTATGCTTTGTTACTCGAGTATGTACTTATATTTCTATAGAATCGAATATATCACATATTTTTTATTTATAATTATTTAAATAATCGTTATAAATATTACAACGATTCAAATTCTACCAACAATAACTTTTAAGTTATATGCAATTTATTTATAATTATTTTTTTCATTTTTTTTGTCAACATCTATTGTGCTTAACGAATTTATCAATATATTTCGTTGATGAATGTCAAATTTAGTTGCTTAAAAAAATATAACTCCAAACGTTGGGTAATCCGAAATATTTAAAAATAAAAAAAAAAAAAGAAATTAAATAAATCTATCCAATGAAATATTTAATTTCTTTTAAATAATTATATTTTATTTAGTTTATTCTATCTATTGGTAGTCCATCCTCGCCAAATAGATGCGATACTAGCAGCTGCACTTGTCACCAAGCCCCCAGCAACGCTCTGATTAACATGTATACTAGATGACTGTTGGCTAGCCATCGTACCTGGATGAGGAACTTGCATTTCCGGACATGCAACATTTGGAACCTATCGCAATAAATAACATCCATTTAATATAAAATAAATACAGATGTTATTTTAATTTATTATTAACAAACTTACAGCCTCCCACTCCCAATTAAAAGCATCCTCCTCTTCGTCTGAGCCAGAGTCGTCACTGTTCTCCAGATCAGAAGTCAATTGATTGTGTAATTTTTCCACTATACTTGGATCTACTTCCATTGGGCCAATCCTTATAAATTTATATGCGCAATTAATATTTCATCGTACAAGAAGACATATACAGTGATTAATACTAAATTATATTACTTTAATACTTGATTACCCAAGCCAAAAAACTATTTTAAGCTTACCTGCCAAGATCACTTATTTCAGTATTGAGCAAGTGCATAAGATTCTGCAGAGTATGCATAGGATGTAATACCGTGACATTTGTATTTTGAGTGAAGCATAAATGTAGAATATTGCTATTTAATCTAGCAACTTTTCGAGCAAATTTTTGGTCTGACATTTCATTACCGCAAAATTCTCTGTGTTTTTAAATCAATCAATAAGTAAATAAATAAATCATTATTCATTTGCGTCACGTCGTAAGCGTAACGCTTTTCGACTAATAATTATTTATAAGCGAGCATACCCATATATAAGTTTGTATGGTAATCGGACATTTATGTAGTAAGCAAGTACGTTGACTAGCTGCGTAGCATACGTAAGAGCGGCGCTAATATTATACGCAGGATTGTTCATTGTGTTTTCTTTATTAGCTCCTGGTGTTCCATCTTTGCTCGCTGCAACTGAAATAATATTTCAATTCATTCATTGCAATAATCAGACATTTTATTTTCATTTCTTCTTTCATTTTTTTTTTTTTTTTTTTTTTTTTTTTTTTTATAAAGCTGCTGTAAAATTTAAAAATGCAAATTTACCCCAAAGTGAGTAAGCACTATAGTCACCAGAACCTGGGAGAGTTGGAGCGACAATACGATGGTGCATCTCCAAACTATTTTCAGAGTCGCTAATCCACCGTCCTCTTACATACGAAGTACCTGATGCATCAGCTAATGCGCATGTTACAACATCAGCATTGGGATTCTCCTCGTCGCTATTACAAAAACTGATCAAATATATCAAAATCTTAGTAATATAATAAAATTAAATTAAATATTAGTCAATAATATTGTTTACCTCCGCTCGGGTTCAACCTGACACAGTGGAAAAATATATTGAACCAATTGTCTAGCTGCTGTTCTTATAACTTTCTTTAATCTTTTACGCTTCCTATCAACATTTCCCCTCTGTTTATCCTGCTTAGTCTTCAGGTCATCGATAAATTCATGGACTCTTTCAACTCGGTGCTCGTGTCTGGGTAATCTCTGGACTATTTGAGAGTTTGCGTCTTTCAAGATGTTTAACCGTTCATTTCCTTTTTTTTTTTTTATTTTACAACAATGAAAACAATAAATTTATTTGATTATTTATTTAATAATTGTGAAACTAGCTAAAACAAAAGCTAAAAATAATACAATAATTATTATTACCTTTGTTTATACTTTGCTTTGTTTCATGTATCAGACTCTGCAGTAATCTCACTCGTTCCTTGCATGTATTAATATCACATGCCTGTAAAAAAATAACAACTAAGTACGATGTCAGCTATCAAACCCATAAAAAAGATAAATAATAATAAAATAATAAATAACCAGTTTATCTTTCTGACGATGCTTTTCAAATATTTTGGTCCACTTGTCCTCTAATAGAGCTCTAGCAGCTTTCAGCCGTAGCAACCGTACCTGTTTATCCGCAAACCTAAGAAAAAAATAATAAAACAATGACAGTTATTGTAAAATTTTTTAGCAAGAATGATAATTTATTATAAAATTATACGTACCGTTCAGAGTAAACAGAAGTTGAATGTACAAAGTCACCATTTTGAACACACTGCCTACAGTAAAATATTCGTCTACTGTAATGGCACAATGGACACTTTAATAAATTAACACTTAGACGGCTAGATACGTCTTCTAGTTCGGATGATAATTGGAAATCAGCTGGGGCCGTATAAGAACCGTCAGAGCTGCTTGTCGCCATAACCAAGTACCCAGGACAACGATCATCAGTCTGTTGTCACTCATCAGCTGATATATTTCAATAACGTTGTTCTACTCTGGTGGTGCTGTTTCTGTTATTGCTAATACTCTGCTACTGCTTTTATTTTACTTTGCTCTGTAATGTTTACATATATATAACCTATAGATATATAATATTATTATGATCCATACAAGTTTTACCGTATCACCAACTGCAGCGCTGCAGTCCCGTCCACTTTAACGACAATTGTACACTCCAATACTCCAATACTCCATGACCATAACAGTTTACTCAGTTGCTCCTCAGTAAGTTACGGATCGTAAAGCTCAGTGTTTATAAGAGATTGTTTTCTTTTACCTATTTTGTTGCAAATATGATAAAATAATTTAGTTATTTTAATTTTTTACCAACAGTGTTCCTCGATTTTTTTTTTGTTTAACAAATAGTTTTTATTTATTGGAGCTAAAGTTTTTATTTTTATATACAAACCAACCACCGGCATTTGCTTTAACCTAAAATTTTCCGTACTCTGATTGTTACGAATAGAGAGAGAATTGTTTATTTTTTATATTTGTTAAAAAAAAAATATAACAATGACGTCTATAATAAAACTCCACGCAATTTCTGGAGCTATGGATGAGTCTCCACCGTGTTACTTGTTAGAAATTGATGAAGTTAAAATTCTGCTTGACTGTGGTTGGAATGAACACTTTGATGAATCTTTTATGAGAGAATTGAAAAGGTAAATTTTTTATTTAATATAATATTTTGATGATTTAAATAGACTTTTAGCAATTTTTAAATAATAAATTAAATTTTTTTTTAAATAATTGCCAAACGTTCGACTATAATTACTAAAAATCTACTTTTATAAATGATTTCTTTTGCTAACAATATATTGTTTATAATTTTATCTAGGTATGTTCACCAAATCGATGCCGTATTGCTGTCATATCCTGATCCACTTCATCTGGGAGCTCTACCTTATTTAGTTGGAAAATGTGGACTCAATTGTCCAATTTACGCCACCATTCCTGTCTACAAAATGGGTCAAATGTTCATGTACGACATGTATCAGGTAAAAATAAATTTTTTTAATTATTTAATATTTTTAATATGATATAGTCTACGCCCGCTACTCTTGTAGCAACTTTGTGGGCAATAGATACTGTTTTTATTAACAAAAAAACGTTTTACAAGTAAATTCTTGATTGACGTTAAATAATTACTATAAAAATATTTTACTTGAGAAATTTATTTAATTTACATAATAAGAAAATTCAATCTTTTCTAAATCGATTGGTCACATAATATAACCAAAAATGTTAATTAATTACAACAAAAAAAAAAAAAAAAAAAAAAAAAAAAAAAAAATAATTTATTAAAAAGAAATAATGAAAATACTTGCCTAACATCTGTATCAGTTACCGACGTCTCAATTTAAATTTCCCAAAACCTGGATAAATTTTTTCAATAAAATAAATAAATAAATTCAATATTAACCAATTTTAATTGCAATCCGCATAACTAACAATACTTTAATATTTTTTAATAAATTTAAACCAAAATTTAAAAAAATGAGTTGGCAAATTAAAAAAAAATTTTTTCCGAAAATAATAATTTTTTTAATATTTAATGTCATTAAATTCTCATTAACCTAATGGTACCATAAATTAAAAAATAAAATATTTAATAGTTTATCAGGAATGTATTGTATTTATTTTGTTGAGAAACAAATAGAAAGATTAGGACTCAGGTCAAATAATTTCAACATTTGCTCCTTTGTCACCCTATCCCGTTATACTTTCTTTGTTTTTTTGTTGATAATTTTTCTCTGAAAAATTTTACTTCAAACTAATTATTATTAGACACATAACAATGAAACGCAATAAAAGTCAAAGTAATAGAAATAAGATATTCATTCAATGAAAATTTAATGAACTTAAAGGGAAGATTATGATATGTACGGCGCCAATAGGCCAATTGACTAATAGGCGTAATCTGCTGACCTTAAAAATTTAAAAAATTATTATTTTCGTGAAAAATTTTCTGTAAAATTTTTTTTTGCAATCTGCCAACCCATTTTTCAAAAATTTAATTTAAATTTATTAAAAAAAAATTAAAGTGTTAATAGTTATGTGGATTGCAATTAAAATTTGTTAATAATTTTAATAAAATTATATGAATTTTTCATAACTTAAAAATTTTTTCTAATTACCAATAATTTCATTGCTATAAAATAAAAAAAAAAAAAAAAAAAAAACTTTTAATATCTGTCAACTTCAATGTCATATTTTTAACACAATAAAAACTTAGTCATAAGTAATAAATTATAAATAAATAACGCCTTATAATATTTACAGTCTCGGAATTACATGGAAGATTTTGATCTCTTCACGCTGGACGACGTGGATGCAGCATTTGACAAAATAGTCCAACTCAAATACAACCAAAGTGTATCAATGAAAGGAAAAGGCTACGGTGTATCACTTACACCTCTACCAGCAGGACATATGATCGGTGGTACGATCTGGAAGATATGCAAAGTTGGCGAAGAAGATATTGTGTATGCTGTAGACTTCAACCACAAAAAAGAGCGACATTTGAATGGTTGCGAGCTCGAGAAATTGAAGAGACCATCGTTGTTCATAACAGACGCATTTAACGCTAGTTATCAGCAAGCAAGACGCAGATTACGTGATGAAAAACTAATGACGAATATTCTGCAAACGCTTCGAGGAGGCGGTAATGTGTTGATCGGTGTCGATACAGCTGGAAGAGTATTGGAACTAGCTCACATGTTAGATCAGCTGTGGCGAAATAAAGAATCTGGACTTTTGGCTTATTCGTTAGCGCTGTTTACAAATGTCAGTTACAACGTTGTCGAGTTTGCTAAGTCCCAAATTGAGTGGATGAGTGAAAAATTGATGAAAAGTTTTGAAGGAGCTCGTAACAATCCATTTGTATTCAAACATCTTCAGCTTTGTCACACTATGCAAGAATGCCAGGCAGTACCAAGTCCAAAAGTCGTGTTAGCAAGTACACCAGATTTAGAGTGTGGATTTTCACGGGAACTGTTTCTTGAGTGGTGTACTCGTCCTGAAAATAGTATTATAATCACCAGTAGAACTTCACCAGGTACTTTAGCCAGAGACTTGATAGAGAATGGTGGTAATCGTAGTATTACATTAGAAATAAAGAACCGCGTTAAGTTGGTGGGTTATGAACTCGAGGAATATCAGAAGAGAGAACGTGCCAGACAGGAGTTGCTGAAGCAAGAGAAAATGGAGACCGCTGATATCAGCTCTGAGTCTGAAGACGAAATAGAAGTCGGTGGTGCGCGAGGTAAACATGATTTATTGGTCAAGCAAGAGACAAAACCTGGTTTCTTCAAACAAAGTAAAAAACAGTACCCGATGTTCCCTTTGGTGGAAGAAAAAATTAAGTGTGATGAGTATGGAGAAATTATTAGGCCCGAGGATTATAAGATAGCTGAAATTACTCCGGATGCTGAGGATAATAAGGAAAATATTGATGTAAAACCGGAGAAAATTGTAGTACATTCTGAACCCGCTACGGAAGGCCCAACTAAATGCACCAGGATAACGAGGACGATAAATGTCAACGCCTCTATTTCGTACATTGATTTCGAAGGACGGTCTGATGGAGAGTCTTTGCAGAAAATTCTCGCACAACTGAGGCCCAGGAGAGTAGTCCTGGTCCGAGGGTCCAAAAAAGACTGCGAAGTTCTTGCTCAGCAAGCGCGATCCGTTGGCGCGCGAGTATTCATTCCTGGTCCTGGAGAAACTCTGGATGTCACTACTGAGACTCATATTTATCAAGTAAGGTTAACAGATGCGCTCGTCAGTGGACTCAAGTTTTCAAAAGGTCGTGGAGATGCTGAAGTTGCTTGGGTTGATGCTATGATCACTGCTCGAGAACAAGTTTGTCCCGATGCTACAAAAGCTATCACTGATGGAGCGGAAGATGAGGATGATCCAATGGAAGAAAAAATTCTCACTCTAGAGCCTTTGAATATAAAAGAGGTAATTTAAAAAAAATAATTTTTTTTTTTTTTTTTGATTATATAAAATCTTATAGTTAATATCAACATTAATAATTATTAAATTTATCAGTTAATAATTAAAAACAATTTTAAATAATGAGTCTTTATTGACGACAGAAAAATTAACAAATATTAATTTTAATTCCAGGTACCAGGCCACAATACTCACTTTATTAATGAGCTTAAACTTTCTGATTTCAAACAAGTACTCACAAAAGCCAACATTCCATCGGAGCTTAGTGGTGGTGTTCTTTGGTGTTGCAATAACACAATAGCAGTAAGACGAGTAAGTTGAAATTTTAAATCTTATTAGGAATTTATATCAGTAATTGTTATTATAAATTATGTTTATAAGTATTTTTATTTCTATAAAAAAAATATATATAAGGAAAAAGACCGAGTTATTGACACTTGCAATTTTATTCTAATTAAAAAAATAAAATGTTCTCAAAAAACCAATTATCTTAAAATTTATAATTAAAAAATTATATTTATTAGAGTCGATTTGTTTTATTTAATTTAAATAAAATTTCAAGTGTCAATAACTGGGTCTTTTACTTTAAATTTCTTTATTTTGCTGTTAGTAGTTGACAAAATCAAACAATTAGCTGAAAAAAAATTCCTGAAATTATCATAATAAAATAAATTATTAAAATATTAAATAATTTTATTTATTTAAATTACAGAATGAAGCAGGAGGAAAAGTAATCATCGAGGGATGCCTGTCTGAAGACTACTACAAAGTCCGTGAACTATTATACGAGCAGTATGCGATAGTATAAAAGAAGACTATAAAACTTTGTACATATTTATATTTTTAAAATAAAACAATGAAAATTAATTTTAATAATAAAATAATTAATAAAAGATTGGTTGTATTAACTAGAAATAGTTCTTATGTTCATCATAACTAAAAGCTTGGAAGTAACTAAGCGACATTGCGAAGGTCAGACCGTTGGTGTATTTAGCCGGGAGCACGTGTTGTCGAAGGGGGATTTCTCGACAACGCATTCACCTAACTACACGTCAAAAATTTAAATGCTTGCGCTGTACGTGCGTGTTCTTCTCTCTCGTGCCGTCCGTCGATCTTCTCCCACACCAATTCCACAAAAATCAGGTGGTTACACGCGCGCTCAGCTGTGCGCAGGCTCTATTACATATCTATATATAAATCTCATACATATAATGAAATATATATTCTTTTTTCATCATATTTGCTTTTCAAAAATCACATACATGTAAAGTAGATTTCAAAGTCATTATCAATGTCTCTGGAATTATTTTATACCAGCTCGCTCATGAATAAATCATCGTCTAAATTTCAATGAATTTTTGATTTATAATTTTTTATCAGATGTTTCCAAAATTTACTAAAATAACAATTCGCTGGTACTACTTTCTCGCGTAGTAATATACTTATCCAAGTATAACAATAATCGATGATTAAATGAATTTTAGGTTGATTAAAGCTTTTGAATTATTGAGGTTCTGCAGAGATATAATTAAAAATCAAGGTAAGAAGATTGATGATGATTTTTCTTGAGAATAACATGACTAAAATAAGTAAAAAGACCTTGAAAAAAAAATTTTTCAGCGTAGGAATCGTTGATAAATGGGGGTGTGGTGGTGCAGGAAGATGATTTTGATTGGTTGAAACCGGCATTTCACATATACGTTAACACGAAATTTAACTTTCTGCGAGTGCGTGAAAGAGAACACCAACACACTGTTACACGTGAATTTCATGGTGGTCCAGCGACGTAATCAGTTCAAGTAACCCGTTGTCTTTAGCTGAAAAAAAAATTTTTTCCATTTACATATCATATTTTAATAATTTTCTCCTATAAATTATACTTAAAGTAAATTCTCTATTTTTTTTCTCCGTAACTAATTACCCGGAATTATTTTCTAGGTAACAATTGAGCCTACATTTAAAAAATAAACTGTCATAAATTGTAAAGTAAAATCCGGTAAAGTATAAGATACGAGGTTGGATATACCGGTCTCTAGTAGATGGGAAACCTGGAGGGAGGTTTTCGCATACAGTAATTCAGTGGTGTTAGTATCGTGTATGTTCAATGCAGCAGCAGCAGCAGCAGTAACAGCAGTAACAGCAGTAGTAGTAAGAGGGGAGAGAACCGACAAAATTTATTCGCCGCCGATCCGACAAGAACCGACGCGTCGACGTACTGAGAGTAAAGTATTAACCGAGAGAGACCGCGAGACCGCGAGACCTCAAGAAAGACAAGGAGAGACTGAAAGAGATCCAGTGAGAATTTCTCAGTCGTACAGACGGGCAATACATAGCCAGCAGGCCAGTGAGGCAGACAGACGAGAAACGAGCGTGCGTGAACGAGGAGCGGCACACCGGGGATATTTTAGTAGTAACAGTGTATTCATATTCGATTGGTGGTTTATTTATTTAATAATTATAAATTTATCATTGTAAAGTCTTTAGTACGTTTTTAATAATCGCTTAAAATGGCCGGTGAAAAACGTAATCAGGATCAAGAACAAGATACCCAGCGCAAAGAGACAATTGTGATCGTTGACATCGAGGGAACGACCACCAGTATAAGCTTCGTGAAGGTAACAAAGAGGTAGCATGGCCGTGTACGCAGGCTGTACTGCCTCCCCGGCATCATTGCTTCTAAATTTTTCGGCTTTTTTTCAACCATTATTACACTGATAGTACTCATTGCTTATTATTTTATCGTTTTTTACAGGGTAATACACGCTTTTACAATTATATTTTCATATTTATAACGACATATTGATATTATCTGTGAAAATATTTTGTCCTTATTCACTTGGCCGTGTCCTTCTCTGAACAGGGAGGTACGCCGGCACGAAACCAGTTCGGCTTTGTACGATCCTTGCGGCGAAATTTTACGGGATTGTATTTCTCAGGCCATTATAATTTTTCTATTCATTTTCAATAGTAATTATTACCGATTTTAAATGAATTATTCCATTTTTTTCTTTTGTTTTATTTTAAAAGCTATTGTTGAAAAAATTTGCCTAATTATTAGTGACTAAAAATCTTATGAATTGTTTATTGACAACGCCAGCTCTCCTGAGCTTATTGATTAGTTGATGCCGGTTTAATTGAGGAATTATATTAATAATTAACGATAAACTTAAATAAACGTGGCAATATCGCGTTTCAGGGTATATAGATTAACGTATACGTGTCCAAAGGTCTCTAACGGTTCTCACTTTTGCCGGCTGTACGATATTTTATTTAAGTATTTGTTATCTCGAAATCTTTTAGCTTAATTATAATAAGAATGCTTATTGTGTAATCGGATTATCTATTGAATTGAATTGAAATTCAATATTTTAATAATTAAGCCATTTTTTGAACATTAATAGTTATATTTATGTATTTTGCCTACAGGAAACTCTATTCCCGTACGTTCGTGAGAATCTCAAGGATTATGTGGAAAAAAAATGGGACGATGCAGAATTTAAGGACGACATTGCTAAGCTAAAAGAACAGGTATAAAAATTTTTTAATATTTTATTTTTTGAGAAAGCCGTAAATGAAAAATTGTTTTTTTTTTTTTTTAAGTTTTAAGATATTGAAACACCTGGTTATAATTGCTCTAGGAATAATATTTGATTGTAATAATTTACAATAAGGATTTTCGCTCGAGAACCTTGAAAAGTCGTTTTTGAGGGGAGGCCAGATGTTGGTATCGTTTTTTAACCTGAGTCTCAACTGTTTCTATTGTCCATAAATTCTAGTCCGTGGTATATACTCTAGTCACTGCTAAATTCTATATTCTTCTTTATTCACTGAATAATAAAAGAGATGAGACAGAAGCTTCTTTCGAGACTTATCGATTTATTATTATTATTATTATTTTATCATAGAAATACAAACATTAATTTTTCTTACGAAACTCATAACGCAAATAAGAGAATTTTTTTTTTTTTTTTTTTTTTTTTTTTTTTTTCGTATATGCTAAAGAAAAACTAAGTATTTGCTACTTGAACTTTGTAAACTTTTATGTCAAGGTCACACTTAGTTCGTCAAGTGTCTTATCAATTGAATTTTTCTTTTGTTTCTTTAAATAGATTTTATATGTAATTTATATTGATACATGCAATTGCGTCTTGATAATTAATTTATTTTACGTAAAATAATTCTTAAATTTTTTATTTAGGCTGAAAAAGATGCTGCTGACAAAGTTGAGGGTTTGGTATCTATCACTGGTGAAACACCAGAAGAGACCAAAGAGTCATTGATGAAAAATGTCTTGTGGCAAATGGATAGTGACCGTAAGAGTGGTGCTCTTAAACAACTTCAAGGTCACATGTGGCGAGACGCTTACAAATCTGGCGCTGTTAAGGGCCAGTAAGTAATCATAATCATAAATTAAATAATTATAATTGTAAATTACTTATATTAATTAATTTTTTGTTATTTTTTTTTACAGTGTTTATGAAGATGTGCCAAAAGCACTTGAAGATTGGACAAAAAATGGTCGCAAAGTTTACGTTTACTCCAGCGGAAGCGTTGAGGCACAGAAATTGTTATTTGGACACTCAGAGCATGGTGATCTGCTCAAGCACTTCAGCGATTACTTCGACACTGAAGTAGGACCTAAGCAAGAAGCTGCTAGCTACAAAAATATTCTAACTAAAATTAAATGTGACGATGCATCAAAGGTACTGTTTCTAACTGACATTCCTAAAGAAGCTAAAGCTGCAGTTGAAGCTGGAATGGCGTCAGTGGTAGTTACACGTGAGGGCAACGCAGCTCTTACTGCAGAGGAAAAGACAACTTACTCAACTGTAAAGTCATTCTTAGATTTGACCTTCCAGAGTTCTGCCAAGAGACAAAAAGTAGACAGCTCTGAGGCTGCTGATGAGCCAAAAAAAACAGAGGAAACTCCTGTTAAGGCTGCTGAACCAGCTGAAGCAGCAGTTGAAGATGTTGAGATGAAGGATGTCAGTGAGAAGAAGGTTGAAGCTAAGAGTGATGCTGCTGAAGAAGAAAAGAGCAAACTTGTTGAAAAAGTAACTCCCGTAAAACCTACCGAAGCTCCTAAGGAAGCTATGGAGTGTGAAACAACGACAGATGCAGCTGTTGAACCTGAAAAGTCGTCGAAAGAAACTGAAAAAGTTGCTGAAGACGCAGTTGCTTGCCCGAAGAAGGTTGAAGAGAAACTCACCAAGGAAGCTAGTGACAAACCTTCGAAAGAAGTTGATGAGAAAACTACGAAGGAAGCTGAACAAAAAGTCACGAAGGAAGCTGAGCAGGATGCTGAAGAAACAGTTGCTAAAGCGTCAACCAGTGAAGCTGACAACAAACCAGAATCAGAAGCTGTTAAATCAGATACCCCGGTTGAAGAAAAAGCTAAACAAACTGAACAATCAAAATCCGAACCAACGACTAACCTCACCTCAGAGAACAAGACTGAACAAGCTGAAAAAGTCGTCGATGCACCTATTGCTGAGACTAAAATGGAGACTGACGTTGAAAACAAACCTGAGACTGCAGTAGTAAAAGATAAACCCACAACAGAGCCACCTAAAACTGACGACTCTCCCAAAGTTGAAGAGAAACCCGAGGAAGTTAAAGAACCAGCTCCTGTCAGTAAGACTGAGACTAAGGAAGCTGAAGAAAAACCTGCTGTTGAAGAAGCTAAACAAAATGGCGACTCAAAATCTGAAAAGGTTGACTCGATAACAACCAACGGTACTACGACAGAGGTTAAGACAAATGGAAACTCTACAGAAACAACTGTCGCACCCGAGACGAAGGAACCTGAGAAAGCTGTTGTTGATAATGCTAAACTTGAGGCTGTTGAGCCCGAACCAGTTAAATCTGAGCCTGTGAAAGAAGAAGAAAAGGCTAAAGAGGAAGTTGTAGAGAAGAAATTGAATGGCAGTACACCAACCACTGAAAAAACTGAGACGACGGAGACGGCACACAGGAATGGCGTCAACGAAGAGGCTAAACAAAATGGAGGTGACGAGAGTCCAGCAGACAAGGAGTCCATCAAAGTCAAGAAAGTCGTCGACACCATCGCAGCTGACGGAGCTGGTGAGCCTGAAGTTGTTCCACCAGTACCAGTAGTTGCTGCGACGTCTTAATAATCTCGCCTCCTGCGCTACTTTTATGGTAAAATATAATATTTAAAAAAAAAAAAAAAATAATCATACATAACTCCGTGTCCCTGACTCAATATTTAATATTACGAGAACAAAATTATAAGTTTAATAATTTTAAAATCCCAAAAGCAACGTCATGAGCACTTGAAGTAAATATTTTATGTGCTCGAGTGCCAGGTGAATAAATTTTTCATAAATTTTTTTTTCGAATTATAATGACCGACTATAAGATTTTAAATATAAATATTTTTTCTATTTTTGTTTGTTTATGAGATAAACTTGTAACTATTGTATTTACTAATCAGCGATTGACTTCAATTAATTAATGATAAATTGTCGTAGGTAAAAAAGAAGCGCATTTAAGTCTGTTGTTTTTTTTCTAATTGACGAAAAAATTATATCAGTATTTAATTTGATCGAGCTTTTTGAAATAGGCGACAAATTCTTTCCTGTTGAAAAAACTCTGTGCCAAATAATTTTTATATCTAATTTTTTATTTCACATTTGATAGAAAAAAAATAAAAAAAAAAAACTTTGATTTCTTCCGTGATTGTTGAGCAGCTCTTTCTTGTCTTATTTAATTACTTGACTAATAAATAGACTCGCGATGATTATTTATACTCTCAAGACTGATAATCCGTGAGCACATCAGGAATTGTTGGCCTATCGAGATTACAATTGAGATGCCATTTTTTGTTGTGTGTGTGTTTGTAAACATAAATAGTGTACTTAATAATTTAATATTACGGGCTTTATATGATGATAATTATTATTTTGATTATTATTATTATGATTATATTAATACTAATGATAATAATAAAAATAATAATAACATTAATGACGATAATAGTGCTTGCTTGATACTCAGTGGTTGAACTTGGTTGCTTTAATTATTTTCATCCATGCTATACGCATTTTAGTAGACAAAATTGACTGTGATCATATGATAGAAGGGATTTAATTAATGAAATTTTTAATTGCTGCAACACAAGCTTTCCACAATCATTTCTTTATTTTATTTTATTCATTAGTATATCAATGGCTTCTATTATCATCTTTCAATTTATATTTAAAAAACTTAATTCACTGTACACATGTCGTAAGTCAATTGTCGTTTCCATAAATAATTATTAAGTACATAACAATTATCATTATTATTATTATTATTATAATTACTGATATTTTAATTTAGATGTCATGGTAAATTAAGATTATTTTAAGTGGTATGTATTTTTTTATAGGTAAGAATTGGTCGCTTGTCGAGCAAAGGTGTTTTTTTATCATTAAACATTAGAACTATCAATTTCATATTTATATTGGTATTAAAAGAGCGTAAATGTAACTATTAGTTAATAATAATAATAATATTATTATTATTATTATATTATGTACCGATAGTTTTCTTAAAAAGATCAAACATCTTATCTTAGGTCTTAAAGCTGCATAAACCGATGTCAAAAACTCATGAGACTTTGTAAAACGCACTAATTAAAACATTCCTCGTATTTGTGCTATTTAAGTATAATGATAGTTTTAAAAAAACTTAAAATTTTTTATGTAAATTTACAGGCCGCTAAATTCGCGATTGACTTATTCGCCTCTCATTTCAAATCATCTCATTCATCCCCATACAAGATTTGCGTCGATAATCGTGAATTGTGTAGCCCCTAAATTTACATGAAAATTTTTATAAATTTAATTTCTTTATACTTGAAGCATTTTTTAAAATAAATAAAAATATTACGAATGAATAAATCAAATGCTCAACCATTTAGCCCGTCTCCTATCTTTGATGTATACCATTATAAAATATTAATTAAAATAACTATTCATATTAGTGCGATAAGTTTTTAAAACAAATAAATATACATTGATAAATAATTAAAACGATAAGTTAATTTAATTTTATATTTATTGCACGACCTATTTTTAAATAAAAAAAAAAAAAAATATAAGCATCGAAGTAATAAGTGTAAGGGTTGAATTAAATTTAAATTTTAATAAACAAAACTAAAACACAATTGACTAGTCAAACTAATATGAAACTTATCAGACAATTATTTTTTAATTATTAACAGTTAATGAGTCTCATGAAAAATAATTGAACACTGCCGTCAGCACATTCTAATACGTCGTGCAATTATTTTAAAAAATATATTATATAAATCTTTTTTACGCTCAAATACAGTTGACACAATTTTTAATGTTGATTTTTTTTTATTGTGCCAAATAAAAGACTTCGGTTTTTATTAACTAACTAATTAATTAATAAAATAAATAAATACATTGTCTGATATTATTTAAATGCTTATACATATTAACATATGGGTTGTGAACAATTAAAATTGTTTTATCAAAAAAAATTTTTTTAATGTAATCAATTAAAACTTGGCCTCATTCTCACCGCAAGTAAACATTGATTAAATAAGAATGAATATAAATTAATAAAACTGAAATATAAAAATAATATTAAATAATTAATTTGATCTAGTAGTTGAGTATATGGATTTGAAAAGACGATAAGTAATAGCATTAGATTATAAGAATTCTCGAAAAATAATGAGGAATTACAAAAATAATTTAGCTGATTAACAAGTACGATTAAACAATGGTAGATATAATTAATAATAATAATAATAATAATAATAATATTCGATGGTTTTAATAAATATATCGAATAAGTTTTATTATAAGAATGAATAATATAAAAAGAAAAAAAAAAAGAAAAGCAAAAAAAAAATATAAAAAATACATTTTTCTTATAAACTTTGAGTGTTTGAATGTCGAAATAGCAGTACGTCTCCATTGTACACTTTATATTTTTGAAAACTACGTGAATAATTGTCTTTTTTAATTATACTAATTAACAACTAAATAATAAATACTTTGTATACATTTTCCAATAAGTCAGACTGCTAAAATAATGATTTTTTAATTAATAGTATGTGGATTATAAATATATGAAAATAATGAGTGAATAATGTGAACAATACGTAGAATATATAATATTATATTTTGAGCCGCAATAAAGAGTATACTGGAGATGTAACTAACAATAATTATAATAATATATTATATTCCATGAATATTTGTTTATAATAAGAATATTATATAATGTTATCTGTACTTAATCCTTATAAAATACGCTTCTCTCTTTTCAGAATAGCAGATATCAAGATGACTCATTTTTTATCTTTTTTTTTTTTTTAATAATTTTTTAGTATAATCATCATCTATAATGATTTTCTGTACTTGACATTTTTGTACGTAAAATGTATTATTTTCGAAAATTAATACTTGTAATTATTTTTTATACCTTACCCTCTCTTAGTCTGTCAAATTTTCAAATTTCTTCAGCGACTTTCATTTCATCTTCATTAAAATAAAATAATTGGGAATTTTTTAAAATTATCTTTATCATATATTCATTAATTATGATTATTATAATAAATATACCTTTAATTTATTTATAACATAAAAATTTTAATTTTGAGCTGTCATATATTCTTCAAAATATTTTTTTTTTGTGATCCAAAAAAATTGCTATACTCTGTATAAAAAAGTAAAGTCCAGTTTATATGATCTTCAACGCGCTTGCGCGAGATCGCAATTTATCAGTACCACCTTAAACCCGGTGACCAATTCTATTTTTCGACGCAACGCATAAATCCCGCCAAATATTAGCGTCTTGTCACATTTTGTTTACGTTTTTATTTATGTTGTTTTAACAAGTTTTAATTATTTACATTGTCCAAAGTGACATTAATATTTAAGTAATAATTATTTTTAAACATTTTATAAATAAAATATATCATAAATTTCTTTTAAACACTCCTCGCAATACTTCACGTGTATACCTAACCGTTTAAAAATAAAGTGGTGTTTTTATTTAATTTATTGAAACAACAAAATGGTAAATAATATTTTTTTTAAATAATTAATTCTAATAATAAATTTTTTTTCAACAATCTATATATTTTTTAGAGTCAACGAAGTTCACCTCCTAGAAGCGTACGACATGCGGACGCCCCAACTTCCCCAGCACCTGAGATGGACGAGCCTTTTGAAGATGAAGGACTCTTGGGAGATGAGCCCTCTCAAGAGGAGATCGTCAACGAGGAAGAAGGCGACGGCGAAGAACTGTTTGGTGACGATATGGAGGCTGATTATAGACCCATGCCAGCATTAGATCGTTACGATCGTGCTTTGATGGACGACGATGAATACTCCGAGCTGTCACAGGGTGATCGAGTGGCTGCTGAGGCGGCAATGCGCAAACGAGATCGTGCGGCTGGTATCTTCCGGGATGACAGAGATCTTTTGTACGGTTAGTATATTTTATTATCTGAAATTTTTAATTTAACTTTATAGAATTTTATATGACACTGAAGTTGACAAACATTAGAAATTTTTTTAGAATTTTTTAGCAATGAAATTATAATGAAAAAAATTTAATTAAAAAATTATGAAAATTCAATGCGTCGACATCTAAGAATTTTTAGAATTATTTTTTAATGAAAAATAATTTTTAAAAAATTTTACATGTAGAAAATTTTAAAAATTACCCGTGGAATTTTTCAAAAATAGTTTTTTAGTTCTAATTTTTAATTTAAAAAAAAATCAAAAATTTTTTAGTGTCGGCTAATTTAATTTTCATAAAAAAATTCTTAAAAGCATTTTTTTATTGTTATAAAATTAAAAAAAAAATGACAGTTATCTTTTAACTTCAGTATCATAACTTTATAGGTAATTTTATTGATTATTAATTATTAATAATTGTAGAGGATAGTGACGAAGACGATGTACAGACTCAAAAGCGCAGACGTGCAGAGAAAGCTGCCACCGGAGAGCTGGATGATGCCGAGATGATAGAGTCAATTGAGAATCTAGAAGACACAAGGGGTCACTCTGTAAAAGAGTGGGTAATGATGCTGGGTCCAAAAACTGAAATAGCAAATCGTTTTAAAAACTTTTTACGAACATACGCAGACGGCAAAGGACATTGCTTGTACAAGGAACGTATCCGACACATGTGTGAAAGCAATCAATCTAGTTTCGTCGTCGAATTTCCAGTACTCGCCAGTAAAGAACACGCTCTTGCGTATTTCCTTCCAGAAGCCCCGTTCCAAATGCTTGAAATATTTGACGGAGTCGCCAAAGATTTGGTTTTGACTATTTTCCCGAGTTATGAGCGAGTAACTGGAGAAATCCATGTAAGAATATCCGAGCTGCCGCTTATCGAAGAGCTCCGTACCTTCAGAAAGCTCCATCTTAATCAACTGGTACGAACCCTTGGAGTCGTTACAGCTACAACCAGCGTCTTACCTCAGTTATCTGTCGTCAAGTATGATTGTACTAAATGTGGTTACGTACTTGGACCTTTTGTACAGTCTCAAAACGCCGAAGTAAAGCCTGGATCTTGTCCCGAGTGTCAGAGTGTTGGTCCATTTATAATTAATATGGAACAAACTATTTACCGTAATTATCAGAAAATAACAATGCAAGAGTCTCCAGGTAGAATTCCAGCTGGTCGTATTCCTCGTAGCAAAGATTGTATTTTGTTGTCTGACTTGTGCGACCGTTGTAAGCCTGGTGATGAAGTTGATCTAACTGGAATTTACACTAACAGCTACGACGGATCATTAAATACTGAACAGGGATTCCCAGTTTTCTCGACTGTACTTCTAGCCAATCATGTTGTTATTAAAGATTCAAAAGATATCGTCGATTCGCTGACAGAAGAAGAAGTTAATGATATTTTAAAATTAAGCAAGGATCACCGTATTGCTGATCGTATTGTCGCAAGTATAGCTCCTTCAATTTACGGACATGAATTTATTAAGCGTGCCTTAGCACTTTCGATTTTTGGTGGTGAATCCAAGAACCCAGGTAACAAACACAGAATTCGTGGTGATATTAATGTTCTTCTTTGTGGTGACCCAGGTACAGCAAAGTCTCAATTTTTGAAGTACACGGAAAAAATAGCACCTCGTGCAGTTTTTACAACAGGACAGGGAGCATCAGCTGTCGGTTTAACTGCCTATGTTTCAAAGTCTGTAGCTACAAGAGAATGGACTCTTGAAGCTGGTGCCTTGGTACTTGCTGATCATGGTGTTTGTCTTATTGATGAGTTCGACAAAATGAACGACCAAGACAGGACCTCAATCCACGAAGCAATGGAACAACAAAGTATTTCTATTTCCAAAGCAGGTATTGTAACGTCTCTCCACGCCAGGTGTGCAGTAATCGCAGCTTCCAATCCTATTGGTGGAAGATACGACGCCAGTATGACCTTCTCAGAGAATGTTGATCTGTCAGAGCCTATTCTTTCACGTTTTGATATTCTCTGCATTGTAAAAGACGAAGTAGATCCTATGCAAGATCGACATCTAGCTAAATTCGTCGTTAATTCTCACATTAAAAATCATCCTACTAATGTCGATAGAGTTTTACCACCAGAGCTAATTGATGACACTGCTGCTAATGACATTACAATACCTCAAGATTTGTTAAAAAAATACATTGTTTATGCGCGTCAAAATATTCATCCAAAACTTACAAATGTAGATCAAGACAAAGTCGCTAAATTGTACAGCCAGTTGAGGCAAGAAAGTTTGGCTACTGGAAGTCTTCCCATCACTGTGAGACACATCGAAAGTATCATAAGAATGTCTGAAGCGAGCGCTAAAATGCATCTACGTGATCACGTACGTGAAGACGATATAAATCTTGCCATCAGAATGGCACTCGACAGTTTCGTTGATACACAAAAGTATTCGGTTATGAAGAGCATGCGTCACACATTCCAAAAGTACTTGATGTACAAAAAGGATCACAGCGAATTACTGTATTATATTTTGCGACAAATTACACTGGATACTTTGGCATTCCAGAAAGCGCTTCATGGCTCACGTGTCATGACTATTGAGGTTTCTGAAAAAGATCTGTTGGATAAAGCTAAACAAATCGATATACATAATTTAGTGCCTTTTTACGAGAGCGATGTTTTTAAGAAAAATAATTTTGTTTATGATTCCAAGAGGAAAGTTATTGTTCAAACCTTGCCTGAAATTGTTGATGAATAATAAGTGTTAATTAAGTATACAAGAGAAATTTCTTTTTTAATTATATTTTGTACTATTTATATTGAAAAATTTTACAACTTTAAAAATACAAACATTAAGTTTCTCTTTTTTAATTAAATATCAATAAAATGCATTTGATTTTATTTTAAAGTCTATATTCATTTCGTTTAACTCACATGATGCTATTATTTAACATTCATAAACTGTATAAAAATAATTAAAGACTGCTTTGAAAAAAAATTGATGTCATTTATATTTACAGAACGATAAAGTTATATTGAAAATACTCATTATCGATATTAATACATTTAAAAAGAATAAAAAAAAAACATAAATTGAGCGTGATTTATTTCTTTTTTCGTCGTTTCTTCTTGCTGCTTGAGCCGTTGCTACTGGAACTGCTACTGCTGCTGCTACTGCTACTAGAGCTATTGCTGCTACTGGAGCTACTGCTGGAGCTGGAACTACTGCTGCTAGGGTCACTGGACGAAGACTCCGAGGAACTACTTTCACTGTCACTGCTGCTTGAGTCTGAGCTGCTTGAGCTACTTGATTCTTCTTTTTTCTTCTTCTTATTTTTCTTCTTCTTTGTAATTTCTACAATTTTCTCGTTCTCTTTACCTTCTTCTGACTTTGAGCTTAAAGTTTTATTTTCTCTACAAAAAAAAAAAAAAAAAAAATTCGTTACAAATGGAAATTATTTTAAGAACAAAGGTAAGTAAAAATACATACTGTTCAAGTTCTTTTTGTTTCAGAGCTTTATTTAATTGTACTGTCCTCGAAGACCGATGGACGTATTTTCGTTTTCCTTTGCATTCATAACTCCAGTGACCCATTTCTAAACATTTTTGACATCTCATACCTTGAGGGTAAGGATTTCTGAAAGAATTAAATTTATTACACTTATATCCTTACATGTTTTTTTATTTTTTTTTTTTTTTTTTTTTTTTTAAAATTTTATTTTATATATTGTATCACAAACTTAACTCTAATTATATTTTATAGTATATTCTGATTCTATGCACAGGTGTCCTGCACCTCTATAGAATGTGCCAGAATTAATACTAAATAAATAAATAAATTTGTTTAAAAAATTTACTAAACATTTAATATTTATTCTAAAAAAAAAAATTATTTTTACTTAATTGAAATTTTTGTTTTAAATTTTAAAATAATTTCTAACTTTTTCTAAAATAAAAATTATATATTTTTTAATTGTTAATTTTTAAGAATTTTTATCTAATAAAAATTTATTACACTGAAATTGACAAAAATTATAAATTTTTTTATAATTTTATAGCAATAAAATAATTATGAAAAAAATTTAATCAAAAAATTCAACATGTGAAAATTGAAAAAAAATTTATTAGAAAAATTTTTGAAAAATATTTTTATTATTGTAATTTTTTTATTATAAGAATTCAAACAATTGACAACTGTCAACTAACTTCAGTATCATTAAAAATTCAATAATGAAAATAATGGAAAATTTAATATATTTATTGGAGTGTAAATAAATATATATATTGGAAAAAAAAAAAAAAAAAAAAAAAAAAAATACACAACACATGAGACGCTAACCTTGACGATATAACCTCCAAAAATAACATAAAACCTTTCCAACAAAATTTAATTTAAAAAAAATTTATCAAGTAAATAATTGAATATATGTACTCACGGTTTTTTAATCAACTTCAACCCATTGGCACTCATTTCAGACCGCGGTTATTTATAGTCGACAGATTAAAAAGTTTTGAAAAGTTACAATGCAAATTTATTGCGGCGGTACCGCATGCAATTACAATAAAACGTAACGTTTGTATTCAACTGATGGCGTTGCTGTTGGAAAAAATAAAATAGAGTTATTTTTAAATTTAAATATACTGATATACGGAATGCTGGATATTACGTATAATAATAACAGTAACTAACTTTAATAACTGATATTGCAGTATGATTATGATCAATAATGGAATTAAATCCCGAGTGCCAAGACATAGAAGTTAATAATAACCAGGTTACTGATAATGACAACACAATAGATTGCTTGTTAGATAAATTTACTGAAAAGTATGTTCAAGTAGAATTAATTAAAGAACTAGTTAATAGAGGTGAAGCAAACCTTCGAAAAAGAAAAGAAGACTTGAAGGATAAGTTGAAGAAACTGGTAATTTTTTTTATGAAAATTAAGTTAGCCGACATCTAAAAATTTTTAGATTTTTTTTTTATTGAAAAAATTATTCTAAAAAAATTTCACTAAAAGTGCAATTTTTTAAAAATATTTTTTATATTACATAATTTTTGCTAATAGTTATTTAATTTTTTTTTCCAACAGAATGATCTTCACAACCGTATTTTCCAAATGGAAAATGATTTCTGTGAATCAATATGGAAATTCAAATCTGAACATGACTTTGCATCAGTGATTAATAAAATTTTGGATGACGAAACAACAAATTATGAAGAAAATGATGAAATTCAACTACAAAAAATTTCTAGTGCCAAAAATAATGTACAAGAGTTGATCAGTAGTATTGATGATGTAATTATAAATATTGACAAAGCGTTGATAGATATAAATCAAGAATTAGCGGCTAAAGTAAAAAAAGAATTAAAAAAACAATTTGATGATGAGACTAAATATTCTGTTCCGGCAATTAAGAGTGAAAATTTGATAGCAATAAAAAAAGAACCACATCTTAAACCCCCTGTAAAGGTGGAAACACCTGAATATCCAACTAATAAATTATCAAAAAATTTTTCAGTCAAGAAAAAGTCTTCCATCTGTAAAAAATTTGAAATGTCTTGTTGATTAATTAACATAATAAAAAATAAGACAATAATTACACAGTACATTTTGTATATTTAGAAATATTTTATACAGTAATATTCATCTTTTTTCATCATCTTTGTTTCCAATATACATTGAAGGACATTAACATTACAATTTATTAAAATTATACACATAATATCATGCCAATCAGGTTACTTAACAGGATCATAAATTTAGATAAATCAACTAGTTTCCCTCGACGTTCAAACAATTGTTATATTTTTTTTTTTTTAATATTTTTTGGTGAACGAAAAAAAAAACTACCAAAATGGCACAGTCGATTGTGAAAAATTAACCATAATATATAATTTAATTACCTATTTCATTACATTATAATTAACATTATTACTAAAATGATAAATGACAAAGACAAAAAAATTATTACATATCAGATAAATATAAATGACAATGAAAGACTTAAATGTGATCGACAAACATTAACAGTTATTGAGATAAAATAAAATTAAAATGTTTAAAAAATATAATAGTTAATTAAAAAATAAAATTGCCTAAAGTAACAATAGATATGACGCTAGTTTACTTATAAATGTTATGACAGTATAAATGATAGTTGTGCGTGTAGTTATTTTATTAAATATATCTTAGATTTACATCAAACGTGATCAAAAGATGCTGCACCAAAGCCTTGCGGCTCATTTTTGACTAAACTGTAACATTTGCATAAAAATAAATCATCCACGATTTTAATAATTTATCAATTTAATCAAAATCTTTTCCTCTTGATCAACAGCTTAACTTATTCTTTCCTTCTTACATTCATTTAGAAATCACATAAAAGTACGTATATTATATACATTACAAAAATGTTTATTTTAGATTCATTTATTTATTTATTTATTTATTTATTGTTTTGCTGTACGAAGGTAAAGAAAAGTTTCAAGAAATTGAGGAAAGATTATTAGACTTAGATATACAATTTGTCATGTAATTCTTTAAACTTTTACTTCATCTTTCTCAATAGTTAATTTTATTAATTTAATCGTGTAACTTCAGAAGTTAAGGCTTGTTTAATATTAACAATTTTTTTTAAATATTTTTTTTTTTTTACGTTTTATCAGCGTGTCAACGATTCATTAAAATGCAGGTACATATAGAAAAATGGCTTGCGTTTAAATATGTTATGTATAACAAAATATTTCGTCTTGAAGCTAATATATATTTATATTATCATTATTATTATATATTATATGTATATATTTATAATTATTATTATTATTATTATTATATTTATATAACGGCTAGTGTTTATTTTTTTTTCATCTTTATATTTTTAAAATTTTCAAATTTATACTGTAATATGGCGTACTAATGTACAATTTTCATTTGTATTTATATTTATATATATTATTATTATTAATATTAATATATTAACTTATATTCCCGCATTGTGACGAGAGTGTGAGAGACAAGAGAGACGCGACGAGCCCGAGAAAATAAAATACGCAACCCGATACAATAATACACACAGACAAGTGGAGGGTAACAGAATGTCCCAACAAAAAAAGATAATAATGAAAGAACAAAGACAACAAAATGATATAAAATTTCATTGTCGGAAGAAGAGTAAGAAGCATAAGAAGTTAAGGGACATAGCGATCAAACGCCCTCGTTGCTCGTCGAACTGCGTCTAAAACAGATTTTTTTCTCCTATTTCATTATGTTTTTTTTTTTTTTTTTTCAATATTTTTTTTTTGACGACATTATTACAGTTAAACTTTTAATATTTTCGCGACAGATTCAGTGAACAAGTTGATAAATCCATGAGTTATCTCAATAAATAACTTGTTTTTATAACCGAGAATTTATTTTTAAATAAATCCACTGTCGAAAAAATAACGATTATTATTCTGAAGCTTATACAGTGACGTCTTAAATTACTTTACTGAAAGACAATGATGGATCAAGTATTTAAACCCCATATACTACATCGTAATATTACATAATAATAAAAATGATAAATATATTGATTAACGATTGAATTATGACAATAGTAATGATAATAATAATGATACAGTCTCTGAGAGATTAGATCTTTAGTAAATGTAATCAATTAACTTTTAAATAGACAGAGACAATGATTGGTGAGGTTTTAAACTAGACTGCGTCATACGCAGGACGGTGCTGATGGCTCGATGAATCAATCAATTAATTAATTAATATAAATATATTTAAATATATTTATATCAATATATTATTGGTTATTAGATTAACTTGATAATTATAAATTTAACATTTCTTCAGATCACAATAAATAACATGACAACTTGGCACCACAGGAGAGAGAAGTATTTTAATTATCAGCCACTTTTTTTATAGACTTGTTATAGATGGAGGACTGTTGATGCAGTTAAATGCTCATTATTGGTAATTTCAATAATACAATTTTAAAATAACAGTCTAAGACTATTGGTGGTTAATTTGAGAGGCTTCGAGGAAGCTAGTTACAAATCCATGCTTGATACACCAGCTACAGCTACAGCATTTTTGTTGCGTCTGCCTTGATGTTTTCTCGCTAAAATAAGCCACACGTGATGACAAATCCTGGCACACCTGCTGATAATACAATTGCTACATGTTCGTGTCTCGCGTTCCTCGAAGTCATCGATTTATTACATTGACCTGTACGGTCCTTGCATCTTCAGAAACTGGATAACAAAGGACGGACCACCAGCAACTATTTCTGCGGGAATTTTCGACAATGGGCAATTTTCAATAGACATAATACTGAGATTTGTACAGAGCGCCAACTCAAATGGCAAATTGTGAAGATTAGCATTGTCATTAACGTAAAGCGAGTCAAGATTTTCCAGAGTTCCTATTTCTTCTGGCAAATAATTTAGATTATTTTCACCCACACTCAGATAAGTCAAATTAAGAAGGTGTCCAATGGCACGTGGTAACGATGTAACTTGGTTTGATTGGAGTATCAGCTTCTGAAGATCACGTAAAAATCCTATTTCATTTGGCAGACACTCTATTTTATTTTCCTCAAGGTCCAACACTCGTAGCTTACGCAAATTACCGATACTCGCTGGTATGCGCTTCAACAGGTTGTTGGACAGAGTAAGAATCTCAAGATTCTGTAGGCACTGAATGTCATCTGGAATTTTAGTCAGCTGATTTGTACCAAGATTAAGCTCTACCATATTTACCCATGTGCCAATGTCCAATGGCAAAGACGTCAATTGATTTTCCTTCATATTGAGCTTGGTGAGATTTTTAGCACGTGAAAATATCCCGTAGGGAATTTTATCTATCTGATTGTGCTCCATGTTTAATGAATCGACGTTTGTGAACTGGGACGGACCACCTGAGGGATATGCTGAAAAACAATTACGTGATAAGGTTATTGTAATTAGTTCAGACAAACTTGAAAGCAGCCCGTCTGGCAGATGAGATACTTGATTTCCCTCAACGCTGAACTCGTCCATCAGCCGGCAATTCGCAAGCGACTTGGGTATACTCGAAAGACGGTTATATCTCAGTCCCAATCTTGTAACAGCTACCAAATTTCCAATAGTCTCTGGAATATCCAGCAGCTCATTGTGCTGAAGATCCAGAGTCGACAGCTGAACGCAGTTTCCGATTTCTTCTGGCAAGTGCTCCAAGTGATTGTGAGACACGTCGAAGGTTATCAAATTAACGAGCTTACCAATTCCCGCTGGCAATGATTTTATTTTATTCTCACGCAAACTGAGCATCGTCAGGTTAGTTAAATTTCTTATGTTATCACTGACGTAACGCACCCGGTTGAAGCGTAAAAAGAGCGTGGTGAGTGACGTCAACTTGTAAACAACCTCAGGAATTTCACTTAATTTATTATGCCGTAAATCGAGTACCTTAAGTGATTTTAAATTCTCAAGAGTATCTGGCAGGCTGGTGAGAGAATTTTCATTCAAGGCTAGAATCCTCAGACTCGTCAGGCATCCTATTTCTGGCGGTAGTGTCACGAGCTTGTTACCGTAAAGATAAAACTCTTGCAAATGCGACAGATCTCTGACGGAGCTCGGCAAGTTGGTGATGCTTGACTTGCTGAGGTCCAGCCTTGTGAGACACTCATCGCGACACCGGATAAACTCCTTGGCAACATCAAGGTCCGCTTGGATTGGCTTACATTTTTTTGCCGTAGGTTTTGGCTTGTTTGACTCGGGGTGTTTAACAGTTACTGTCTTCTTGGTATCACCCCCGCTGGCTATTGACGCGGTTGACAGTTTCTTCTCCTTGTGGTGCTCTTTGGGAAGATCCTCAACGGCTTCAGGCATGTCGTTGCCGGCTGAGCAAGTCGTTAGACCACAGCCCTCTAGATATTCAGGTATGTCTTGCTCTTTCATGTAAAAATTACCAAGACTGTCCTGAGGCTCGGCCCTGTCCGATTTAGCCTCGGACAGGCACACTGACGAAATGTTACCCACACCCGTTCGATATTTATTCGACTTTTTCATAATCCAAAGGCTACACTGTCGACAACTTCCTTTCTCGCCTCCAGTATTGTATTGTTATTATTCTCTGTTGTTGGAAATAAATACTTTTATTATCTTGTTGTTTATTTATTAATTTAAAAATATAACAATAATAGTAATAATAATTATTATTATAAATGTTTTGTTCCTACCACTGATTTTGCTAGCTCACAACACACACTAGTCACCTGTTCACAATTGTCAAGGCTATTTCAAGGCATCGCGTATCTTTTTTTTTAAAAATTACACCTTATGAGTATTGACATTATTGGTGATTTTAACACTCGCGGCGCAAACGCGACCCGAACATCATTTGTCTGGCGTTTTCGTTCTGCGCTACTTCGTATTATACTTTTCTACTTCTTCTTCTTCGACTCTTTCTTTCTCTCTCGGTCGCTCAAACTCCGCCGCTGACTGACTGCTAGTGCTGCTAGTTTAATAAATTTTTTCTTCTCTCTCACGAATTATTCGTTTGCTCTCATGTGTCGTGTATCGTCAGTTCGTGGAAACTGTTACGAGAGACCGAGTGAGACAGAACGAGCGGGTGACTGAGAGACTCTCACTGAGTTTTCGAGACAGATTCCCAAGGCAAACCAAATGCCAAATCATCGCGGGATATGATGCTAGAGGACGCATCAGCTGGAGTTATTATTAAACGCCATCTACTCGAGATTTTACTTAATTTTTGTTGATATTTCTTCTTTACTGACAGTTCACAGAGCGTCTTCCACGTCTTCCCGGTAGCGACATCGGGAATTTTTAAATGCGTACATTGTCAACGGAAAAATATCAAGAAACATAAACAAGAGTTTTTTTTTTTTTTTTTTTTTTTTTTCAAGAAAGATCTGTTTAAAAATTATTTTTTATTAACAATGAGTAAAGAAAAAATTAATGACATTGAACTTGTGAAGAATATTGTTAAAAACACTGAATTTCAAGCCATTAAAACACGATTATCGTATATTAATCGTTTATTTCCGAACCTTTGTCCAAATGGAGAGTGTATTTTATTTTGTTTCGTCGTAAGTTATTTATTTTTTATTTTTTAATTATTATATTAATTGTTAATTCGTTTTTTTTTTTTTTTTTTATGATTTTAGAAACCACATGATTTAAAAGAAGTTATTAAAAATGAAAATAAGAGCAACGATTCTTTAGGTAATTTTATTTTTTTATTTTTTAAGTTATATGTTATTAAATAAAGTTATTTTAAAATATTTAACTATAAAAAAAAAAAATTAATTCAACTTAATTCGACAATTAATTATTGTTAATGTAAATAAATGAAGAATTGTTGGTGTATTATATTTCTAATTGTATGTTTAGCTTTAGATGTAACAGGATCTCCTTTATCGCATTCATTCGGTGACGACAGCTTCAATGTAACAATAACACCACCAAAAAAAAATTGGTATAAAGATGAGGAGAAACATATACCTATGGACAGGCGTACTGCAGCGTAAATATATATATTTTTTTATAATTTAAAAAAAAAAAAAAAACAAGAATAGCCTCAGATTTTTTTTCTTACAGAGAATTAATAAATATTGCTCAAGAAAAATTGGACGCTGAAACATGGACACTGCCTGTGTTTTCTTTATGCGATCCATCCGACCCGAGAGAAAATGATTACGAAAGAGTCGTATTGATAGGTACTGCATTCGATAGTCAGTATTTCATACCTATCAGAGTTTGTTTGCCGGCTATGACTTCGTTGGAACACATTCGATATGGTTTTTCTCAGCTGCTGAGACAGCACTTGGACGAGTCGTGGTCTTCTCTTAAAGTTGACGTCAAGATTACAAGTACTTATGAATTATGTGGGACTAGTTTTGAAATGATTGATAAAAAAGATCAGTCAATTGATGAATTCAAAGGCTACTTGAAAGTTGAGGCTACTTGGGATGATTTGACATTTTTACCACCACCTACTGCTCTATCTAATAAATTAGTATGATCGTTTTTATATTTCCTGACAATTTTTTTAATTTTTTTTTTTTTTTAATGTGTATATTTTTTTCAGTTTGCCGAAATAATTAGTGGCTCAAAAGCGAGTCCATTGTGCGATTTATGGGATCAGATAGTCTTGCTTGATAAATATTTGACAATGGTTCAAACATATCATGAAAAGCATTTGAGTTCGAGATACAGTGTCAAGCCCTTAATTTTCCCAAAAGATTTTAATAATCCTTACTCTCAGGTATCAAAATTAAAAAAAAAAATTTCAAACAATTTATTAGGTAGTATTTTTTAATATATTTTTTGTACATTCTTTTTATTTCTAACTTGAAAATAGGGCGATGATGTTATGAAACAATTGAAAAGATTATTGAGTGGAGATGATCCATTTGAGAATGATGAAGCTACTGAGACCATACCGATGTCCAAAGAGAACGAAGGGACAACTAAATTGATTGATTTTATTAAAGAATTGCCGAAAAGAGAAAATCTTGATTTTACTGATAAATTCTGGCAGATTATCAGAGCTGCAGATAATTATGTTCTTATAACCGATTGTGTTTATGCAATTTTTGAAGCCATGAGTGAAAAAAATTTCAAACCTCAGGTACATATTTATCTTTCTTAATTTATTCATTAGTTATTTATTGATTATCTGAGTAAAAAAATACTTTAATTTTAGTTAAATAGTATGGATGAAACAAGATTCGCTATGATGGTCTCAGAGCTAGATGGTGAGAATAAAAAATTTTCCATACACGCTGGCACTCTATCCTTGGAACTGGTGATAGACATGGGAATAGAAAAACTCAGTCGAGATTATTTATACTTGATATCTAATATGAGTCTTTTGGAAATGTCTGACCTACAGAAACTTATAACTAATGTGTCGAATGAAGAATTCAAACTCGACAATTATCGGTAAGCTTATAATTTGTTTTATTGAAAAAGAGTATCAAAATAAAATTTTATTTAACAATCATTTTTTGTAGAAATAAACTGAAAGCTTTGGCACAAATTCATATGAGTTTGGAATTCCTGCAACTGATCCAAAGTCAAATTGACTGTCGCTGTGAAGTTTCTCATTCTATTTTTGAAACAATCTTCAACACCTACAGTGGTCCAAATTCACCGCTCAAGTACTCGGATTTGGAAAATCCTAAAGTTTATACCATCAGTATGCCCGCTCCGTTGCAAATTATTTCAGAAATAACTAATAAGTATGCTAAATTTAATAATTAAGTTATTATTATAGTAGTTAAATTGTAAATTATAAATAATTTTATTTTAATTGATTAGAGAGCCTTTCTCATGGATGAGTACACTTACTACGGAAAAGAAAGATGAAAAATGGACCACCGTAAATTGCTACAGTCGCATTCCAATGTTTCCACCAAATATTTATGTACCAGGTGATACTTGCATTATTTAAAATTAACATTTAATATTTAATTAAAAAAAAAAAAATTTTTATTAAATATTTGAGAATAATTACTATAGTCTTCCTTGTTTTATTAATAAATAAAATTATCTTATCTTCTAGGAGAACTTGAAAAAGGTCAAATGGAATTAGGAGATACTTATTATGTTACTTATGCCAAAATTCATTATATGAGATGTTCTTAAAATATTACTTAATGTTATAAAAGATTAAGTATTAAGTATAAAGCCATGACTCTAATGTCAATGCTCAAGTATTAATATTGAATATATACCTCATTTTTATAAAACAATTTTGTACTTTTATAGCTCGTTGAATAATAACACTTTTATTTGACTATTGAATTATTTTTTAATGATTTATTTCAGTAATTTTAATGAAAAGTGTTTAATGACCGAATTTACGAAATGAATGAGTTATTTAAACTGAAATATTGACGATAAAAAACATTATATCATTGATAATGAGAATGTTCTATGAAAGAATATATTATAAATCACTAACTCATTTTAAATAAACCTTGAGTCAATTCTGTCTGCTCACCTGATTAATTTCAGTGACAATTGAATTATGTATTCCACTTTTTGAACTTTGCATTCATTCTTTTAACACCACCAGACTTGTTTTTATTTTAAACATTTTAATTATTGATACTATCAATTCGAAGAACTGTCTGAAGAAAATACGTTATGGATTATAAAATACAACTATGTTTGTTAATATGGACCGGGTCTGGTAAGAAATTATCTAAATATTTACTAGAATATAAATCAATAATAGTTCATGACAATGCCTAGTTATCGCTGATCAAGTTTGCTATGAAGAGTTGGGATGCTTTGATAATAATTATCCATGGTATACATTCTTTCGTCCATATCCTTTTCCTATGTCAAAGGAAGATGTCAACACAACATTTTTCTTTTCCAATCGGTAAACATTTAAAATAAAATACCTATTATTTTCATTAATTAAGATTTATTTTTTTTTTTTTTAATTGATTTCTTGCAGGAATGTTAATAAGAGTCTTGTACAAACATGGCCATCAATAAAAATACCTTCAGAATTTGATTCCAGAAAGCCAACATATTTTATCACACATGGATATTCTAGTGATAGTAACACTGCGTGGTTTAAAAATTTGACAGAAGCTATATTATTTACGGTAAATCTACTCATAAAAATTATTAAGACTAAGGTTGTATGTAGAAAGTATAATTAATTTTATTTTCAGGCTGATAGCAATGTCTTTGCTGTAGACTGGGCTAAAGGGTCTTCAGGATTTTATTTTACAGCTGCTGCTAATACTCGTACGGTGTCGGCTGAAATAATAAGGTTTGTTTTGAAATTATCTTCTAAAGTTAGCCGACATCTAAAAATTTTTATAATTTTTTTTTTATTGATAAAATTAGTATAAAAAAATTTCATTTTTAAAAAATTTAAAAAACTATGAGTGCAATTTCAAGAAAATTATTTTTTAGTTCTAATTTAATAAATAAAGCAAAATCAAAAAATTAATTTTGAATTTTTATGAAAAAATTTTAATGAAAAAATTTCAAGTAGAGATTTAAAAAAATCAAAAATGCAAGTTTAAAAAAATTTTTTTTTTTTCATAATTTATTTATAATAAAAATCCAAAAAATTGACAAATGTCTGCCGTTGTCAGTTTAATCATAATATTAACTATCATAATAAATAAATTTTTCAGAATAATTCGTTACTTAAAAAAAAACAGAGCATTGGATGTACGAAACCTTCATCTTCTTGGTCACAGTTTGGGCTCCCATATAATGAGTTACGTTGGAAAAAATTTCACTGATCCAAAAATTTACCGAATAACAGCATTAGATCCAGCTCAACCTGGATTCCAAGGAAGAAATTCAATGATACGACTCAATAAGACAGATGCCAATTTTATTGATGTCATCCACACCGACGGCAGACCATTCTTACCTTTGCTTGGTTTGGGAATGACCGTAGGTGTAGGCGACGTTGATTTATTCGTCAACGGTGGCAAATGGCAACCTAACTGTTTACTAGACGGCGAGCCTTTCTACAAATCCTTCTTCGAGATTCCTAAAATTACTGTAACTATTTTATACAATTTGGCAACTTGTAGCCACACTCGCGCTCCTAGGTACATGGCTGCGGCTATTAAAGAGCCTTGTCATATGTGGGCTTATCGTTACAATGCACAAACTGCCAGCTTACGGTGGACTGATTTTGTGATTGACGATTCTTGTGATGCTGAATCTTGCTCTAAGATGGGTTTGGACACTCCTCAACTGCCGGCCCGTGGAAATTTTGCTTTTGAAACAAGCGGAACTTATCCTTTTTGTAGTAAGTTATTTTAAATACAATTTAATTTCAAATTAAAGATTAATTTAAAGTAAATATCATTAAAATAATTTTAATAACTTTTTTTATAGAGTTTGATCCAGAAGCTAATAATCAAATGAAGCGCATTTTGGTTTAAAAAATGAATAATAAAAATTAAAAAATATTTTTGAGAGAATAAAATTATAATCAAATAATGAGTAAATTTTGATAAATAATAGCCAGAAAAATTAAAAAAAAAATTCTATCTTAAGAAACTCTAAAAAATTATAAAAGGAGTTTATTTTAAATAATTTTCTAGGCCTGATTTATTTTTCAAGAAAAATCAAAAAATTTTTAAGCTCGTAGAAACTTTGCTTTTAAAATAACTAGAACTTATTCTTTTTGTAGTAAGTTATTTTATAGAACAATTAAACCTTAAATAAAAGCAAAATTATAAAGAATTAATATAATTTTTTTGTAATATTTTTGGCTTAAAGGTTGAGTAATAAAGATAACAACATTATTTACGAGACAATACAATTATATTCAAATAACATGTGAATGATAAAAGCATATTTGAATACGTACATTTCAATATATAAATATATTAACTAGATTTATGGAGTGTTTTGTACTTCTCAGTCATTGACAAAAATTACACTCGATTATACTTGATCTATAAATCATTTCTTTTAATACCGAGTTGTGATGTTTTTATTATTTTCCAAGTGACGTATTAATTTTATAATTAAATAATTAAAACATTTAATATAAAATAGGCGACTTGCACAATATACATACATACATATGTATATATATTATTTTATTTAAATTTTCTAAAATCATTAAATATTGAGAAAAAAAAATAAAAGTTAAAAGCAAGTTAAAATTCATCTAGATACAATAAAATTTCAGTTAATAAAATCTACAAATACTTATACATATATATATATATATATATATATATATAGATGAGCTAAAAACAGAGTTATCATTTTTAAATAAAATAAAAAAACAAGTCGGTGGAATAAAATTATAAAGTAAAATAAGTACCAACGTAGTCGAAAGATAAATAACTTAATAGTAAATATCTATCAAGTTTCTTATCATTCACTATATACTAAGCAAACAAATGTGTCTTAATTAATACTGGGTTGTTTCAGTGTCATCCATACTAGATATACTTGCCTGTTCTAATACTTCTAATAGTTTCTGCATCTCTATTGAATCTGAGGTGTTATCCAGAGTTCTCTCTAACGCTCTGACGTATGACATACAGGTACGACCTTCGTGATCAAGATTTTGGGGGTTTGCCTTGTGCTAGAATTCAACCACAAATATTTGATCAAGCCAGTTGTTAATTATTAGTAGTACCGACAATATAATGTAAATTATCCTGAAACTTGGTAAATATTTACCCATATTAATAATTGAGCCATGGCCAAGTTTCCCGTAGCACAAGCTAGATGTAAAGGTGTTCTCAAATCTTCGTTGCTAACAGAAATATTTATATCTTCATACGTACATTTTGCCAAGCATAAAGTGAAAGCTCTCATGTCACCTCTGAAAAAAAAAAAAAAAATAATAAAATAAAAATAAAATTAAAAAAATAATAATAATAATAATAATAATGTAATTTATTAACTGATTGTATGACATTGTTATTATTATTATTAATTTTAAAAAATAATTTGAAATTTAATAAAATAAAAAAAAAAATTTACCGGCACACAGAATCAATGAGCAATTTTCCAATAGAAATATTTGGATTTGCAGGTGGTAAGAAAGCTTTGTCCTCATACTTCCAACGAATCCATTGTTCTTTAGCCTCGTGAGGTGAATCTGAGTGAGGTTTCACTTTACCATTAAGGCAATACTCCCAAACTCCATTAGCAATGTCATTGCCAAGTGCCAGCATGACACTCAACTGACCAGCAGACCAATCATCTAGATCTAATGAACGAATTTTGGATATATGTGAGCCTAAATTTCTGTGAATTCCTGAACATTCAATGCATACTAAAATTCCAAGATTGAGACTTGCCCAATGAGGATTGGGAGCACCGCAATCAGCGCATGCATCATTACCAGAGACTTTGTTTTTAATACAGTGCATTTTAAAGGCTTCAGTTTCATTTTTTTTATCAGCGTCGCTGTTCTGCAAGCTTGATAAGATCTGCTGTTCGATTGCGGCAATCCAGCTGTCACGATCATCAGCATTACTTGCTTCAAAATTCCAAGTTTTGTTTTCTAATGATATTATCGCAAACTCAAAGCTGTCGTCTTGAGTGGAGGTTGACTTGGAACCTTTTGGTGTTTTCCCAGGTACTTTTACTGTGACATACTGCAAGAGAATAACTTTGCCATTAATATCATTCATGTAATCATGAAGACTTGGATGGTACGTCAACCTCCCGTCTTCTAACAGAGTCACATATTTCTTCTTGCGTTCCTTCAACGACTTGCTACTTCGCTTAAAGAGATACCCTTGCTTAACTGGAATTTCTCTACCAATTCCCATCTCTTCCATGTTGTACTTTTCCTTCTTAGACGGCGTGAAGATGTTTGATTTTCTACGGAACTTTCTGATGGTCGTCGGCGTTAAAATAGATGTCCGAAATTCCGAGTGTGGAGCTTGGATATACTGAAAACTAGTGTCGTTAGTAATAACTGGATCACACTGGCTCATATTATCTTGAGTGGGCCGTATAAATTCTTCTGCTTTATCTGTTGTAATACTAAGTTTTGAGGGACTACTCGTATCTGAATCTTTAGTAGATGATGATAGTACAGATTTAGTAATCACAGGTATTGAGTATCTTGGTTCTTGTTGTACATTTTCACTAGAACTTTGACTACCATTACATCGTTGTGACGGTTGTGGTTTATCAGACATTTTTAGGATTATCTTCTGACATACGTCTTGAAATACTCGTTCTACGTTTAATCCGTAAATGGCACAGGTTTCGTAATAAGGACAACGTAATTCACATGCTAATTTACGTGGTCTTACGTCCTTAATAACACGAGGATTTGTATCGTTAATTGAATCTGTTAATTATAATGAGAATAATAATTATTTATTTACTAACAACCTTGCAGTCACTATATGATTGCCGTGACTTGTGAACTATAAATAAATAAAATTTTGCTTTATTAAATAATGACTTTTGTTAAATTACACTGTACTTTTTTAACTATTGATGTTTTTAAAGATATAAGCTCATCCCGATGATTTACACTCATCAAGAGCTTTTATTTGAGTACCCACATGCATTTTCATATATACATATATATATAGTATATATAAATATAAAATATATGAAAAATTGATGTGGGTACTCAAATGAAAGATCTTGATGAGTCTAATATCGAGATGAGCTTATATCTTTAAAAATATTCTTAGTTGACAAGATAGCAAAGTCAGTTGTTAACTATTGACATTTTTTGAGATATAAGCTCATCCCGATGTTGCTCTCATCAAGAGCTTTCATTTGAGTACCCACATGCATTTTCATATATTTTTCATATATATATATATATATATAATATATAACAATATATAAAATATATGAAAAATTGATGTGGGTACTCAAATGAAAGGTCTCGATGAGTGTAATGTCGGGATGAGCTTATATCTTTAAAAATGTCAATAGTTCACAAGATACAAGGTCATTTCTTGATTATGTATCTAGAGATAGAGCATTTCCGAATGCAGCCTAAATATCTATCATCATAAATTGACTATTAGTAAGAATGATATGAAACCTTGAAAAGGCACAACTCTAAGTCAAGACCTTTCTTTTAACCATAAAAACCTATTTTATCATATAAATACACTGGCCACAAAATTTTTCTTATTCTATTAATAATATAGATTACAAACTAAAAATGACACTGAAGTTAGCATTCGATAATTTTTTTAATTTTTCTTAATAAATAAACTAGCTCTAAAAAAGTATTTTTAAAAATTCCATTTATTATTTTTTGAAGCTTCTAAGAATGAAATTTTTTGAATAAATTTTTCTTGCTATAATTTATTTATTAAAAAAATTCTAAAATTTATCATCTCTCAATTTCAATATCATAACTAAAAATAATAAATAATTAAATAAAATTACCTTGTACTCCAACTAGAATTTTTGGTACATCTGTCATATTACGAAATGAACACATTTTATTATAATAATTACAAAGAATTGAAAAACTTTCTTCACTCTCTAAACTAAATACCAACAGAACTGCGTCAATCCACGATGAAAACTGTAATTATAAAAATAGAAATAATTGAAAATCAATATTATATAGTATACATTTAAATAATTAATAAAAAAATTTACCTGTGATTCAGGAACACCACCTTCATCTCTAATCAATAATAAATAACTTTGATCATTTACAAAAATTTCCTTTTTAAATCTACCACCTTCCGGAGATTCTTCATGCATAAATGATCCTGTCAAATACCGATGTACCAGTGCTGATTTACCCGAATCACAGGAACCAATAATTCCCAAATGCAACTCTGGTACATCTCTCGCCAGTGTCCACTCATGACTATTGACAAATGAATCTAAAAATGATAAATTAAAATAAATTTACATTAAATAAATAGATCAAGTGAGTTGTCACTTGACCTTTCAAACAGATGGTTGATAAAATATATTAGCAATAAATACCTTCAATAGCTACAACATGTTCTCTTATTTGCTTAGCAATTTGTGTGTCAGAAATAAGATCAATTAAATCGTAAATAGCATAAATAGATGGATGAACACTTTCAAAACGTTGAATTTCTTGGCGTATTGTAAACGAATGATCATGCCCACTTTGGCCACTTGTCATTTTTTTTCTTTACTCTTTTTTTTTTTTTTTTAATATTGTTATTATATTAATATTAAATAAACATACACTTCACCTCAATAATTAAAATAAATACTGTACAGTTAAAATATTATTTTGCGTTGCATTACGCAGTTATTCGCTCGTCTATAACTATCAATGTGTTTTTTAAATTATTTATGCATCTTTTCTATTTACGGTAATATATCAAGTGAATAAATTAAATAATACGTGAATAAAATGTCAGATTCGCATATTTATAAACATCATCGAATCCAAGTAGGCGAACAGGTTAGTCGATGCAATTATTTCATTGGGTATCTAATAAACTCACCAGCTTATAGGTTATCTGACGGATAATATTATCTGTGGATAGTATTCCAATTAAGTAATTGATGGAAATTTATCTAGAAAAAAAAAAAGATAAAAAAGATTGTAGCGAGCCAATCAAACGGAGCAATAAATTTTTCAACTGGTTTTGTGCGACATCTGTCGGCAGTTATACTGTGACAATTTGTTACATTTAAAATTACTTTCAATCGATAAGCTGACAAAAATAACCTAAGTACTTACTTTATTTATCTATCTCGTATATTTATTTAATATTGACTTTATTGATTAATAATAATAATAATAATAATAACATATATATTTATTATAGGTTCAATAATAGATAAATGTTAAAGAATTTATCACGAGCTGCCGGTTGGTATTTCAACACTTGTACTACTTTCAACAGATTTATTGGTACTGGTTCTGCTAAAAATAATAATAAGATGGTTAAATTTTTAACGCAAACAGAGGCAATAAATGTTGATAAAGATTTATTTGACAAGTATAAATTTAGCGTCGATCAATTGATGGAACTGGCGGGTCAAAGTTGTGCAATTGCTGTTGCCAAAACTTATCCAATGGTTAACAGTACAAAGGCTCGGGTTTTAGTATGCTGTGGTCCTGGTAATAATGGTGGAGATGGATTGGTGTGTGCTAGACATCTAAAGCTATTTGGATATCATCCTGAGGTCTATTATCCCAAGAAAACTACCAATAAATTGTATGAAAATCTATTACATCAATGCCGAGAGAATGATATTCTTGTTATAGATGATGTTAAGGGTATAAAAGACACCAAGGAGTACAGTGTGATTGTGGATGGGTTGTTTGGATTCAGCTTCAAGCCTCCAGTCAGGTCTGAGTTTGTTTCTATTGTTGATTTATTGAAGACTACTGCTACACGAATTTTCAGCATAGACATTCCATCTGGCTGGGATGTTGAGAGTGGCCCTCCAGAAGAGGGAATCAAACCAGATGCTTTAATTTCACTTACAGCTCCGAAAATTTGTGCTAAATTTTTTGAGGGGAAGTTTCATTATCTAGGGGGTAGATTTGTACCCAAAAAACTTGAAGAAGAATATAATTTACAGCTACCGGAGTATCCTGGTACAGAACTTGTTGTTTTGCTCTGATCAATGGAAAATTAAAAAAATTAAAAAACTGAAAATTGATACTAATAATAATATTAAAGAGCATTTATTATTTTAAGCCAACTTACCCGATCCTATTTGATGGTAGACTATTCAATTTTTATTTATTAATTATTTTTACCTTAATATTTTTTCGGTATGATTATTTTAATTCAGTATGAGCGGTCCGAATTATTTTTTCGGTTGCCGAAAAAAGTTTCACTGAGTTTGATCTGTAATTTTTTTTCACTCAGTATAATCTGGGATGATATCCAGTGTCATCTCGTTCTTTTCCTTTGCTTATACCAAAAAAATCTTGTGGTGAAAATAATTAATAAATAAAAATTGAATTTAATAGTCTACCATCGGATAAGTTGGCTTAAAATAATAAATACTTTTTAATAAGTAAAATCACCGATCTTGGAATAATATGTTGAATAATAATTATTATTATTATTAAGGGAAAGGAAAAAAAATTTTTATGGTTTTTATAAAAATAATAAAGACAAATTATCAGAAATCATTCATCTTTATTTGACAGAATGACACTTGTATATACCAAAGTATTAATCCAACGGAAGTAAATTACATATATAATAATAATTTCATATATATATTTATTTATAATAATATAAACGATAATAATAATAGTAATGATAAAAAATGAAAATAAAACATAAAGAAAAAAAAATGCATTGACATTAATTATAAGTGTAATGTACAACGTCTTATATAAAATGATTAAAATTAAAAACTAGACTAAAATCGATTCACGGCGTGAATTTTTTAAAAAATCATATAGACGTGGAATGAAAAATATACAGGATACAATAAATCAATAAAAATATCAATGGACACTTTTGAGTGGTCCATTTTATTATTTTATTTAATCTCATATTTTTTTTTTCGTTAGTTTTTAATAGATGTTTTGGCCGCATAAAATTTATGGAAAAATACGTTGAACGACAACAAATCGTTCGATGCTAAATAAAAATCAAACTACTTGCACTTTTTAGTTTTTTGCAGCATTTAAATTCTTACTCTCTTTTTATCAATGCAAATAACGATTTAAGCGCACTTGACTATTTTTTATTAAATTAATATTTATAATTATTATTGTTTTTCGACTTTATACACTTGTTAAGTGTAATATAATTTAAAGCGTAAATAAAATAAAAAAATGAATACAAGTGCGCTTACATCAATATACACACGCGCTTATCTGTTAACTATTCTCTCTCTTTCTTTCTTTCACACACTCTCGCTCACTCTCATATATAATATTCTGTAATATCCGCAGGATCAATATATATATAATAAGATACATGTATTGTTGTATTTGAATCCTGCATTTATACACTCACACAACAGTATTACACAGAATCATCATCGGACTCGAAAAAGAGCGCATACTCCCTGCAGAAAAAAGGCACGAACTGGCGGAATAGTCGGCCTAACTGTATAATATTTCATTTAATTATTTATTGGATGGAACATTGTCACAATACAATATAATTATTATTCCTCAATTATTTATTTACTTTAAATCAAATCTCCTAATCGTCTTTAATCTCAAATTGCTCTGTTAACAATCTAATCGCGAATCACAAACAGATTCGCTTTATAAGGACTCGGATGTTAGCAACATAGTGTGAACAGCACCCACCAATTCCGTTGTTCGCTAATTAAAATAATAAAAATATAAAATAAAAAAAAAAAATATTTAATAAAATAACATTATTTTCTTAAAAAATCTTAATAAAAAAAGAGACTATTGTTCTCTTGACTCAATCTATAAAATAATAATTAAAAAAATTTATCGTCAACTATTAAAATAATTTTATAAAATTGCACGTACTAATATTTAATTTTCTTATTCACTGGGACTGCCAACACTAGCTTCTTTCATGATCAATCTCATTTTAGTACGTCACATACGAATATGCAGTACGTTTACAATTCGCCAGCTTAAAATTTATTAAACATATTGATTTTTTAAATCAAAATAATAATATAATCATATTAATAGTAATTATAATAATAAATTCACACTATTTTTATCCATTCATTCATTCATGTATATAATATATACCAATTTATAATTTCAATTAAATTTTTATATGACCATTCAATGTCTACAATGTATACGTAAATGTTGTTTGTTTATTTTTCCATTTTTTTTTTAATTACCTAAGACACTAGTTTTTATCTAATATGAAACAGCGGTATATTATTGTCTGTCGTATTTTGAGTATTTATTTATTTTTTTTTTTTTATGTTTTTCATTACCTTTTTCTTTAAATATATTATATACAAAAAAAAATGTTTTTCCAATAATTTTAATTCTGTAAATTCTTAGTAATTAATCATGGAAAGCTCAATGGCATAACCACCAGTATTTAAAGAGCGTATGTTATTTTAATGTATGACAGCAGTTTTTACGATTTGTTAAAAATTTATCATTTGGTATTCATAATTTATATTTGATCTTGCTATACAATAATTATAATAATATTAATATTAATAATAGAATAGTAATAATAATATATCGGAATAACTGCCCTCAACATTTAAATAAATTCGCTTTGTTATTATTTTGGCAACTAGGCAAGCTCGGTCGTTCACGGAAGGCATCGTATGGTGCTTTTTTTTTTTTTTTTTTTATTTAAATCGTTGCTTTAACAATCATAAAAATTAATATTTATCATTTTTAATTCATCCTTTCAAAAACATTTATCATATTTTATGTATTAATTATTATTATTATCATTATTATCGCATTGCTAATAAAATTACTTATAAACTTTTATTATTAATTTATCATCAGTATTTTGACGACTATGAAAGTATTGAAGTCACTTTATTGTATCCCGCAGCTCGATTAATGCTTTATTGTCATTTATTTGTTAAATTCGTAATTGCCTTTATTAATTCATTTATTGCATTGAGTATTTTTATAAATTTAACTACTAAAAAATCAACATATAAATGATTGGTATAAAAAATGCATCTGGAACGTTAAGAAATAGTTAAAATAAAATAAAAAAAATGCTTTTTTCGAGCGCTGAATAATTATTTAACATATCACTACAGTAAAATTGCTGAAACACTTGTTATGTGTATTTAATAATTTTTATTTTCCTTTGGCAACCGGACGATCCGAGTTTACTTTAAATATGTAATTATCATACATTTAGATTTTATATATTTATATATGTATATAATATTATAATTATATAAAAATATATTTCTTAATTATTAACACTATAATAAATGAGTATTACAAGCATAAAAATGCTTTAAATGTTTTTTTTCTTTTTTTACTTTTTTTTTTCTCAATAGTTTTACACGAACATGAACACGATGCCTGTCGCGGATAACCGAAGCTTCTACAATGAAGAAGTACAATTGTATTTTTATCAGCGTAATTACTATTAATAAATCTTAATAATTATAATTTTATTCTATTTATTGTTTTTTTTTTTTAAACTTTTTGGTTTTTTTTCAAGTAAAATTCACCAAATTGGTAATTTTACGTATATTAATTATCATTATTCATAACAATATCACTTATCACTTGCGGTACGTTGTGTAAATAAAAAAAAGAGACGAATAAACTGTTATAAAATACATCTCCAAATATTATTATCAGTAATTATTATTATTTTTATTTATTTATTTATTTATTGTTACTATTATTTAATTAATACTAAACTATTTATTATTAATTATTATCGTCATTCGTAGAGCTTTTATGCTGGACAAATATTTAGTTTTTTTTTTTTTTAAACTATTACTTTTCATCAATACGTCCAGTTAATAATGTAACCATATAAAGTGTCATATTTAATATAATATTGTAATGGTACAGTATTGGAAGCATTTTAATATAATATATATATAATTATATTTTTTTCGATCTTTTAATTATTAATTACAATAAGGTTTACTGTCAGATCGGTTAAATGGATAATAAAAAATCTATTAATTTATAATTGATGATTACTGTATTTTTAAAAAATTAATGAAGCATGATACAAACGGAATGTTGTGTAAATAAAATAAAAAACACAATAGTTTAAATAATTATTAAAATGTGGATGTTATTTAACAAAATAATAAAAACTTTGTAAGTACTTTACTGAATTATTATCGTTATCATTCACCGATCTACAGTCTACCTTTGATCAACGTTTAAGGTAAATTATAGTAATCATTTTTTTTAGTCCGATCATGCCGTCCTATTAATATTTATAAATAATTATTTTTATTTAAAGTACGCGTGGATACTTTGTAAAAAGCACGATACCGCGTACACGTGCTTAAAATAAATATCCGGTAAATAATGAAATATATGGACCAACACTACAATCGTAACCGTTAGTTTATTTAATTTAATTAGTAAAAAAAAAAAGGCCTTTAATAAGTAGGAATGTGTGCTGAATAACAAGTTGCAATAGTTTATTTACGAGAAAAACGTACTTAGTTAAAATCACGTTAAATTAGCAAAAAATATTATTGCATTGAACAAGTACTCAAGCTCCATAATAATTATTTATTTTTAATAGTTAATAGCCAAAAACTACTGGACAACTGAGTCTTATTATATATTTATTTTCACTTCTTTCATTCAAATCTCCTCTTAAATGCTATACTAATATATATTTATGTTTATATATAATATATATATATATTTTTATATATATATATAGATTTTTTTTAATAATAATATATATCTATTTATACTTTTAATTTCGTTTCTTTGTTTCCTTCAACACTTGTCTACATTCCTGACTCTCTTTAGTTTTCAAATAAGAGACAATTACTCTCAATGCCAAGCGTTTTTATCAAAACGATAAAGCTTGCGCATTTAAATCTATTTATTATTTTCTTTTTAAATTTTAATTTGAGATTGACAATTATTAACTTTGTCACTATTATTGTAGTATTTAATGTCACCCGTTAATCATCACCGAATAATATCGCGCACTCAATCAGTGAACGTAGCTAACAATTTTGTACATTAATTAGTTCCTTATTATTGTCTTGGTATATATAATATTTTTTTTTTATTCATTTATTTTCAATAAAAATAATAAAATATTATTATGTATATTATATTATATATATATATAATAGATTATTGCATTATGCTTTTTTGGTACCGTTACTTTAGTTTTTTTTTTTTCCTTGGTTATTTGCATCATCAAAGATTTATATTATTAATTAAATTTTATTATATCATCAACCATTTAATATTCGTTAAATAAATGTTGATCTGGTATGCGGGCAAAGAAGATGCCTGAGGCCTTGGTATTATCATTTATAATTTAAAACTTACCCGTTATAAATTTAAATAATTATTAAGACCGTTTAAATAATATTATCGAGTGATGAGAAGTTTATATAAAATCACCCGGTTAGTATTAGCACGTATAAAGTGAGTTGCCGTGATCGTTGTGTGTGATGTTTCGTAATATCCTGCTTTTCCATTTCTTGTTTATGTCCCGAAGGTGTATACCTGGACCAAGTCGGAAGTAATAAACCCGTTTCTCTCTAAACGTATTGTACCCTCTGACGTGTATGTATAGTTAGAGTTTAGTGTGTGTTGAGTGTGACCAGGAGTAGTAATTACAGCGAAGAGACCTAAATGTTAAGTCACGAGTGAAAGAAAGTTCGTAGTACGTACTTGTTTGAATGTGTACTGTGAAAATTTAAACTTTGAACAAGCTGTAGGAGGATGATTATGATGACGATGATGATGTTGATGACGATGATAGCCCTCGTTCTATTCTCTGTACGGTTTGCAGTAAGAGGACCGGTGATTCATGTGCTGACTGTAAGATCCAGAGTGTGAGAAGCGCTTTAGGCACTTGGTGCACTGAAATGGTTTTTCGCCGGTATGAAGACGCTTGTGTTCCGTCAAGTGATGCTTATGTTTGAAAGCCCGCGGACACTCTTCGCATTTGTACGGCCTTTGCCCTGTTTAATTAATAAATTTGTTTATTAAAAAAGAATAAATACACCCTTAAAAATCAACAGCTAATTTTCAACAGAATTTAAAACAACAAGACTTACCGGAATGTTCATACTTGTGTCTAGCAAGTGAGCTGTGCTTGGAGAAGGTTTTATCGCATTGATCGCACACGTACACGCCCTCTTGTTCGGTCTCTGTCGAAGGAGGAGCATCTGGCACAGGCCTATCATTCTCACGCTCAGACTTTACGTAGGCCCTTGATTGATTCTAAAATTTAATTAATAACAAAACATTAATTTTAATATCCTTACTATCCTTTTTATAAAATAAATTATCGAAGTAAATGCTGACCTTTACTACATTGTCACCGGCGGAAGATACTTCTTTTTTAATTTCAACCGGATCAGGGGTTTCTTCATCAATAACTAAAGGTAATTCATCAAGATCATCAACTTCCGAATGAGGCACAGTCATTTGTATGATTTTATTATAATCTTTTGGTTCGTGGGGTGATGAAACGTTATTTCTATTGCTAATAATATCATTGTCTTTAACTGAGGGGGTTATTGTGAGACTTTCTTTCTTGGATAGATCTAAAGGCTGCTCTAGGCTGCAGGGCAGCTGGTGATTTCCAATATTTGCCAGAGGAACAAGGGCAGGCATTCTTAATTCCCGACGATCTCTAGCACGAGAATTTTGGAACCAAACTTGGACGACACGTTTCGGAAAATTAATATAATTAGCAATCATATCAATTTCTTCTTTCTTGGGACGTGGATTTATGGCGTAGTAGCCCTTGAGGACGGCCAGTTGTTCGTCGTCGATAAGTGATCGGGCTCTAACTCTTCTTCCGGGTTCCGCTTGGGTTTTATTCGACTCATCCTCATCGTCAGAGTCAGCCTCTATGGAACTTTCAGGTGCAAAACCTTCTTCAGCTTTTCGTTTGGATCCACGCCGAGCTTTCGTACTAGATTGACTTGCGTCCTCCAGCTTGGCTGCTAAACCTTCGCTCTGTGAGTCATACTGGTCGCCAGTTTGCCAGTCTTGATAGTGAGTTGTTTCACCGGACATTTCACTATCCTGATCGTGATAGTCTTCATCACACTCACGCTTTATCGTTTCCGGCGAGGTCGCGAGTTTTCTGACATTAGCTTCAAGCAACTGTTTTGTCACGGAAGTATTTACCGTCTCTAAAATACGACGCACTGCGTCTAAGCCCTGAGGATCAGTTGGCACCGGTGAATATTTTCCTTCAGTTTCTTCAGAATCCGCGGTCGATGGGCTCAGAGTCTCGCGATGCGCTTCGTAATGTTCAGACGCAACCTCGTCTAATCTTTTAGTCTGTAATTGATTGAGAATTTTACCGAGCGACGATTGAAGAAATAAACTGCTGAAATTAACTATCGGAGGTAGCAGAGTTGGCATATCATAAATGCCCGTAGTTTCTCGCTGCAGCTCATGGTAGTCTGACGGCGAGAGCTTGGGAAGAATTGGTAAAAAAGTATTGTTATTAGCAGCATGAATATCGATTTCACGAGCACCACGGGACTGCAATGACTGTCCTCCTCCCTGTTGTATTTGAGGTTTTTTAGTCGCCCGTTCTATACTGCTTATTGTGCTTTGTCGTGATTTTTTTAGGTTTACTATCAGGCACTTCTTTGACGTCATATGACTCGAGTAAGAACCCGAGTGCGAAAAACGTTTACCGCAGTTGTTGCATTGAAATGGCTTTTCTCCACTATGAATTCGTAGATGTTCCTACAAACATATACATATACATATACATAAACATAAATATAAATATAAATCTAAGCATAAATATAAAAATAAATTCCAATCAATACAGACATTCAATATAATAATTCCATTAAAATAAAAATAAAAATAAAAAATGAAACTCACTTTTAGATGATGCTTAAATTTAAATGCCTTTTCACAGTGTGGGCATTTAAATTTGCGCAATACTGCGCTCTCATCGTGGCTGATCATGTGCCTTTGTAGACGGTAAACGTTAGCAAAAGTCTTGCTGCAAACTTTGCAGGACTGTAATAATTAAAAAAAAAAACAATATAAATAAGTAAATTTTATTTAAAAACAAATTATTAGTTTAATTTTAATTTATTATTTTGCTTGTAAATTAAAATAAAATTAATTTAAATAAAAAATTAATTAAAAAAAAAATTTCTAAATACACGGAAAAAATAAGATGACACTGGATATTATCCCAGATTACAATGAGTATAATCCAAATATCACGAAGTATATGTAATTTAGATTTTTTTTTTCCCCCACAGATATCACTGAGTACAATCTAGGATGATATCCAGTGTCATCTTGTTCTTTCCATGTAGAACAAACAAATTTCTATCTAAAAAAAAAAAATTTCTTAAACAAAATAAAATTTGTTTTATGCCGTAAGATGGACGGCGGAGTTTCTAAGATGATCCACCTTTACAAGCATGGAAATTAAAATAAAATTAACTAAAAAAAAAAAATTTCTTAAACAAAAAAAAAATTTTTATTATTTAACAGTAAAAACTTACAACTTGAGAAAATTGAACACTGAGATCGTGCTTATCAATGACGAATGCGGTTTTATGGGCGTCCTCGAGGTGGAGTTGGAGAACGTGAAGGTTCCGGCAGAGAATACCACACTGCGGGCACCTCTCTTCTTGCTTAGCCGATCTACTCTCACCACCTCCGCCCTCAGTACTCGCCCCACCGTTACTGACTTCAGCTAGTTCCACACTGGATTCGTCTCCGCTGCACCCTATTAAACAGAAATAAATAATTTATTTATTATTTATAATTCACCATTAATCAAATTTATACAAAATATATTTATAAAATGTACATGAATAAAAATTCAGGAAGAAATAAAAATTTTGATAGGTGACATGAATAAGAAACAAAAAGGCCTGTAGCTAATCTTCGGATTATTCTATATATTTAATCCCCACCGTAACGAGAATTGGCGACCCCGGTTTTGTCACCCGTTCCCATCGTGGTCCTGGACCTTAACGTATGTGTGTATGTGCGAGCGGTGTCGGTGACTGCTCTCAAACTACAAAATCACCAGCAGTCCGAGGGGTGACTCTTGATATTTTCAGAGAGCATGTCACTCTAACCCCCTCTTTTCCCCTATCTAATTTTGTGTCCCCACACCTTTTATGGGTTTAATATACCTTGCCACTATTGCTTTAGCTGCAGCGCCGAATCTCGTGGCATTGTTAGTCGTATGGCACGCGCCAGGTCGACGCGCCCAGGGTGACTCTTTTCGAAAGTGGCACATGGCACGGGGGATCTCACGTCGACCTCTGCGTGCCCCCATCCTACGCTAACCCGGTGGATGCCAGACTTACCGTACTTTATATCCACTCGGATAACTTTCGGGGGCCGAGGGGGACCAACTCTATTGTCAACCGTGGGGGATTTAAATGATGCTGGAGCCGAGTGATTAACGGACAGGAAAATCGCTATAGGGGTGTACGATCAATTCCAGAGACATTTGTCCAGGCTCAATCGAACAAGTCGAGTCGATCGTATCCGATCATTCTTTTTTTTTTTTAATACATTCATAATGTTTAATGCTCATGGATTTTGATGCTTGTAATAATAATTTATGGTGACGAGCTTGCATTATTGGAAATATTTTGAATTTTTACGGGTCAAAAGGTGTTCTGGGTTTGGGATAGTTTTTATAATCTGTTTAATATACAATAGTTGTGACTTTGAAAAGAAAATTCGAATTTTAATTATTGAAATTGAGAATTTTAAATTTTTTATACCTGCAATGATGATAAAATTTATTTGATTTGAAAGAAGAAATCTTGAATCAAGAAACTTTATATTAAAGAATCTGATTATGTTGAATCAAGCAGAAAATTTATTTAAAAAATTAATTTTTATTGGCTGAAGTGAATTTTACTTAATTAAAAAATTTTGCTTTATTTAAAATAGAATTTCTCAAAAATAATTTTCTTGGTCTAAGATTTCTTCTTTCATATCAAGTAATTTTTTTATCAGTACACTGAAAACAAAAATTCTTGACTGGAGGGTTAATTTTCTTGGCTCAAGAAAATATTAAGGATTGAAAATTTCTTGAACCAAGAAAATTTCTTCTTACTCCAAAATAACTTTTGTCTTCTTTAAAATTTTTTTGGTTCAAGAAGTTTTTTTTTCTGTGAACAGGTATTAAAAAATTTTTAATTCTAAATTTATAATTTAAAATTACATAAACTATTTTGTAATAAATGAATAAAAAAAGTATCCAAAACACATAACACCTCTTGATCTATAAAAATTAAAAATATTCTTCTCAAGTCAAGCAAAATTTTTCAATTAAATAAAATTTAGTTAAATAAAAAAAAAATCTTTATTCAAGAAATTTTTTGATTCAAGATAATCAAATTTTTAAAAAGTAACTTTCTTGAATCAAAAATTTTTTTTTAGTTGTTAAATTTCTCATTAATTTGAAAATATGAAGCTTTACCTAAAAATAATTTTTTTGGCTTTTAAAATAATGTACTAACTAAATTTTTCCCTAAATTACTACACAGAAAAAAAAGAATTATTTGTCTCAAATAAATCAATTTATTTGAGTCATTTTTTTAAATATTTCTTTGTGACAATTTTATTTTATTATTTGTCAGAAATATATCATTTATTTGTGGTAAAGATGCTAAGTTTATTGTAAACAACGGCATCTTTGAGGGTACCAGTCAAATGTTGAATTCTCAACTATTGCGTGCGCATATTCTTCGGACGTCACCCGAACTGACTCTCAAGTGACCGCCATTTTCATTAAAAACGTTTGTTGTTTTTTTTTTTATAACAGTGCGTATTATTGTATGAATTCTCAATTTTCAATTTTAAATAATTCATAATAGTGATCGAAACGATGGAACAATTGTTAATTGATTGTTTAACTGTCGGTTTAAATGATCATTTAAAAGGATACATAGTAATATTATCTGATAAAAATACAACTGAAGAAATTTTAATTTTCAATATTAATAATTGTCTTGGTCCAATAAAAGTGCATGTTACAGCTGAAGGTAACCATATTATATCTAAAGGTGATTTGAATTTTTAATTGTATTTCTGTTCTAATAAAATAAATTATAAATTTTTTATTCTATAGTAGCGTTATAATAACCTAAAAATATGTACAATTAATTTTTAATATTTTAAAATATGCATTATTTGCGTCAACTATCATTTATTTACCACAAATAAATCATATCTTGACAACAAATAAATCACTTATTTGACGCAATTAAATAGCTTAAATATATCGTATATTTCTCACAAATAAATATTTATTTGGCCATATCCAAGTATACGATATCTTTGGCTCAAATAAATCTTATTCAGTTCAAATAATTCTTTTTTTCTGTGTATAACTGTTGATTCACTTATTATAAGATAATGTAAACGCCCGAAGCTAAAAATTTTTACAGTTTCCTAAAATCACATCACTAAATATCCAACAGCTTAATACGATTGAATATAATCCTACTGAAAACATAGAAAATCAACATTTTGGTGTTGTAGGTAATGCATCAACTAGTTTGCACTTTGATCCGAGTAAATATTGATAACGGTTTGAAACGGGTCAAAGCCGTGGCCTATGGTGATCCGAGTGTTTGTCAAATCGTCACTGTAACAAATCAAAACAAACACAGAGAAGAAATAGAAAGCAATTAAATTAAAAGAAGCTCTTATTGATTTTCCATATTTATGTGTTGATCTGTTATCTCTATATCTACTGTCGAAAATTCCCGAGTTTCTACCCATATAGACATACTGATAAATAGAACTAGGCCGTAGTTGGTAAGTCGGTAAGCCTTAAGTGTATCTATCTATGAATCATCGAGACTTATAACTCTCCAGGGTCAATTTAACAAAGTGCAAAACTTTTCCTGAATCATCACAGTTTCTGTAGCAGCAATTGTGGCCTGGTGTATATCGTGTCGTTGCCAAGATTTCGAGATTAAAACCAATGAGTTATAACTATATATCTGTATGCTGAGAGTCATAAAATAAATAAAAGAGACAAGAAGTTAAACACGTGTCGATGAGAGTCCGAGTGTCTATTGACCAGCGGACAAGATGGCGATGAAAAGCCCCTATAGATATAATACAACAGCATCAGCAGACCGATGAGATACATATACAGCTAAACATCAGTTATAGTTATGGGTAACACGGGCCAATGACGTCACCGGAGTATCGTCGGGAAGCGCGAACCACAGGCGATTCAAACTAAACGTTAAACTGCTCTCCGGCCGAGGTCATTGAGCCTTGGCGCGACGCGGGGGCGCAGCGGCCATTAAAACGCGAGATCACTTATCTCTCAATTTTCTTTTACCAGTACATACATATACACACTTACAAATACTGTTAGTATTACATACAATGTACAATATGATGGCATTACATATAATAGTATTATATAGACAAGACACTCTCGATACTCCTCAATCGCTTGGATAATTTTCTTTATTCTTCATGACGCATTTGACGCAATCATAAGCACTTTGATGATAAATATTTTCATCACTGACAATTATTATTATTTTAATTTGTTATGAAAATAAATTTATATACATATATTGACAATAAGTAGGCGAAAATATTGTATGTGCAATTTAATTGTTTATGAATAGTTGATGCGTGTAAATTAAAAATAATAATTATTGTTATGACGATGACAAATATGATAGATTTATTTTATATGGAAGTGCAGCTCTTTCTATCGCGTGGTCAATACGGAGTTACCGCACGCGATAAGCAATTGTAAATACTGGGAACGCAAGTTATTTTAACCGCAAATGTTACATATTAAAGTTTAGGCACAATGGTTATATTAGTTGTAACCCATAAGTAGAATTTTTTTATCTTTAAATAACATAAAAATAATTTATGTTTACCGATCAAATAATTTTCTTTGCTACTCAGTACAAATTAAAATTAAACAAACGCAATGTTTTGAAGACTGTAACTAAACTAGACTTGGTTGTCTTACTCCGTTTCCGCATAACCAAGATAGCACGTACTAAAACGATTTATTTATCGCAAACTTCGAGGAAAATTTTACCGTAGAAATTCATACCGAGATTATAATCTAAATGTCGCGTTGAATTCCATAAAGCATAAATTCTTACCCGCTCAAGTATTATTTAAAAATAAATATAATTACAATTAGAGTATTTAGTAGTTCTGGTGATAAAGTAGACCGTGTTTCTCTGGCGGATACATACAATATTATAAAATGTAACAAATTTTAAACGCTAATCGAATACACTTGACTTTTTTAAATTCAAAGTTTCAAATTACGAGAGGTATGAAACTAATAAACCACTCTGCTCAGTAACTCCCACATTTATTTGTCGTGAAATGCGATATCTACTCCCCCTTCTTATTGACACGGACATTAGGTCAAAGTAAAAGAACAAAAAAATGTATAAATATACATTTATATGTAGAAAAAAGCCTGGCAGGTGTGTTAGAGGACATTTTTTCTAAACTAATATTTGTTTAATTGGGTTTATTGTAATAAACTTAAACAAAGTGTTAAAATGTTTTGATTAGTCACGTTTTTACCCGGGCATTGATCATCAGGTGAATGTAAAAATAATAAAACTTTGAACTCTACAGCGCATCACGTAGTAATCGCTGCGAACAACGAGAACAAAGGGATGTGTCTTGAATGGACTAAAGCGCTGATGAATTAAGTCGAATGTGTGGACTGTTATAAACAATAACAGAAGCAGATAGCAGATGACAAATCGACAGCTAAAATAAATAAATGTTTTTTTTTTTTTTTTTTTTAATCAGCAGCGAGTTCAGAAGCTTGTTAACGTTAATTGTTCTAGAAAAAATAGTGTGGTGCTACGTAGCTTGTTGATGCCACGTCGATCGTCAGAGTCAACGAAAAGCAACATAACACACATACGTGTTGATCATATATATAAAATAAAGCTCGCTCGCTTCTTCTTATCTGACCCTCTGTGGCTCTACCGACCTTTGCCTGGCACTCTCATTAGTCTATCTCGAATTACGTATACTCGACTGAATTTTTTTCACAACCAAGGTAGCAATATAAATTAATATTAAATGATAAATATATTTTTCTGTTTCTGAAAAAAAATATCTGTGATGAAATAAATTAAACTGTGAAGAAATATAATTAAAATTGAAACAAACCTTTGAATGCGTTTCGCACGAGAGTCATGCTCATATTAACTCGGCGTCCTAACCGCGGACGTTTGTCCCCGAAGATGCTCTCGTGTTTGTTATTTTTGTTGTTACTAGGGCATCATGCGAGAAATCGCTTGAACCAGCGTCCTCGTGCCCGACGACGACAGCGAACTAGGCGGTGAAGATGTTGTTGTTGTTGTTGTTGTTGTTGTTGTTGATGACGATGACCTTGGATTCCTCCAGCCGCGTGGAGGTGGCGTCGTGTCGTTGTTTTATTATTTAGCTTCACCGTAAAAACGTTTCGCGACGACTCAGACGACGTTGTTGACGATGACGTAGTAGCGCCGACGGAAATTGTGACCACTGGCCTAGCGGTCGGCAAACGTACGCGGGGAAACAACATCAAACGTTCCTATGGTTGTTACAGCGAGGTTACAGTAATTTTTAGAGCGGATTTACAAATAAAAAAAAAAAAAAAAACTGGTCTCGTGGTCGAGTCGCCAGAAAAATAACCATTAATTAAAATAAAACACACACGTATCTCCTCTCTAGCTTAACTCTAAGTGCTCTACTCGTGGTCGTCGTCGATAAGGCAGAAGGTGGGGCCGTTATAAGAATGGCGAGTGCGTCGAGTGTGTGTGTATCTAAAGAGAGTCGATACCTTTCAAGACGATGCGATGGTCTTCTCAACTCGGGGCGGGTCTAAACAGTTCAACCAGCTTACTTATTTTATTATTATTATTTTTTAAATTTTATTTTTAATTATTCCTCTTTTATATTTTATCTCCTTGTATCAATAAATTAAACAGCAACACATCTAACACACAAGTATATACACTTATTGCTGTATATTGTAAACGTTACACACACACACACACACACACACTTTGACAAATAAAGTGTTAAAGTTGCCCGGTCGTCGCCCGTTGATAATAATTAATTTTCACCGCACAGTAACAATATCAACTTCCATCTTAAAACTTTATCAAGTCTTTCTCCAACCGCCTGTAATTTAAAAAAATAAAAATAAATAAAATAGTTTTTTTATTTATGAAAATTAAGTTAGCCGACATTTAAAAATTTTTAGAATTTTTTTTTTATTGAAAAAAAAAAATTTTCACTTGTAAAACACTTTAAAAATTGTAAGTGGAATTTTTAAAAAATATTTTTTTCTTCTAATTTAATTATTAAAAAATTAAAATCGTCGGCTAACTTTATTATTATTTTTATTTGTTACTTTAAAAAATATATTTAAAAAAAAAATACATACACATTTAACACACTCTTCCAGCGTAACTCTTGTTCTCGTGTTATCTCACAACAGAATAACAATCCAGCAGCATCGAGATGAGCAGCAATACTAGCAATAGCAGTAGCACCACCACCGCTAACAACAACTACTACAATAATTAATATATATATTTATTTGTTATTTAAATATATATAAATAATAATTCACCTTTCACTCACGTTGACTCCTTACGCAAAACTCGAGCACGAGGGTATGTAGTTGCGTTTATATCCTTAGGGTTGTTAAAACACACAAAGTAACACTGAGAGCTTGAGCTTGAGAAAGAGAGAGGAGGCCAGGAAGGGGGACACGAAGAGAAGTAAAACATAAGTGCTGAGGAGAGTGAGTGAGTGAAGATAAAGATAAAGATACTGCACGACGCGGTGAGCCTCCGGTGCTTAGGGCATGGCAGTACAGTAGGCGCGGGCTAAGCGGAGAATGTCGGTGTACTAAACCATCTAGGAGAGTAGTAAAGTAAGTATAGACAGAAGAGTGAAGCGCACCGGCGGGTACCGCGGAGTTCTAACTAACACACATGGATGACAAGCCAGGCAGCCAGGCAGGCGATTGAGATTGTTGGGAGAACTGCGTATTGTGTACTATACGATTTGGGACGGATGGTGATGGTGATGGCGGCTGTACCACGGCACAGCCACCGCCCCCGTTCGTCGTTTACGAGCCCGAGGTTCTCTCACTCGTACATTATTACTCTTCACCTCCCTCGTACACCGTTAACAACTACATCCCCACTTGGCTACGTCGATCACCTCGTCTCTCTCCTTCACACGGGGTTCCGTTTACCTCCACTGATTTATCTCCGTCTTCTACACCGGAGCAGCTCTCCTATCTCGATATGGACCAACCAATTGGTATGTATATATATATATACATATATAAATATATGCTGATATCTATCTATCTGTCTTCTTCCAGCAGCACTCCCCGCTTCAGCACACACTCTGCCCCTTCTTCTGAAGCTTATACTCTTCTCTGGCCACTACATATCTTTGTCACGTCCCCTACCTGCGCCCCGCGACAAGCGCAATCACAATCAGGGCTGTGGATGCTGGGAAACGCGCCCTGGATATCTTCTCCAAGAGGTTTGCCTGAAAACAGATCAGAGTATAGTAGGACGTCTAAATCTCGTGATAATAGAAATACCTACCAGCTACAAACATATCAATATCACTTTTAGCTAACACATACTTATACTAACTATTTTTCTTCTTATGACACTGAAGTTAGCAGACCTCTAAAAATTTTTTTAATTAAATTACAACTAAAAAGATATCTATGAAAAATTGCACTTATAGTTTTTCAAGTTTTTTACATGTGAAATTTTTTTTTATAATTGTTTGGTTGAAATTTTTCCAATAAAAAATTTCTAAAAATTTTGAAATGTCGGCTAACTTTATTTTCATTAAAAATGATATTTCTTGTTGAAAATTAAAAAGAAGAATATAATATTGAAAGACCCTTTAATTAAAACGTTGATATTACGTTTTCATTGTTGTCGCTTTTCGTTGCTGTGGTGACCACTTTGGCAACGGTTAAATATTAATGAGTAAAATTTTTAAAAATATTGATTAATTAAATTTTCGATAATAAAAATGTTTGTAGTTATATAAAAAAGCAATTAAAGGTACATACCAACAATCGAACGTGCCTGGGACTGAATGATGGGATTATTGTTGGCTTCAGAAGCAGTTCCCGTAGTGGTGGTTAGTGCGGTAGTTATTGTTGTTATTGGAGATGGCTGCTGCTGCACCGGCTGCTGTTGAGTCCGTCTCTCGTGATCACCTTCAAGTGCGTTCGTTATCGTGTTAATAGCCGATGAAGGACTTGAGGAATTTATTGTGGCGTTCGAAGAGGGTGGCTTCGGCGGCGACCACGAGCTGCAAGTGTCGCAACCCTCGGCCGAGCGGGAGGACAACCGACAGCAAGACCAGCGCTTGCCACTCCACAACCCCGTGTGATAACGACCTGACAGCCCTGGGTTTTCACTGCACACTGTAATTTTTTAATTTCCTTTTTTTAATTAATTATTATTATTATTATTCATTTATTTTTAGAAGCCACTCTCGCTTTTTGTGGTTACCCTTAAGTTTACAACTAAAAAAAGTGACAGTGTATAAATTAAAAAAAAAAAGTGAGTCTATGACAAGCGTATGAACTTTTACTAGCATTACATTAAGGCGCTTCTCTGTTTAAAAATATTATAATAAACTAGCAACCTGCAGTCACTATGTGACTGCCGTGGCTTGTGAACTATAAATAAATAAAATTTTCCTTCGATAAATAATGACTTTTGTTAAATTGCACTGTACTTTATTAAATATTGACGTTTTTAAAGATATAAGCTCATCCCGATCGATGTTACACTCATCGAGAGCTTTCATTTGAGTACCCACATGCATTTTTGATATATTTTTCATATATACATATATGTAATATATATAAATGTATAAATATATGAAAAATTGATGTAGGTACTCAAATAAAAGATCTTGATGAATGCAACATCGGAATGAGCTTATATCTTCAAAAACGTCAATAGTGAAGAAAGAACATTGAATCTTGTCATCTAATGATACTTTTAAAAATATAAGCTCATCCCAACATTACACTCATCGAGACCTTTCATTTGAGTACCCATATGCATTTTTGATATATTTTTCATATTTATATATAATATATGGAATATGTATAAATATATAAAGTATATGAAAAATTGATGTGGGTACTCAAATGAAAGGTCTCAATGAGTGTAACATCAGGATGAGCTTATATCTTTAAAAATGTCAATAATTAAGAAATTATATTGTATTTTTTCTACTTATGATATTTTTAAAGATATAAGCTTATCATGATGTTACACTCTTTAAGAGCTTTCATTTGAGTACCCACATGCATTTTGATATATTTTTCATAATATATACATATAAATATATGAAAAATTGATGTGGGTACTCAATTGAAAGGTTTTGATGAGTGTAACTCCAGGATGAGCTTATATCTTTAAAAATGTCAATATTTCACAAAATAAAAGGTAATTTCTTAATTATGAACCTAGAGATAGAGCATTTTTGAATGCAGCCTAGATACTTATCATCATAAATTGATTACTATACAACGATACCAAATTTAACCATAAAAACCCATTTTATCATATAAATACACTGGCTACAAAATTTTGCTTATTCTCTTAATAATATAAATAATATATTTTAAAGGACTGAATAAAAAGAGATGTTTACAGAACTTTTGAAAAATGTTTTTAAATGAAAAAACTTTTTTTTTTTTTTTATATTGTACGTGAATGAAAAAAATTAGTTTCATTAAAAAAGGTCATTTTTATTTAAAATATTTTCTGGAGTTGTTCCATTAAATCTCGACGGAGTGGCTCCCAAGGGTTGATAAAATAAAAAGTGAGTTGAAAAATAAAAATGAAAAAAAAAAAAAGTACGATTATGGAATGATACTAAAGTTTAAAACACACTTAAGCTTTTAGGATCATTTATATCTGGTAGAATTTGAAAACTTTTGAGCGGACTAGATCAAAGCTAGATGAAACTACGTATACAGTTTTAGTCACTTAAACTAAACCGAAAGCTTCGGTTGTTTTTTTTTATCTTATTTCAGTTCAATAGGAAAAACAACCCGCGGCATGTTGGCTCGTTAAAGCTAAACAAACAACACAATAGTATAATTACAGTAACCAACTGAAGTCGGACCACAAAACTCTTGTCCTACGCCTATGCAAACAGTGAAAAATGAGTTTAAAAGAGGTTAGCTCGTTTTATTTTATTTATACAAATCCTCTTCTCTTATTCTCGAGCTTTCAACCGGAAAATAAAAAAGTTCCAGCATGCGTTCTCGTGAAAAACAGGCATATTTTTTCCAGAATGTGATAGAAGACACACTTTTTATCACCACTCTCATTCTTTCATTTTCTCGTTTTGTGTTACCTGTCGTTTACATGCACACATTTTTACATTACTCCTTCTTTTTTATACAATATATATATCTACGTATGATAAACATAGTTTTTTTCATTTTTCGTTGCCCAAGGATCTAGACTAACAATTCAACTCGGGTTTATTCAATGTTCTTCCTAAAAATCCTGCTTTTATTCCACTAATTTAAATGTTATTTCTGTTTCAACAATGTTTTTTCTTCACTTCCTGTTACATAGTTTGAATTTTCTTCACAGTACTCAAGTTAGATGACAGATGTCAATTTTTAGAATTTTTATAACAAATCCATTACAAGAAAAATGATTCTAAAAATTTCCACTGATTTTTTTTAATTTTCACATGTGAAATTTTTTTTTTATAATAATTTTACTGTTGGAAAATTCTAAAAAAATTTATAATGTCAGTTAATTTCAGTTTTTTTATTTCAGGTCATAAGTATAGGTTTCTTTAAATTTTATAAATAAAATTTTGCTTACTTAGAAAATAACTTTTGTTAAATTGCACTGTACTTTCTTAACTATTAACATTTTTAAGGATATAAGCTCATCCCGAAGTTACACTCATCGAGAGCTTTCATTTGAGTACCCATATGCATTCTTGATATATTTTTCATATATACATATATATAATATAATATATATAAATATATGAAAAATTAATGTGGGTACTTAAATGAAAGGTCTCGATGAGTGTAACTCCAGGATGAGCTTATATCGTCGAAAATATCATCAGTAGACACAATACGACGTCATTTCTTAATTATTGACATTTTTTAAAATATAAGCTCATCCCGATGTTACATTAACTGAGACCTTTCATTTGAGTACCCACATGCATTTTTGATATATTTTTCATACATACATATACATAATATATATAAATATAAATATATAAAATTTATGAAAAATTGATGTGGGTACTCAATTGAAAGGTCTCGATGAGTGTAACATCGGGATGAGCTTATATCTTTAAAAATGTCAATACTTCACAAGATACAAGGTCATTTCTTAATTTTGTAGCTAGAGATATTCTCTGACGGCATTTACGTTACAAATTTATTATATGTCAGCTGAGAATTATTAATTTTTTTTAATTTTACAATAAAAATTTCCACAAATATTTTCTAAATATTCACATGTGGAACATTTTAAATTAAATTTTTCTTATTATAATTTCACTTCTATAAAACTATAAAAAAATTTCTGTCATATTTCCTTCAACTTCTGTAAAAATTACAGAACATGATAGACATATTAGATTAAAACCCCAACTGAAACTTAATAGACCCAAAAATTTATCGTTGGAAAAACTTCCTACGGATAATCTTGATTAAACTTTTAGAAAAGAAACTTGTCAGAATCTTTGAAATTTAAACTTTAAATTAAAATCTTTCAAAGATCTAACAAATCATTTTGGCCATTTTTCTCCGTCAATTCGACGTGTTCGGATCTTTAAAACCATCCGATTCATTGATTATCAGTAAAATAAAATAACCTTTAACACAAAACGATTTATAAGGAAGAAAAGCAAAAATCACAAAGGATAAGGTCCTAACTCTAAGTTGACAAAAACAATTACGTTAACATATAGGGGTTGACAGTTTCCACATGACCTTCTGTAACTCTCAATCTGTATCAACCACATCTTTTCCTCTCAGCGCTTTCCGATCACACGAGACCGCACAATCTCGATACCAAGAGATACCAATCCTCATCATGATAGATATCTCCTTTTTTCAGAATAAACATCTGATTCTGTTTTATTCGCGAGAAATCCAACCCGGCATCTTATATATTCTTCATTTTTATTTGCTTGACAATAAAATAAATAAAATCGATTAAACTCAACTCTTCTTTTATATTTCTTCAAAAAATAAAAACCTTATTGTTATCTTCATGTCGGTGTACTTGATCCATTTAAAATCCACTATCAATTTTATTCTTTTTTAAAGTAATTAAACTTTTCCGAGAAATGAAATTGAATCTTTGATCACTTGCTCAAAAGTTTGTGCGCTGGTGGGTTTAATTTATTAAAATATCGCCGAGAGTTTGCTATTGAATAAACTCCAGCCAGCTGCGTCGATTAATTCTTTTAAACTTTTATGTTTTATTCACTTCAACGGTACCATACTTACAACCATTCAATTATTTTTATTTTTACTTTATATTCATGTTTAGTCCGTATTTTTTTTCTCTTTTTACATTATTCATTATTAATATTATTTTATTTAATGTCTACCGATATTCGCCGGCGAAAAACTCTTACCAGGTTTTTATGAAAATTAAATTAGCAGACATCTGAAAATTTTTAAATAAAAACAAAATTGTTACACTCATCGAGAGCTTTCATTTGAGTACCCACATGCATTTTTGATATATTTTTCATATATACATATATGTTATATATATAAAATATATGAAATATATGAAAAATTGATGTGGATACTCAAATGAAAGGTCTCGATAAGTGTAACATCGGGATGAGCTTATATCTTAAAAAATATCATTAGTTAACAAGATAGCAAGTAATTTCTTAATTATTGAAATTTTTTAAGATTTAAACTCATTGCGATGTTACACTTATCGAGACCTTTTATTTGAGTACCCACATGCATTTTTGATTTATTTTTCATATATACATATATATAATATATATAAATATATGAAATATATGAAAAATTGATGTGGATACTTAAATGAAAGATCTCAATGAGTGCAACATCGTGATGAGCTTTTATCTTTAAAAATGTCAATAATTCACAAGATACAATGTCATTTCTTAATCATTACTATTTTTTAAGATATAAACTCATTTCGATGTTATATTTATCGAGACCTTTCATTTAAGTACCCAGATGGCATTTTTTATATATTTTATATATATGGTATTTGTGAAATATATAAATATATAAAATATATGAAAAATTGATGTGGGTACTCAAATGAAAGGTTTTGATAAGTGTAACATCGGGATGAGCTTATATCTTTAAAAATGTCAATAGTTCACAAGATACAAGGTCATTTCTTAATTATGTATCTAGAGATAGAGTATTTTCGAATTTAATTCGCTTATTCTCTCTATAATATAGATTATTACCTGAAATTTTGTAAAGCATTTTTTTAGTTGTAAAAAATTGTCAAGTGACTACTAATTTTAATTTTATCAAAATTTTTATTGATTAAAAAATTCAAAATATTCAAATGTCTGCTAATATTAGTATCTTTAGCTTTTCATAACCTATAAACTATAACATAACCAAACTTTTGATTAATTTTTTTATTCTCCGACATATTCACAGAAATAGTCGGCAGCAGCAAGCTGTAATTCTAAAGTACACCCTTTTGTTTCCTCAATCTAATCCCAGTGGTCTAATTAACTTTATAATTACTTTTCTCATTTATTATGAAATATCCAGCCATCAACTTTACGGGAAATACATCTCACAGAGAATGACATAACCTTGGTTTTAACTTTTCTCAAAAGCTACGCTATGATTTAACGGTGATTACCGATTCTCTTTGATATATATTTAAGGAATAAATTAACCCAGAATTCATTTTTGATTTTAAATCTTGATTGAGATTACCAAATGCAAACATTTAGCTAAACGTTGAATCTTTTTTAAAATTCAATATTAATCTGACGGAAGAAGTGAAAAAAAAAAAAAAAAAAAAAAAAAGATTTAAAAGCGCTCGGCTATTTCCTTAATCCTTTTATCAAATTCATTTTTTACTCTTAAAAATGTCTTTACTAAATCACTTTTATTCCTCTAAACGCAAATTAAATTCAACGAAAAAATATTTTTCATTTCTGAATAAAATATTTTTCTTCCTGAATAAAAAAAAAAGTATTTAAAATTAACTTAGCCAGTATAAAAAATTTTTATAATGTTTTTTTTATTGAAAAGCTTATAAAAAAAAAATTTTTATTTATAAAAAACTTGAAAAACTTCAAGTGCAACTATTAATAAATATTTTTTTTTTTTATAATTTAATAATTAAAATAAAAAATAAAAACGTCGGCTAACTTTAGTATTACAAAAAGTGTTACATATTTTACGTAACCTCTTTTTTCAACCAGAACAAACATTGCGTTTTAATTAAAAGTTTATTATATTATTCAAAACTCGGAAAAAAATTCAATCGTATTTTACATGCATACACGGAGAGAAAAGAATAGTAATTATTACCATTCTACATGGTAATCAGGCTCATTTTCAGTAAAATGGTAAATGATGCTATGTAGAATATGATACATTACCATTTTTCTGGTAATGATTACTATGCTACATTGAAACGAGTGAAATGGTAAATATCGCTAGTCTGCACGGGAATCAGAGCTATGTAGACTGGTAATGAGTCCCATGCTAGAATAGCTGTCCCTACAGTTTAATAAATATACATGCTATAGTATGCGCGAAAGTTTGCGCAGTAACATGCGTGTATGTGTTTATGTATGTGCTAAAGTTGGCGTCATCTCCTTTGTTTATGATTTTATTATTTTGTGTAAAAAATTTATTAAATCTACAAACTAAATTAAGAAATTGATTTTTCTGCCCTCCAGCCGGAAAGTGGCAACTTTCTGGCCGCTGCGCTAAACAAAGTTGCCACATTCTGGCTACGTCGAGCAGAAAAATAGTATACACACCTTGGCCAGTAAAAAGTAAAGCCTCAGACCACATGTTTGTCAACCTCGGCTTCGCCTCGGCCAACAATTACATGTGGTCTGAGACTTTTCTTATTTTACTGGCCTAGGTATGTAATATACTATTAATAAAAAGTAAATAATGGTTGATCGAAGTGTAAGTATTTGAACATTTAAATAATAATTGGCCAAAATGTAATTCTAATAAATAAATTATTGATTGTTTATTACAAAGCATTTTAATTAATTTAATTATTATTAATTTATAATTAGAAAATTATATAATAATTGTAATTTTATTGTTAAAAGTTAATGATTATTAAAAAAATATGTTTTATGTTCTGATTTGCTTTTAATCTAAGTTATTGAGCAAGTTGAAATTCCAATAAATTACATTTTGAATTTTGATTGTTTATTACAAAGCATTTTAATTAATTGAATTATTATTAATTTTCAATCATGAAATTATATTTCATTATAAGTGCTCATTTAATTATTTCAATGAATTAATTTAATTTATGTATGTGTATTTTAAATAACCTGATTTACGGATTCTATCATAACCTTATTCACTAAATGTTACATAAATAACATAGCAAATATTGCTAGGTAAAATTGTAATCTCGTCCATTTACATAGTCCGCTCGTCAATGTAGAATGGTAATCATTCCTATGCTAGCATAGTCAACGTTACCATTTAGAATGGGGGGGGGAGGGGGATTACTTTGCCACTTGACTCTCATCGCTAAAAAATCCTCGTTTCTATGTAACATAGGAATGATTACCATTCTACATTGGAATCAGATCTATTCTTTTCTCTCCGTGTATGTATATATGAAAAATATATCAAAAATGCATGTGGGTAGTCAAATGAAAGCTCTTGATGAGTGTAACATCGGGATGAGCTTATATCTTTAAAAATGTCTAAAGTTCACAAAATTCAATATCAGTTCTTAACTATTGACATTTTTAAAGGTATAAGCTCATCCCGATGTTACACTCATCAAGAGCTTTTATTTGACTACCTACATGTATTTTTGATATATTTTTCATATATACATATATTATATAAATAATATAAATAAATATATAAAATATATGAAAAATTGATGTGGGTACTCAAATGAAAGGTCTTGATGAGTGTAACATCGGGATGAGCTTATATCTTTAAAAATGTCAATAGTTTACAAGAGACAAGGTCATTTCTTAATTATGTATCTAGAGATAGAGCGTTTTCAAATGCAGCCTAAATACTTATCACAATAAATTGACTAATGATGAGAATGATATGAACGATACCAAATTTAACCATAAAAAGCCATTTTTTAATATTAAACTAAAAAATTGAACATAAAAAAAATTATTATTTAATTTTTAGTTTAAGTTTCAAAAATCCGCCGTGAAAATGAACAAAAGAATTAAAAATATAACTCTTAAAATTTTTTACAGCCAAAAATAGATGAAGCGCCACTTCAGTTTAATTAAATAAATTTCGTACATTATTCCAAGTAAAAAAACAAACAATATTGATCTGTGTGTTACTAATACAGAATATTGTGCAATAAAACTGTAAATTTTTGCTAGCACAGTGGCGCATTGTTAATATAAATTAGCACAAAATCGAAGCACAAACTTTCTCAAAATACTAAAAACTTTTCTTAAAAATTACCACAAATTCCGTTCACAAATTTTCGAACCATAAATAATACAAATTAGTAATCTGTAACACAAACAAAATATTAGTTTTTAAAAATGATAAATGAAATCGCGATAGCTTGACATTCCGAGTGTAATTTCCCGTGACGTATTTCTATCTGTTAATTCAACGAACTGAACAAGCAAGCTCTTGCACCTTGTCAAACGAAATTCCATTATTTGAACTCAACAGGAAACGGGAGTGCATATAAAACATATATACACATAACGCCAAATAGATGAAATATATACACCTAGACTAGAAGTATAATACAAATAAAAGAAAAAAAAAAAAAAAAAAAAAAAAAAAGAAATTCTCAGTCATAGTATTCCTACAAAAGTATTAAAAAAAAATTTTCCGACACAATTTTCATCTTTTTTTTTTTTACTCATACAATATTCTGTATCACGATCTAGAATTTTTCGCCGCCCCAATCTCCAACCTTCACCTACTTTTTATAACGCTCTCTCTGTTGACGAGCTTAAAGGAGTGAGCAAAAAAAAAAGAAAAACCATGAGCCCTAGAATTTTTTAAAGCTACTATAGTGCTTTAATTAATTAATTATCATGAACGCATTATCGGGGTGGTGAACTGAAAATAATAATTACCAGCACGTAATGCACGAATCCACTCAGCCCTATCTTGTTCCCGGGCCGCCAGCAGATACAGAGTATATTCCTGGCCAGCTTCACGATATCCGACTTGAAACGGAAGGCCTGGAGGTATTCCACCCCCGCCTCCGGATCCAGATTCACTCCCGGCAGCCACGTTGCTGCTGCTGCTTCCAGGTCCTAGGATTGCAGTTTCTACCACGTGTACGCTCTCGATAGCGATTCTTCCTCGTTCTTTTCGTCGCTGAAAAATAAATACCAAATCGTTTTATTAATTATAATTTACAATAGTGATTAATCAGTTTTGTGAAGAATTAATGACAACTTTTTCATTATTACTTATTATGTTATGTTCTATTACTTGTCAATTTACATAACTAATTAATCTATTATGTTATATTATTCTGAACTTACATTAGTATGTACTCATTATGTAATGTACTTAATTATAATGGTCCTTAGGGAGCACTTGCTCTAGGATCAAAATTAAATAAAATAAAATAATCATTTTAATGAAAACAAGCAACCTTGCAGTCACTATGTGACTTCCGTGACTTGTAAAATATAAATAAATGAAATTTTGCTATATTAAATAATGAATTTTGTTAAATTGCACTGAAACTTTTTAACTGTTGATGTTTTTAAAAATATAAGCTCATCCCGATGTTACACTCATCAAGAGCATTCATTCAAGTACCCACATGCATTTTTGATATATTTTTCATATATACATATATATAATATAATATATATAAATATATGAAAAATTAATGTGGGTACTTAAATGAAAGGTCTCGATAAGTGTAACTCCAGGATGAGCTTATAACGTAGAAAATATCATAGTAGACAAAATACAACGTCATTTCTTAATTATTGAAATTTTTAAAGATATAAGCTCATCCTGGAGTTACACTCATCAAGAGCTTTTATTTGAGTACCCACATGCATTTTTGATAAATTTTTCATATATAACATATATATGTAATATATATAAATATATGAAAAATTGATGTGGGTACTTAAATGAAAGGTCTCGATGAGTGTAACTCCAGGATGAGCTTATATCGTAGAAAATATCAGTAGTAGACTATATATATATATATATATATATATAAATATATGAAAATTTGATGTGGGTACTCAAATGAAAAGTCTTGATGAGTGTAACATCGGGATGAGTTTATATCTTTAGAAATGTCAATATTTCACAAGATTCAAGGTAATTTCTTAATTATGTATCTAGAAATAGAGCATTTTTAAACACAGCCTAAATACTTATCATAATAAATTAACTATTGATGAAAATGATATGAAACCTTGAAAAGTCACAACTCCAGGTCACGACTTTTTCAACGATCTTTAATTAAATTACAACTAAAAAGATATTTATAAAAAATTGCACTTATAGTTTTTCAAGTTTTCTACATGTGAAATTTTTTTTTATTTCTAAATATTAGTTGTTAATGTTAGCTAACTTCATTTTTATTTCTGCTTTGTACTTACTTTTGTTCTTTTTTTTGCAGAATCACGTTACTGAGGTCCTGTACACTGTAACTACTGTAACTGGTAGTTTTTGTTAAACGAGAAAAAGATTAATATGTGTATTTATGACCACTCTTCAACTGCTAATGACATTTCGATAAGAGGTTTAGTAAATGAGATACTGGCTCTGCGATTGCTGGCAATGTTGATAGACGATGTACCAATCTTATCTCTACGGCATTTGTTACCGGAAACATCTGTATATATCTTTGTTTCTCCATTCAAACGGATTATTATGGACCATCGATGCGCTTTATCGCTCTATCCTTTGGGATGTTTTTCTTCTTTAATTTTTTTATCGCTTCCTTTACAAAAAATTTAAATCAACAAATAAGTATGTTTATTTTATATTATATTATAATTAATATATCTTCTTACTTCTAGGTACGTACTGTTGACGGCGGGGTAATGAGGGATTCAAAGATAAAGTTAATGAGTATGGTGATGATAGAGGAGCTCGTGATGCATAAAAATATTATTCAAGATACAGCTTGGTATGTCCATAATTGATCAAAGCGCCGCGAATAAAGTTATATATATTTTAAGTACGTATGTGTTGTAAGGCGCGCGATCGCCTCACGCGTACTTTAAACCTTATTGTTTCAATTGGCTTCTCTCAATCTCGTAATATAAGTACACACATGTAAGCTGTAAGCTTCGATTGACCACTCTTTACACAGCCTGCCTCATATTCTCTTCACAATACTCTTGATTAATATTAAAATTATAATAATTAAAAAAAAAAGTAATCTATGGAAGATTTTCACTTTTATTGATTCATCTTTATGTTATAGATTTTTCCAGTGCTAATAAGCAATTGCAAGTGATTGAAAAGGTTTTTAAACTTCAGAAAAAAGCTTTACAAATCAATGTGACCATTCGTCGTAGCACAGCGACGACGACGGAAAGGGGGAGAAGAGCGTTGGCGTCGGATACTATTATTAGTATGCAGCTGCCGACGAATTACTGAATGAAAACGATGTACGTCTCGAAACAATACCGTAGGTATAAAGATCTACCGGGAGTTTTATGCATAACGATCATCATCGGCTAGCATTTAACATTACATACATACCAAACCAAAGAATTGAAAAATTTATCATATCGTATGACATATATTATGGTTGCACATATGTCAATCGTCTCCAAACTGATATTTAAATCTCAACTCCGGGTATTATATATATAATAATAGGAGTCCGTTGGCCCATCTCGTCACTTTATCAAGATTTTTTCTTATGTATTTTATCACGTGATGCATAACTATATGAATAAGATTCATCTCGCTCTCCAATCGAAATCCATCGAGTTTATGACGCACATCAATTACTAGAAGTCGTGTATCATCAATTATTCTTTATGGCAGTGGATGAAACAAACTCCTCATACAAATAGTTAAGGTTTGTACATATAATATCTCTCACGCTCATTCCCTCCAATCCAGCGCTCATCTTCTTGTCTCTTATCTTGTGTACTATACTTATGGTTATAACAAACATCAGGATAGCCTGATGTAAGTATGTTTGTACATAATCTATTCTTCTTTACTTGTATTGCTGTACTTAACAACATAATTAATTTTATAGGTTTGTATTGAGAAAGAGAGGACGGCTAATAATTGCTTTGTATCCAATATAATCTGGAGCTGGATGTTACAAATGTGTGGGATAACAAAATTCGTATCATAAAACTTGGAGAAGAAGTTTTATCCGAGCAGAACTGCAACTTGTTCCAGCGATCGTTACACACAATACAATACAATAGATGAAATATACCCGAGAAGGGTGGATGATAATTTAACTTTGTATTATTGTATGTGTATATGTATAAGAAGGAGACTATCACCCGCAAGATGAGAGACGTCCCTGGGTGATCTTCACAATCGGGTCCAGCGGATGACGCGGCAATCGTCTCGAAGGGCCACGGAGATCTCCGAGTGTGTTTAGTTATAGCCTGGTGGGGTAACCCAACTCGGGTGGGAGTGTATCCTCACCCAACTACACACCGAGTAGATAACCTAACACACTCTCGCGTTATTTCCCCGACGGTATCTTCTCTCCCCCCTGTTTTGTTGCCGCCCATTAGGCGCCGCCACGGCGTGATTCGCAACTGTGTTTCTTTATCTCATTCGGCTGGACGCACACCGGTGAGCTCTCTCTGTCTCTCCACCGCGTGCTGTCTCTACACATTACACATAAGTGTATATACATATATGTGATCTGCCAATTCGTTTTTCATTCCAAAATCCTATCCTTTCTTATATTACTGCTAGACTCTAGCTGTTAGCTGTGTCCGCATCGATAATTCTCCAACAGAATATTTATTATCCTCTCAAAAAATTATACTGCACACGTGAGAATACTCAAGAGCAATACTTTTAAGTTTCTTATTTTTAATTTAATGGTAAAAGGAAATGAAAAAAAAAAAAAAAAAAAAAAAAAAAAAAACACTAAAAGGTACATATAGATTTAAACTTATAGAATGCGTGAAGAGCCAAGGGGGTCCATCATTTACATTTTACTGGCAATTCTCACTATACCTACATAACTCCTCAACGTAGTCGTAAAACGAAAATTTCGTGGACAAAAACCTGACCTCTGAAACAACTGTGCGCCATATGTGCACCACTTGTGTCCTCTGGTTCGTCTTGTTTCTCTTATACTTACTCACCCCCTATTTTTCCACCGATATGCCTTTAAGTTGTTCTTCTCATCTCTCCTCTCTTTTTCTTCATCTCATCTCATCTTACTTGATCTCGTTCTCTTCTCAATGTTTTTTTTTTTATTTTTTTTTTCTACTAAACCTACAGAGATCCGTGTTTCAGCACCTATAACGCAAGAATCTTTAGCTCGAGAAGCTAACACGCATTGACTTGGTTTATGTATACCTTTTTTTGCTCCTATCCAGAGCAGAATCTTCTACCCAGCGGAGGTCTCGTGTTTTTTTCATTCCTCATCTTCTTCATATAACATAACGTGGCATACCTTCTGTTCCTCTTCTCTCTAACTCCTCGAACTCCGTCAGCCACCACAGTGCAGGCAATAAAGTCAGCTTATCTCATTGCAAAGGCGTATTCTCCAAGATATTTTAAACGCGGCTTCACGTGACTCCTGTCAATGAGAGCAAGTGATCCTCTTCGTGATGTCTGTCTTGGAACAATAAAATGCTTCGTTAAAAGTCAAGAGAGCACCAAGAATAAAAACGTCTGTATTGTGTGTCGTTCACTTGAAAGCTTTACCTCTTGTCTACATATAATACCGATACCATCCTCTGCTCTTCTCTACTATACTGTCATCCTATATACTGTCTACTTAAACTACATTTACCAGACTTAACTGGTATAGGTATACGCTATCGAATAATATAGGGGTATCACTGCGTTTAACGGTGAAATTTGATACACCGAGAGGACAAAGTGCAATAGCGAAAAATTCTATCATGTTTAATGATAAACTGTTGGTAATAGACCCGGAGATATTATACCCAACGAGGAGAAGCTAATATTTACTCACTCGACCCAAACTACTCGTCAAAACACTTACAAGTTAACCTACGGTAGTCGTTTGACACACGTTTAGCTGTTCTCCTTGTAAATAGCTACCGTTATACCTGATTATTTGTTCATAAATTTTCTCTGAACACATTTACGCAATCTCAAGGCTTTATGTTAATATAAATGTAGTGTTAATCTAAATGATAAGACCCTTAAATTAATGTGAGTAATTTTAGTTACATAACAAGGGTTGACTCTTGACTTTTTTCATGATTTTGGACAGTAATTAAAAAATTATAAAA